CCATCACAGGCGCTTGCAATGGATTGACCGAGTCGAAGAGAATATCCTTGAACCGGATGAGCAAGAGCAACTCCTCAAAGACGAAAATGTTGATGCTGACGGACCAGTTGGAAATGGCAGCGCAGAAGATGCTAGTGCTACTCCAGCACGGCAGGTCGTGGCGAATGGTACAGTAGCTACACCTACATCTTCGAAACCACTTCGTGTAATCAAATAACTACATTGACGCATTGTCTACTACCCTTGTGATGTTTTTCATCTCGATACTATTCTCGCCCAAAAGTCCCTGGTTAGCTATCTCGACTCCTCGATCTTCAAATTATCTGTCTTCTACTTCTATCATAAGAGCAAGAAAGTTGCAAAGTGGATGCCCGGCCTGGTGCTGTTGCTCCGCTATGATGTGGCCGGCCTTCTCTAACGCTGAACATCCGTCGGCTGAAAGCTAGAAAGTTCAAACTTAAAGCGTCGCTTTTCTTGCGTGGTAGCTTCATGGTGCTGAACTTCGAACCGCGTAAGAATCTGAGCCGCTGCCCCTTGCTTCGTAGTCTCATGGCGCTGCGCTTCGAACTGCATAAGGCTCCGAGTCCGAACCGTAGGCCCTTGCTTGGTAAGACGCTTCGCTTCGTGCTTCGTTGCCTTATAGTGATGAAGTTCGAACAGCGTGAGGCGCTGAGGTGTCGCGCCTCGCTTCGTGGCCTCATGGCGTCGAACTTCGAACCGCATAAGACTCCGGCCCGCTGCCTCCTGCTTCGTAGCCCTATGGTGTTGAAGTTCGAACCGAATAAGACTCCAGCCCGCTGCCTCTTGCTTCGTAGCTCTATGGTGTTGAACTTCGAACGGCGTAAGGGTTTGGGGTGTCGCCTCTTGCTTCGTAGGCCTGCCATGGTGCTGAACTTTAAACAGCACAAGGAGGCGAGGTGTCGCGCCTTGCTTCGTAGCCTTGTGGTGTTGAATTTCGAACAGCAGAAGGCCCCGCGGCGTCGCTTCTTGCCTCGTAGCCTTATTGTGTTGAACTTCGAACAGAGTAAGAGCCTGGGGCGTCGTCTCTTGCTTCGTAGCCTTATGGTGTTGAATTTCGGAAAGCATAAGGCCCCGGAGTGTCGTCTCTTGCTTCGTACCCTTATGGTGTTGACCTCTCTTCGAACAGCATAAGAGCCCGGGGCGTCGCCTCTTGCTTCGTAGCCGTATCGCGTTGGACTTCGAGCGGCATACGGCTAAGGCGCGTCGCCTCTTGCTTCGTGGCCTTATGGTGTTGAACTTCGAACAGCATAACAAGGGCTCATGGTGTCGTCTCTTGCTTCGTAGCCTTATGGTGTTGAATTTCGAACAGCGTAAGCCCGTGAGGCGTCGCCTCTTGCTTCGAAGCTGTATGGTCTTGAACTTCGAGCAGCAAACGGCCCCGGCGCGTCGTCTCTTGCTTTGTAGCCTTATGGCGTTGAACTTCGAACGGCATAAGCACCTGGCGCGCCGTCTCTTGTTTCGTAGCCGTGAAGTCTTGAAGGAACTTCCAACCGCAGAAGGCCCGAGACGTTCTCTCTTGCTTCGTAGCTCTACGGTGTTGGACTTGTTTAGAACCGCGCAAGGCTCTGAAGCGTCGCCTCTCCCTCGCTTCGCAGCCTTATCTATGCCGCTGAACTCGGAACCGCGTAAGGCCCTGAGGCGTCACCTCTTGCGCTGGTTCTTTATGGTGTTGAACGTCGCACCGGGTAACACTCTGGGGCGTCGCCTCTTGCTTCGGGGCCTTGTTGTGCTGAACTTCGAGCCGCATACTTAAGGCGCTGAGGCGTCGCCCTTTCTTTTTTGGTCTTGTGGTGTTGAGTTCGAACCTCAAAAGTGCCCGCCTATAGCGAAGCAGCGCCAGCAGTAAAGTTTGCAACTGTCTCGCTCATATTCTATCGTCTTCACTAGCTCTTTCCTTTTCCCATCCCTCACGGCCTCCAGGTACCACCGCTGCTACTTCTGCTAAGTCTAGCACTGTGCCGCAAGCCTCTCCTACAAGAACGAATGCATCCTCAAGCGCTCCTTCCCCAATGCCACAGCCCGTAATTACGCCGTCACCGTCACCGTCACCGAAGTTAAGCGTGTAATAGTAATCACACGAACTACTAGAATATTAATATCGTCCTAAGTGTCCCTCCTCTACTCCTGGTCCTCTAAGTACATTAACATCTTCAGCATCGATTTGATTTTCCTTACTGACACACCTACTCCCAGAAGCAAAGCAATATTAAGAAGCCAAGCAAAATGGATCATCATCATAGTATATCTAATATATGAGTGTGCAAAGAAGTAAGGCTGTAAGTACACACTTTTACTGATTTCTTCTAACTACAAATTTATTCCAGACGAAGAAGGAGTTTTATGCCGACCCCGATTGGGTTCTGGGAAAAATTAGTGTGATGCACCACGACCATAAGTATCAGATCACTCATGGATTCATCAACGTGCTGAATGGAAGGACTAACCCCTTTCTCATCAAGCATAACCACGACGATTTGGGCAGCGTACACTTCAAAGTCCACGTTTAAGGCGACCACAAGGACGCGAAGATATAGATACTTCATTGAAGAGCAGCGATAAGTGATGAATATGTTAGATCGTGATGAATAGAAGACATCGTCATTAATAGAATTAGAAACAGGCAGCACGACCAGCACGAGTACTGCAGGGTTGCGGGCTCTGAGGATTCTGCACTTTCACCAGTTTCCATGAAGATTTCGTTGAAAAAGGTCGTGACTGCAGCATCAGCAGAATCAGAAACCCCTTCCCCTTCCCCTTTAATCTGCGTTACCGATAGAGTGGCAGACGTCCATCGAAACTGATCCGAATTTCAATCTAAAGCACAGAATCGTGCAGTTTCGCGTAGATTTATCGGAAAAACCAATGGTGAACGTCAAAGGCCGCGGAAAGAAAGGCGGCGAGACACGTACAGATTAAGGCTCAAGACTTTTTGAGAAACTTTGCTTTCTGATTCTCTACGAAGGGCTGTCAAAGGAAACCAACGTCAAAGAAAGTAAAACATGTCCTACTTCTGAAAGACGAATGAATTTATTACGCCGCATCAAAGAGCTCTAAGCACAGAAGAGAATGAACGCCTACGAAGTTGCAGATGCGCCGTATAAGGAAATCAAGATACCCATCCATTCGCCATCGTATTCTTCACAGCGAGGTCATGAGGTTCAGAATGACATGCACGTGCCTGGAGCGGGTGTATTGAGTGGGCTCGAGCGTGCGGGTTCTGGGGACAGTGACATCCACGTGCCTGGAGCGGGTGCATTGAGTGGATTGAGCCCAGTGAATTTACAGGTTGCTGCAAGTACAAGAACTTATACTTAGGGCTACTCCTAGTAGTACAATGAATATGAATCCATTTTGCAAGAAGCATCCTGCTCCCGTTTCTCAAGGGAACAATTGACGGGGAGCAAGATGATTCTCCACGATCATGACAAGATGCATTTAGTCAAGGTCTAAACAGCGACAAGAGGTGCTGGAGGTGCTGACCAACCAATAACAGCTTCTTCTGTGCCGCATACGTCGGCGAACCCAGCAGCGCATAAACGAGTGTGGGCACGTGTCTTTGAGGAAATGGCTGGGGTTCGAGAAGCTTTCAGACAGCAGCATGACGGTCGCCCTCTGTTTGGTCGCATTTTCTATCGTGCACCAGAAGGAGCGAAGAAATTTTGTGGCTTTGTCGAACCTCTAGTCGGCTCTGAGTTCCCGGAAATCGCGGTGAAGCTTGGAAAAGTAGCGGGTCCTGGAGGTGGGAACAAGTTTTAAGGCTTCCCTTAATGATCCATCCCCAGAAGCATCTCGAAGCCATCCTCACATAAGGCGAAATAAAGAGGTCCGAGATTGATCCCAGGATGGAAACGGGTTAGGGTGAGCTCTAAAAATTGGCTACTTCAACAATCTCTCACGAAAAGTTTTGCCACGTGGATCTACGTGCTTTGGCTAAGCATGGCCGCTTGGAACCAATGAAAAACGACATCGTCTCGTTCCTGCTTGATGATTCGACAGTGGACACAGTGGCCAGAGGACAAGCAAAGTACATGTCATTAAGTAGCCTCAATACAGTTCATTTCTACAGGTCATTTTTTCCTATTTCCTTCGTAGGATTGGGAAAAAGGCAGGTAAGAAGTGAATTGCTTTGAGCTCTAATGTCAGCGAGAAAGATCGATGTAGAGCGGTACGCACACGGTACGGGACCTGGTGTGCGTGTGGGTAACGAATTTCAAGCAACAGAACTGTTGCGTGGATTGAAGCATTTAGTGCGATTGGTAGAGCCAGTGTACAACATACTGGAAACCATGGGGTTGGGGGGACGCGGCGGAGCGGGAGGTGGGAATGTTGTTATGGATTTTGTTAACGTTACTCAAAACGAGTCATTCTGTCTCCTCGAATAAATCGCCCACCGTGCCCACCTTCCCACCGTCTATATAATGCAACACTAGATGAGTTGCTACTCTAATATAATGCAACACTAGAGGAGTTGCCTGTCTCTATAAACTACTCTAATATAAGTAAGGCAGTTCTTCTTGTTCTTGTTCTAGTGCTACTACCTTCTTACTGAATAGTAGTTCGTGCGGGCAGAAACCAGCTCAAGAATGGTGGAGAGGCAGCTGCGTAGAGCACGCACTCCCCACTTACAGCACAACTCTAAAAATAAATCCATCGACCCAGCGACGGCTTCCGATTCTGCCTTGGCTGAGCACTACAACAGTCTCTACAATGAAAGCCGTGGACATGGCAGTGCTGGCCCTGCGGACGTGCTAAAGCTCTACAAAACCCCAGCCGAACAAGGTGGCAGTTGTCTATATAAGAACCAAAGCGTTACAGCTTCAGCTTCAACATCTTCAGGAGCGTTTTCCTCTTCCTGCAAGTTTTACCTCGACGTAATCGCTTTTCTGAAAACAACGATCATTGCGAATGAAAGCAGTGGAGGTGATGGAGCGGGAGCGACTCCTCAAGGTGGATCAGGATCTTCTTCAAGCAGTTTATCAACTGTCGGCACTAACAGACGAGGTGGAAGCAAGAACAATTAAGGCTCCCCCTAATGCATCTTCGGAAGCATCTTAGATCCGTTTTCAAGAGGAAAACGGTCGCAGGATGGACTTCGAGATGGATTAGGGTGAGCTCTAAAACAAGTTTAGTGCTACCAGTGCAACTGCTGGATCCTCAGCTAATCATGTTAAGGGGGCTTACCGTATTAATTCGTTTGAACAAGACGCATCGTCCCTGACTCCATTGCAATTGCAAAGGACAAGACACATCAGAGACGCTTTAGTTCGAGATGAATATGGGTACCTACTAAAGTCTAATTCTAATAGTATCACCTCTCCTGCAGAGAATTTCGACCTAGACGCTTACAGAAACGACAACGTTGAAGATTCAGATTCTTCCGATTCCGACAATGAGCAGGCTCCTCAATTTCAGGTAGCAGGAAGTGCGTCTTTCGGCGAAAGACAGGAGCAAGCGGCTGCTTTAGCATCTACAAGACGCCGAATACGCGAAAGGGAAGCCTTGGAGAGTTGCGCCGATAGCGGACGTGCTTTTTTCCAGCTGTGTGTCGAAGAAATGCTGCATGTGATGGGCATACAGTTCACATTTGACTATCGAGTGCCAGAAAGTGCGACAAACGCAGCTGGAGGAATGTTGTTGGAGAATTTAACGCAAAGTCAAAACACACATGGGCCCCCAGGGTCATCATCGATGAACTACAGTCACACTACTTCTCATTCTTTGTCTTCGACAGGAGCATCTCCTTCAACAGTGTTGAAAATCAAGAAAGCTACTGCGTCTGAGGTGAACGCTTTCTTTGGGTTGATGACGTCGCTGGAAGAACGAATCAGGCTAAGATCAGTGTCGGGGACTGAGGTCGCGTCCGCAGTGGTGAGCGCAGGACAAGCAGAACAAAGTCTGAACATTAATAACGCTCTGGATCCGCCTGCCTCTAGTTGTGGGTCGACGTCTACTCGTGCACCTAGTACAGCAGTGGCTTCAAGTTCAAAGAGTACCATTACAACAGGAGTTGGTAAATCGAAAAAAGCACTGTCATCTTGTTCAACAGGAACAGGTGTACTATCAACAGGTGGAGCAGGAGGCTCTTGTAACTTATCATCTTCCGTGTCCGTCGAACAAGGGATTCTTGCATTTTCAGGATCTTCATCTTGTGGAGTTAGTGCTTCTTCTCTGACGAACGTGGATCCACGTCGACGTCTCGATGCGCATTCTCACAGTTCTCTCCTCGTCACCTTTCTGGCGGGTCTCCTGCAGATGCAGACGAATAAGACGAATGGGGTTGAACTCCTAGCACGTGAAGTGATCCGTCCGGCCATCATGTTACAACTTACTGATCCAACATTTTCAACATCGTCAGGTCAACAACATTCCAGTGGTGGCAGTGGCACAGTCAGTTCCCTACGGAGAGCAGCAGCGCAACAACAAGGTGCACATCAATATCAAAGTGGTGGGAGTAGTAGTAGTAACAACAACTCATCTTCTGCAGTTCGTGGTGGCGTTCTTGGTTTTTTCGCATTCGTCATCCGAAATGCCCATCTGTACGATCCAGACTTGATTGAAGCCTTTCGCGCCTTGTTTTCGGATCCCAATGTCCAGATTTCACAAATGACATCATCAGTAGCGACGACATCTTCATCTTCTCATTCTGGCGGTCCCAAATTACAACTAGGCATTCCCAGCACTATATCTGGTCGGATTGCAACACCGACAGAAATCTCCTACGGGTTCTTTTTGCGGAAAGTGTTGCATTTACATATAGAGGCGATGAGGTATTTGGAGAGGAGAGCCGCGCACAAGGCAGCAGTGGGGACGCATGAGGAGTTGCACGATAGACATTGGAGCGAACTACCTTTGATTATGGGATCAGATTGGGTCCCAACAAGTAGAAGTTGCATTGAGATTGATTTGCATTTCGTTATAAATCTTCACTTATTTGAAGGAGGACGATAGCATTGACAATGACAATCACGTGCATCACAAGAGTAAGAAAATAGAACTCAACTAAAACACCGTCGTCACAAACATCACAATGAGAATGAGCATATTCTTCCCTCTCTCAGCTCAGAGATCACGATGAACATATTCCCTGAGTCGTCTCTAATCCCTTCCCCACTCTCGATGAGCTTCGCGACGAGCGTGCTGGGTCGTTGCCGCACGTACCAGATCGCTCCAAGGAATGCTACAAAGATTTTGAGCACTATATGAACACCATGGTCCGGCTTTTGAGACAGGATACGTTCAGTTCTTATGGTCAGCTTTTTTTATCCATCTCGTCTCTCACTCTCAGTAGCTCTTCGGTCTGCATTTCTTTGTTCATCTCTCTCTCTCTCTCTCAGGAGCATCTTTTCGGTACCCTTTGCCTTTCACTCGTGTTCTTGTAAAAGAACACAAGGGCGGGAAGAAAGGTGCCAAGCTGAGCGGGTTGGCCTCATGAGTCACTCATCAAGCACCTCCCTCTAAAGTTCCCTGCGCATCGGCGTCAGCCGCTTTGTCCGCTCTACTACTGTGGATTTTGGCTTGATGCGCATGTATAAGCCAGCGTTTGTGGGTTTCCACTTCCGGGATCAAGACACACTGAGCGTCGTTTTACAAGTCGAGCCTTTAGTGGACTCGAAAACGAACGAGAAAGAGAAAAACTGGGTTGACAATGGTGGGTTGATGTACGGAAACCTGATCGTCATATCGCTGGATGGAGATTTTTCGTTACGGCAGTCAATCTTAATACAATAATTTTGTAGTACAAGAAGTAGAGCTCGAATAGTTATACATAGTAGTACCCTAGTACTGCTGCAACTACTGTAAGTAAAAGTACTCTAGACATGATAATCTTCTATTAGTTTCACATTGATCGTAAGTAAAAGTACTCTAGACATGAGAATCTTCTATTTATTCACAGTTTCACATCGAGGATGTAGATCACATAATTCTAATCGGAGACGACTCTCGCCTGTGCTATCTCCAAGTTTCGTGGTCGGACGTCGATACTTTGAAGAGGAAGAAGATCTGTTTCGCGGAGATTCTCCCTAGAGACGTTACAGGAAGTGACAAAACACCTCTAGAACAGGTGATCGCGCTGGTCCCGGCTTTATCAGGTCGCGGCAACGCTGTTTTAGCAGAGTCACCTGCATACTACAAGGCCTTCTGGCCTGGTCTCAAATGTTTGCAGGCGAAGAAATGCATGGACGACCTCCCCGAATTCAGCAAGGATCTGATCTTTGGAACAAGTGGGAGGAATTCGCCATGGGCGGGTGGATCTGGTATTAAGGCCGTTTCTTACTGATTTCTTCTGAATACGAAAAGTAGGATTTTTGGAAGAAGAAGAAATGCACGCAAGAAGTGCGAGTCGTTGTCGTCCGTGGAAGTGAATGGTTCCGGTATTTGGTAACCTGAATTTGATCGTAAGGGAAAACAAGAAGAGAACCCTTAGGATCAAACTCAGGTTACCAAATACCAGAGCCATACCCGAAGGCTGTTTTAAGTATGTATTTCTGGGCTCTAACGTTGCTGCTGCTTCATTGACGTCACACTCTTCCTCTACATCCTGTACTTCCGGTTTCAGCCTAAAGGTGCCTAAAGTCAAAGGCGCCTACGATCCGAAAGTCGTCGTACCAAAGCGAGACGCGGGAAGCACCTTTTATTTGGAGAAGAAGGGCTTGAAAGTGGATGTTTCGCTGCTGGCAAAGCAGAGTCCTCTGGGACCAGAATCGACTCTCAGTGCTGATGCGAATGGATCAGGATTGGGAGGTGCGGATCTTCTAGACAGCATCAATAATGGCAGAACTTACATTAGGGCTTCAGCCTTCAGGAAATCCATCTAAAAAGCCAGCATGTTGGGTTGGTTTCTCAAGGCAAGAGAGCAGCAAGATCACGCTCTACAACAAGATGGATAATTTCTTGTCGCTTACTCTAATTACAAATCAGCTTCCGGAACTAGAACTTTGGCGCCACGTCATATGTTGGTCTCTGACTGCGTCAAAGCACTAGCTGAGGAAGCGAACACACCAGTAGACGATCTTCCAGCTGAAGACAGGGGTGCGCGAGCAGCATTACTCGAATTGGAAAGAGGTCGTGGGTATTCTTCTTCGGGCTCGAATTCTGCGTCAGCACGTTCTGCACTAGATAGTGGAACCAGAACCAGTGGAACCACCACCAGCGCGGCCAACCAGAAGAAGGTTACAGTGGGCACAGCGCTAGATGAGTTTCAGAGGAAAGCTGTGGAACTAGCTCTGACGAAGCCAGTGGCCATCATTCAAGGGGCACCTGGATGCGGTAAGTCCCACATTGCGGTTTTGCTGATTCGATTGCTTGCTTCTTTGAAAAACGCGAATGAAACTCCGATAAAACTTCGCTTCTTAGTAGTCACGTACAAAAACAAAGCTTTAAACGAGTTGGCTGATGCGTTATTACAGTACTTCCCGGACTCATTGGTGCGTGTGGGGTCAGGAGGTAGCACGACCGCTGAAGATACGACGGAGAGATTGGAGGGAAGAAATTTGAGACTGTTGCTCGAAGATCAGTTGCGGAGGAACGATTTAGGTACGCTAAAACCAGAGTTTAAGCGTGCTGACAGGCGTCTGAACCAGGTGTGCGATCAGATGGAGGACCTGGCGCGTCGCTACGGAAGGGCAAGGCACTTCTCGTTGTCCTTGTTCATCTTGAAAGCAAGGGAAAATCAGATCGAAGATCTGCTACGCGGTGCTTGCGCGAAAGGGTTACTGCCGTCCATTGAGAATTCACAAGCAGAATTGGAAAAATGCATAGCGGCAGCGCACGTCTTTGTCAGTAGTCGTCGTAGTGAACGCAATTTGAACTTCACTCTGGGCAATTTCTTAGATTGCGAAGCCGTCTATGTCAGAGACGAAATGCTCCATAAGCAGAGACAGACACTCTACGGCTGCATCGCAGACGCTTTGGATGCTTGGGTGCCGCAGAAGACTTGGTTCACGGCCATGGCTGAGTACGTGAGGCATCAACGTCGGAGTGCAAGAGAACAACTAGATCCAGCAGCACTGCAGATGTTTGTCGACTCCTGTACTCGGAAAAGAGACGACCACGAACAGAGAGGACCACGCGGAAGAGATAGGGGAGATTTCGCTTCATTGGAACTATCAGCTCAAAAAGACGTCGACTACTTCTATCAAGGTGGTGAAATGCTGGATAACACGACTCGAGGAGCAAGAATGACTAATAAAGCGTACAAATCATGGGCCCAGCACCAGGAACACGTAGTTTTGCTCGATGAGGGCAGTGAACTGGCACAAAGTCTGTTCGCATCCGATGATCAGAACCACTATGGAGGAGGTCCTGCAGGAGCTCCTGGTAACTACAAGTACAACACGAGGAACGCAGCTCAGTTATGTTGGTCAGCTTTTATCTATCCCTCTCAGCATCTTGCTGCCTTATGCCCTGCATTCCCATGAAATACAAGGGCAAGGAGGTACAGATGTTTGAAGGTGCCGAGATGAGTAAGATCTGACTCTAAGTAACAAGCGCACAGCCAAGCGAGACAAGGAACGAACTAGGGATGCAATCCAGCATGCACCAGAGGTCGCTGAATATTACAAGGGCAAGAAAGCAAAACTCTCTAGTGTCAAGGACTTGTGGGCGCTTGATATTGCTCATCGTGTTTTGCTCATTCAATTCTTCATTGACGAGCGCGTAAACGAAGTGGTTTCCCAATTGGTGGATCGAGAACGGGAATTTTCGCAATTGAAGGAGGACAAGAAACGGATTCAAGAAGAGCAGCGAGCAGCAGTCTTTAAAAGCAACGCGGTTACCGTGACTACCATCACTGGTGCCGCAATCTACGCTGATGCGCTGGCTAAAGCAGAATTTGATGTCGTTTTAGTAGAGGAAGCCGCTGAGGTGTTGTTATGACTGAGTACTTAAATAAGGTTTCATGATCATTTGCATCAATTATATCCTACGTCGTGAAGTCTGATCCTGAGTAAACTTCATGCAGATGAAGTTCGTCACAAACGATAGTAGCACAATTAATATTTATACCGAAGTAGTCAACAAAAGATGATGATGAAATAGAAGAAAGACTATAACCAAGAGATGATGATGAAATAAAATACCGAAGTAGTCAACAAAAGAAAGACTAACGTACTACCTTGTCTTCTAATCTCAGAAGCGCAGCTGATCGCTTGCTTACAGAAATCTGTCAAGCATCTGATCATGATCGGAGACCACTTCCAGCTACCTCCGCCAGTTCAGAGCACTAGTCTCCGAGAGAACTACGGCTTTGGCCGTAGTTTGATGCAGGAGTTGATCTCGTCTGGAGTGAAACCAGCAACCCTGATGCGCCAATCCAGAATGGATCCGGAGATTGCGAAATACTTGAGGGCGGACAAATCTGGTGGCCAATTCATGTTGCACCATTATCGATCTGAAGAGCAAGAACGCCGCATTGAAGAGGAGAGAAGATTGGAACAAGAAAGGGAAATTGCTAAGACGCCTCGTAGTGTAAGAGCAGCGTTGCAAGCAGTTGAAGCAACAGGCGAACTAGAGGAGGCAGAAGAAGAAGAAGAGGATGAGATAGAAGAGGACGAAGGAGATAACTGGGGCAGCAGTGCCGATGGCGACCATTGGGGTGTTGATCCGAGTTTGGCTGATTGGGGATGGGCACCTGCGCCGACACCTGAGGATGACCCACCAGATGATCCCTTTGCTACGTCTGGCGGTAATTCAACATCTGCTGTCACGACTAAAAAGAAAAAGAAGACGACATCAGCATCTTCTACTATCGGAGGAGGTGCATCAACTACCGTGGCGAAGAAAACAGCAGCTGCTCTTGCCACAGCCACTTGCGCGAGGACGACAGTAGCTCTGGTTCCTAATCCCTCGACCTCGTCCAACATAGCAGATCATCTGACAGCTCACGATGAAATCCAAATCGCTTCTAGTTGTAGTACTTCCCTCTCGAAGGAGGAAAGAAAAGCGCAATACGTTGCGCGTTATCCGCTGTTGAAGGACAATTTGTCGATTGTGGGCAAATATCGTCGCGAATCTGTAATGTTATTGCCACCAGAAAAACGAGATGAAGCATTTCTAGCGGATTTTATGGATCCGGAAGTTGCACCAATTTTCTTCTGGGATACACCTTACCACGACAACATGAGTTCAACAGCTGGCAACTGGCAAGAAACGAAGCAGGAGTTGTCTTACACGAATGAAGATTAAGGCTCAATACAATTCACTTGCATTTCTACCAGTCATTTCTCACGACTTGTTCCTTCTCATCTTGATTCATTGGGAGGCACCATATAACAGGCGCAGGATGTGAATCGCTTTGAGCTCTAAGAAGAAGAAGCATATCGCGTCGTCTACCTCTACCTGCACATGATCTCACAAGGGATCAAGCCAGAAAAAGTCACGCTGACGTCGCCCTATAGAGCCCAAGTGCGGTTGATGAGGGACAAATTGAGGGAGCTTCGTGACAAAAGGGAGTTCAAGTTGCTGCAGGCAGATACTGCTTTGATGGGCTGCTCTGAGGATGGCAACTTGAAGGGGCAACTTGGTACCAGGATCGACCCAGAGTTAAGGCTTGTTCCCTAACCGATCCATCTTTTTGAAAGATAAAAACTATCCTAAAGAGTCAGTTTTTCAAGGGAAAAACAAGGGAACAACTGGGATGAATCTCAAGATGATGGATAAGGGTGAGCTCTAACAGAGTTCGTCAAGCAGTGTGACCCGATGTTGCAGTCGACTTTTGAGGACGTCATTTGCACACCTCTGGACGGATACCAAGGAAACCAAAATGACCACATTATTCTGAGTTTGGCGCGCTCGAATCCGCATCACGATGCGGGTTTTTTGATTATGAGGATACTTAAATTGTTATTTGAAATTCAGTGTGATATCAGTCAGATGAAAGGAAACTAGAACTACGACCATGATCTACTATTTTAATGCAGCACTCCCAGCACCTCCTGTGCTCGTGGTAATAAAAGAACTCACTTGCAGCAAATTAGTCTTCACTCGTCGCGGTAAGTCAAAGTCAATTTTGAGTAAGTATCTTCTTCATGATCTCTCATCTATCTCTAATCCCCAAAAAAAACCCGAAGGCATCTGTCGGCGAACGGTGGCTCAAAGTAGAAGTAGGAAGTCTTTGATTGTGGTCGGCGACGCCAAGTGCTTCTCTATGGATAAGAGCAAAAGCGGCGCTCTCGTTCCTAATCCGGTTTGGGGTGAAGGATTCATTGAGCTATTGAAAGTTATGTTCTTGTTGATGGGAAGAAATTTCAGCTTAGAAAGTTCTTTATCTTTAGGAGCCAAGGCCAACATGATTCATTAGCACAAATAGTATTGGGGCGAGATTCTTCGACTTCTGCTGTCATAACTTCGATCTATTTTTTCTGGTTGGGGTTAATTATTAATATATAGTAGAAGAAAGTGAGTTTGAGTAAAAAGAGGAGTAATAAGTAAGAAAGCAGCTTGTCCCTCTCGGTCTCTCCACCACCACCGACCTTTTCCTTCATATCTCCCGACAACCGCGTCTGCGATCAATTGACACTGCGTTGTCCTAGACATCCAGATAAGGGACTTTTCAAGCACATTACTTGCGCTAGCGACTTGCAAGATCCGATCACCGAGGACCACGGCTCGTTTTGCCCTGAAGCCTGCATTACTAGTAGCAAAACGATTAAAGATTGAGGCAACTACAATTTTACCACCTGTACTTGAAGATTCATCTTGCGGAACTCTTAATTTATTTGGGATATGTTCTACCTGATTCATCTTGAGGTGCTCGTTGATGAGGACATTCAGGCATCATAAGAGAGCATCTGCTAGAGAGCATCTGCAGCTCTAGCTTCTAGGTGGATGCGTCATATTAAACTTTTTAATATTATGGAAGATAATCGTAAAGGTATGAGATGAAAGCTCTAAGAAGAGTGGGATGCAGCGACGAGTCGATACGTGACGAAGGCGAATCCGGACTATCGTAGGATGACCTGCGGACACTTCTGTGCTAGGAAGTGCCACTTTGGACCATGCGATGCCCGTTTTTGTAGGAAAGAAGTCGAAGTTCCGTGTCCCGTGAATCCCAAAGGACACCCAGCTCTGAAAAGAAGATGCAATGAGAAAGAAGTTGTTTGTTATGGCTCCAGATTTTTTGGATTTTATTGGCCTGGAGAAGTCGAATACTAGCAGCTCCAATCCCTCGCCAGCTCTTCCATATTCCAACTTAACCCAGTATAAGATCAAGTACTAGATTTCTTTCCATTTTCCAACCTATACTTAACCCAGTATAACAGTATAAGATCAAGTACTAGATTTCTTTCCTCCAACATCCACTTTCTAACTCCCCATGCATCCGGTCCGGTTCCAATGCGGTCGCGAACGTCCGTCCGATACCCCTGGCTCCCTACCAACGAAATGCAAACGGTGGGTGGACCGGTATTGCTACCATTACGGCTTCCACGAATCCATCTTGTTCACGAGCATCCTCCCTAGGAGCATTAAAGGGGTCCAGGGTGGATGCACCTGGCTTGACGAGGTGAAGATGGATTTAGGGAAGGGCTAAGATCAGGATCCCAGAACAGTTGTGTGTGAGATCGATCACACCTGTCCCAGATGTCACCAAATTATCAAAGGAGACTGCGATGCGCGTCCGGAAGACCTGAGATGCGAAGTGCCAGTACAGTTATGACGTGAACTGTCCCCCTCAGCTTTCCTTCTGTTCCTTTTCTCAGTGTTGCTGTTCTTGTAAATGTAATCTTAGAAGTAGAACTAGTTCTCGTTGTAGTTGCCATCTCGATAATTCATCAGCTACTTCCTCTCCCTGCTCATAAAAACACCCCAAGCACAGCCTCTAACCCCTGTAAAGCTCGCCTGCGGGCATACGTTTACTGGGAAATGCAGTGAACGTAACTCGAAAAAGAAGTGCACACACGAGATGGAGTCTCGTTGTAAAGCACGCGCTCATCGACGGACTCTACCATGTCATGCTCATCAGCGATTGATGGAGCAAGAAGAAATTCACGGATCTCTGTGCTGGCAAGAAGTAGAATTCACATGCAAAGCATGTAATCGGACACAGAAACTTATGATGTCGTGATGGAGGACGTGCGCGTGGTTTTTTCTTTTTGAGATCCATCTTCAACACAAGTTATCATGTACTTAGTAACAAATCTCCCGTACCCCTCGACTCTCTACTTGTATTTTCTTTCCTTCTTGCATCTAACCTCCGTTTCTGTCGCGACGAGGAGGAGTGCGGCTACACGTGTGGCAAGAGGTGTAAAGCGGGTTTGCATGTTTGTGAGGGTCGCTGTGGCGACCCAGCGCATGACTGTATCGCAGACGACCACTCAGATGCGTGCCCCAGATGCGCCAAGGACGAGGCACATGGTCAGTTGCAGAAGCTGTTCCATCAAGAACTCGCTACTGGGAAAGCGAATAGCTTTCATAATGAAGTTGTTATGGAGGACGAAAGTGAACCGGAAGGAAGCGCCACAGCTGGTGCAGTTGTTCAGCGATTCTCGCTGTAATAGCTACTTTCTCTGTCAGTTAGCATGAGCAAACAATTCATTGGTATCCATATTATCTTGACTCGTCCACGCATGTACAAGTACACACTTTTTTAAGACGCATCCTGTTGTAAGAACAACAAACTTGTTCTATCTTGCGAATCGTCTTCAACATACTTATCTAATCGTCCAGAACAATCGTTTTTTGTGAAGAAACACCAGCAATTTCGATGGTTTCCCCTTTCGCAATTACTCTTTCCAGAATCTGCAGTCTACAACGTCGATCCAGACGGTGTCTCTCTAGAGAAAAAAATAGACGATTTGAGAAAAATGTTGGGCGTTACGGCGACCTCTTCTACCTCTTCGCAGAGCAATAAGAATAAGGCAACAAGAACTTCTACTAGAGTAAGGCCAATAACGGGTTTCGAGTTGCTCGAGTTGCCACGAGTTGCTCGAGTTGCCGAAGCGAAGAGCTTCACTGCTGGAACGAGTTGCCACGAGTTGCCGGGAGGTGTCCGCTCCATCGAAATGGAGCGAAGCAGGGCGGTGCGAGCACAAACCCAGCCGGTCGAAGGGGCGAAGCGTAGGGGCGTGCTGCGTTTGTTGTTGCTCATGAAAGGGGCAAGCGGGTGCGAGTGCCTCCTGGGCCCTTATGACTTTTTTTTGTAGCTTGCCAGCGGGCGTATATTAAAGCGAAACCAAGGGGGCGAAAGACTCTGCCCGTTGTTGTTTTTGTTTGATGTCAGTGTCGCTGTGGCGTGTGGTGTCGTCTGGTCGGTGGCGATCTCTCCCATTTTTCTTCGGATGTATTCCCAATAAATCTACTTCGGGGGTGCGAGCGAGTAGCCCCCGTCTGCTTTATAGGGCGGCGCGTCTAGCCTTGCTTGGGGGTGAGTAGACTAGAGAAAGCACCAGCTGGGAGTGGAAGCTGGAAGTGGATGATCACACTAGATTCGCGAGTAATTAGATGTTCGTTGACCAAGCAAGTGGCTGAGATGAATCCTGAGCCCGAGACGGTTACTCGCTCCTGTCTCAAGGGTGCACTCCGAAGAAAATCAAGGATCAGAGACACGGCGCGCAGTGTCGTACGCTCCTGCTAAGGTTTCGCGGAGTCTCATAAAGCTGCGCCCGAAGGGCGCCGCGCAAAAAATTAGGGTGGGCAACTCGAGCAACTCGAGCAACCCGAGCAACTCGACCCGATACGGGTCAAAAAGTGCCTTACTCTATTCTACTTCCAGCGCTCTTGCGAACAAGAACAATCGACTGCTGCACAGTCTACCGAGACAACTGGACGTGGTGCAGGTAAGCAGTCTAGGCGAATGTGTCGCAATGCAACCGCAGTACTTGTACATTTTGAGGCGATGCTTGGGCCCAGAGCTGAAGATTCCGGTGCACTTTTTTCGAAAGAAGGAACACTTCTTATGAGCAGGTCTGTGCATAGAACTGCAAGTCGTAAATGTGAAATGTCATGTTGTTGTTGTTGTACTTGTAGACAGGGTGGAACGAAGCTAGTTCTTATACAACGAGTGGTTGTGGTTGATGTTGTCCCCGGCTCCTAGTACAACTAGTAGTACCTAGTGGAGGCTTACAGCTATAGCCTCTAGCGGCTTAGCTTTTTCAGCAGCTAAGCTCGTAGTAGTTTTACCTGATAGATAACCATCATCACTATGATCCATCTAATTTTCGGTGAAGAAGAGTTCAAATTGATAGTTTCCGACGAGACGGAACTATGGGAGTTCGAACATGTAACACAAAGACCGCACCCGCGGATCCCTCTCACAGACGGCAAATTGCATCGCAGCTACCTAGCGCAAGTGTGGAGTCAGACCGCAAAGAAGCTGACCACTGTGCTCTCTTCTGGTGCACATATTTTTAACTCTCCTGGGGAGGTTTCTTCATCGAACAAGAACGGGTGCGAAGGAGGTAGTACGGAATGTCGGGAAATAACACGGGCGATCCTAGATAGTGGCAATCTAATACACTACGGATGTAGTGGCATGATAGGCGCAAGAATGAGTGGGGGCCCTGGATTTTCTCCTGATCACAATAGCCAACATGATTTTCATCTAAGGTCCTCAACAACAAAAACGTCCAGTAATACAACTTCAACAGCGTACAACAGCTCATCAACGTCTTCTTCATTATACAACTTCTACAGCAACTACAAAGGAAAGAACCAGATGCATTTTGTGCACCTTTTGTGGGCTTTTCGCACGATTATAGAGTATTTCCCGAAGTGCAAAGTAGAAATACCCATCTACAGGCCAAAAGCGGATAGTCTCAAAAAGGATTACCCTTCCCTCTTCCGCCAAATCGTCGATTTGGAACGTGAACGCTGCGAGAAGTTGAAAATACCGGTTTTATGGCTATGTATAAGACTAAGTCGTTCTGCTTCTGTCCCAGCAACTGGTCGCACCTAAGTACGTATGCGACAGAAAGTCTGCCTGTGCGTAGACTGCGGTTGTCGGCGATGTTGGTAATCCACTACCGAGAAGATTCCTAAAATAATACAGCGACTACCAACAAAAATAATGTTCATGATCTTCAAATATAAATACAAGGATTTCTCTCTAACTTCCCGTGGCGAAAATGAGCTTTTCATCATGGTCCGCCACGACCAAGACGTGGATGTCAAGTGTCTGGACCTGGCGCAGCTGCAGATGAAAGGATCGACACTTTTTGGTGGAGGCTTCGTTATGGTTGATCGTCTAGTACTCAGACTTCACTAGAGAAATTACTAGAAGAGATGTCATCACCTTTTTCCATTCATGATGATGAATCAATCGGTCAAAAATGTTGACTAAGCCCTCTCCTGCCGTGTCAGTCACTGTCTTACGTAGAAAGACAAAAATCTATCTCCAAGATGAAATACCCATAATATTTATTAGTAGTCGGTCCTCGAGGACGACCTCGGACTTTTTCATCAAACACCACTTCTGGTTTTCCTACCGCCCAGCAATAGAAGTACACATATAATTATGTCCTGCGCTAACCCCCTCACCCAACGCAGCAGCAATTCTTCCAAAGCAGAGAAGACCATTATTGTGACGAACGACGCCTACAGGGACCATCGAACGAACTATCCGCTTTTGGATTTTACAACTCTGCTCGCACCTTACAGCATTGTCCACGAAAGAGAAGCGATTCTTTTTTGAGCTCTGCGGGTGCGTGGCGCCCTACTTCATCTACAGCTACAGCATTGTCCACGAAACAAGAGATGGGATTGTTTTCAAGGTTTGTTCAGCTGTTAATCAGGTAAGACATCAACACCATTTAATAGGATGGATTACCAGGTAACATGTCATGAAGTTGTCGATGTGGTCGTGAGATCAAACTGAAAGCTGCGACAAATAAATATTGAAACACAATAAGGAGGTCAAAATAGACGAAGACGAGATACAGATATGACACAAAAGAAGGAACAGCATGGCGGATTTATTAACTAAGCATTCTAGTTCTACTTTCTTGTTCTATTTATTTTCGTTTTATTGTGACTGAGTTGGGAAAGAAAAAATCAAATTACTAGGTACTTCCAATTAATGTTGAGCCCGAGATAGTTGTGTAATCATTGCAGTTGGGTCCCATCAAATTCAAGAGAATCATGTTTTCGAGGAGCTGGAGCTTGCATCTCCTATTCCTAAAGAGTAGCACTAGTATCACGACAGATGTATTTTTAAACACAGTATCTACCAACAATATCATTTGGAGAAGTGATTATAGTTATCAAAAATATCATCTACACCTCATTACCATTACGTAATTATACTTCAGACATTACCTCATTTAGTTTTGGCTCATTTACATTTTTCAAAAACCAACAAGAAGGTTGATACCACTTATATCAAAATCCAAGACTCATCAAAAAAATCTTACGTCGATTTCCAAATCACCCAGCCTCAGCGTTCTCCTTGTCAGACGAGCAGGAGCTGCATACGTGTTGAGAAAAAAAATCCACTTGTTCTGCAACAAATTTGTTGAATTTCTAACAGGAACGAATTTCTTCCATCTTCAAACGAATAGATCACAAGAAGGCAAGATGAAGAAAGATCAAGGATTGGTGCATCTGGACCAGGGACCGACCCTGGTAGTATGCACAAAAAACAGACTCAAAGATCCAGCAGCCGAGCGCAGAGCCAAAGTAACTCTAATCAAGAAAGTGCTACAAGAGAAAAACGACGAGGGGAAAACGTAATTTGTGTATTTCGTTGGCGGTGAGAGTTTTAGAAACAAAGTAGATCTGACCACCGAAATCGTCTTCGTCGCAAAGATAGGCAAATATTTGGAGGAAGCGGATGCCGGGGCGAAGAAGATGGTGATGGTCTTCCTGATCAAAAGACGCACGTCCTCACCCCCAAAGACCGACGCGCCTGCGCCCGCGTCTCGCCTACCAGGCTGGCTGCGGGCTAAATCCACGGCGGCCGCTGCTAGCCGACACAGCAGGCGCTTCCGATTCTAGGAGCAAACTCCCCAACTCTAGGAGCGGACGCCTTCGGTTCTAGGAGCAGAAGCTTCCCCTTCGAGACAAATCCCACGCCTTGAAGAACCAGCCCCAAGTGAGTAATTCGTGGATTTCTTGAGTACTTAAGAAGATGGTGATGGTCTTCCTGATCAAAAGACGCAACATACGCCGATGCTGGTCCCGAATTGGCGCACGGATGTTGCTCTTGCTGTCCGTGACATTTTCGCAACGGCATAACTATGCCGTCACCATGACAGAGATCGTCCTCGAGGCTGCTCAACAAATGCGCGTCCATAAACAATAGCTGCCTGAACGTGAACACCAGACGCGAACAAGAAGGTAGGAGGACGATAAGCTCAGAGAGGAGGGGCGGCTGGGGCTTGCAGAGTGGATGAAAGCTCTCTCAGGTAGTCGAAACAGTCTGGGAGGTGCTGTTTTTCTTGCTTAAGCATGTGGAAAATATATTGGGATTCTAAAAACAAAAAGTAGCATGAAGATGATGAATTCCGACTATCACTATGTTCTTAGAAGAAGTTGTCGGTGTGCTGTAATTACTAGTTAGATTTTGTGGATGAACCTACACTACCAGGAACTAGCAGGAAAAGATGAGTTTGTAACTAAAAAGTTATTTGTAAAAGAGGTGAGGAGGCGGGCGTATTTCGATGAAGAATTTGACATGTGAAATCATGAATTGCAATTTTCTCGTCGCCCTCTACGTCTCCCTCAATCCATCTCGATCATTTCGTACTAGTTGCACAAGCATTGCTCCTCGTCCTCGTACCCTAATTGATTGCATTTTTTACTAGATTTTTTGAAAAGTTCGGGTTTGTAAAAACGAAGAACCTTCATCGCAGATATAATTTGCGGTCGGAAACGCATTTTTCGAGGCTGCATGTGTATGTGAACATTGTACTACACCCGCAAAATGATAAAGATAATGGCCCTCTTCTGCCCTGTGCATCGGATTCATGGCGAGATGAGCACCAGTGTTCGTGGAAGTAAGTATCTATCTGTATTTGTTGAGAATGAGATGGACCGATGGGATCGGTACAACACGATGTCTGATAGCACGCGACCAGCAAGACCGACGAGATTATGTGATCCGACTTTTTTACGCTTTTTCTAATACCGGATAGAAATCCCAAAAAAATAAAATCTGAATTGTAGCATGCATGCAAGACAAGTGAGTCTTTCCGTTTCCAGTCTCCAGCACGTGGGTCCCATTCAGGTGCTCCACCATCACGTTCGATCCTTCATCATTCCGCTAAAAAAGGTCTCGCACTGCTCGACGAACCCGTCCTCCGACTTTCTTCAATGTTATTGACGCTACTTCTCCTTGTACTCCACCAAACCTTGAGAAGCCAAACCATAAAGACGACCTCACCCACGAAACAACCGTTTTTTGCGAGTCCATACGTTGCGTCCTGCAGGAATATTCCTACAGCATCTCCCGTGTACCCAAAACCTGCAACAGCGAGCAAGATTGCAACGATGAGCTGCGTCGATGATATGCTAGCTGTCCTGGGGGATGGTGTGTGTGTAGAAGCTGTACTAGATGATGCTTCTACTCCTGATGAAGACGCTGTGCTAGCTGCTGTCGGGGTCGTCAAGAAAGCCAGAACGACGCCGAGCAGACCTAAATGTAAGCCAAAAAGGCCTAAGGCTACGCCGTTGAACCCCAGCGCGAAAGCTTCCCAATGCTGTTTGCTTATTAGAGAAGCATTCTTGATGAGTGGTATGTAGTATTGCAGTGAGTTCTTCTAGAAAAGAAACACACCCATCATGAAGATGTCAATTGAGAACCGGCACGACTTTACTTTATTCAGGGTATTAAAACTACAAGCTTACTTCTACTTTGTTCTATTTGAAAATAAAGGCCCATCTTCCTCGGTGATGAATCCACCGACCTCAAGCATAAGATAAGAACGCCCAACTCGGCTTCTGATGCTGCGTCCTCTTGTTTCTGCAGTAGCATTCCGGGAACCTGGGCAAGCCCGTTGAGACAGGCAGCAAGGACGCAGACATTTAGAGCACAAAACAATTCATTTCAATCCCATAAGAAGGATGAGGAAATTGTTTAGATTCATTGTAGGCGCTTTCATTAGATACATAAATATTTCTTCCGAATCCTCCGTTGGAAAGGAACAATTGTGTCGAGCCTTAAGACATAGGCCACTCGGAATAGCGCAGCAATCACTGCGAGAAGGATAGTCGGTAGAGGTACTAGTAGTGCCACTACTTCTACTTCTCCTGAGCCAGAATAGCAGGCTCTCGCAACGCAGAAAGCCAATAACGCCACTGCAACGACAATGTCGATCACGCAGGTTAGGAAGAACGAAATCACGATCGTGCGAACCGTGCCAACTTTATCAGATACAACATCTCCGTTCTTCTCCTTCTCAAGCACAGGAAGATCCTCGATTTGAAAAATGCCCTCTCTTGTGCTTTCTGCGTAGCCACCTAAAACGCACAGTCCTAAGATGCCAAATCCCGCGATGCCGGCGGAAATGGATTCCACCTTGTTGGTGGTGGAGTCGGCGCAAGCAGGACCTCTGCTTTCTAGACCCATCTTCTTGCAGATCTGACTACAGATCAAAAATCGCACAGGAGATGATTATGAAAAACCGCAAGATCTTGGTTTATGTTTTCCTACAAAAACCTAGATATTGTGGTGAACTAAGTAGCTGCTGCGTGACAACTTCTGTTGCGGTCTCTGTAGCTATTTTTGTTTGCTTGCTTTCCTCGTCATGACCATTCCTCTCGTCTCTCTTGCTCTCTCAAGATGTCTCTTCATCTCTACTGATGCTCCCCTTCATTCATCACGAGCGCCAGAGAGAGGACTACTTAGTTGTAGAAATGCAGACGACCATCGTGCATCGTGGTGCTTGGTACATGGATTGAAGCTGCTCCTGCACTCGGTCCAACAACGGAGGACCCTGAAGGAAGTAAAAGACCACCCTTCATCGAACACGACTTCCAAGACAGGAGTTGATGAGAGGTGTTGAACAATACTATTTGAAATAGATATAGAATCGCAAGAATAAGTAGACACTAATACTTACAAAAGAGGTACCATGACATGACATAATTGGACTTATAGCGGTGAGGCTGGCGGCCTATGCCTCCAGCCCTTAGTTCGTTGGTTGTCGTGTTTCTTTTTGTTCCTCCTCGAAACGAAAGAACTCCATCAAAAGTTCGCTGTGAAAATGAAGCTCTTCTTGTCAATATCAAGAACTGCCCCATGAAAGTACCAAGAACTACCTCATGAAAGAGCAGAAAAGCCCCATTTTACACCGACCGCAGCGGGCCGCATCGTGAGGCCTCGTGCTATCGTGTTGTGGCCTCTTTTCTGGGTCCAGCTTCTCGTACCCCAAAATCTCGCCACACTTCGCATTTGAAAGGTCTGGGTCATCTCCAGGATAGCACCCCTGACAATATTGCTCATCCCAAACATCGCTGACCGGCTCCCACACCATCGCGACTGTTGTCTATGAGAGAGAGGGAGACGAGATGAAGGATGACGATGTTGCCCAGGCTCACCATCAGAAGTTGTAAAAAATGTTGATGTTCAAGATCGAAAACATTCAAAATGCTACTCACAGCATACAGCACGGGGGTCGTGTCCTCCTACGGGAATACAGAATGAAAGTACTTCCATACAGACCATTTTCGCATGCACCGCGGAGCTGAGCACTGAAGCAAAACTCTGAACCTGCAATGATGAATCCTTTTACGGGTCACTTTACTGACCATCTGCGTCCTCCAGCGAGGCAAGCCACAGTGCTCGCAAGCTTGATCTTCTGTCTTTTCGTCCTCGCTTGAGTCAGAGTCAGCCTCGTCACATGAATAATTTTGGCTGGAGTCGTCAGAAAAGTCCTCAAGATACCTTCGTGGTGATCGCTCGCGCATGCTCTGATCTTGCTGCATGCTATTTGCTTCCAAATCTTTCAATTCGCGTTTGCACTCTTCCTGCCTTCGCTCACGTTCCATTTTGAGCTTTTTCATCTGCTCCTGCCTTTCCTTTTCTCGTTCCCTTTCGCGGTTCCTCCTCAGGACATCTATCTCATCCGAAATCCATGCAGCTACCAAGCGCGCATCTCTGCCCTGCGCCGTGAGCTTACCTTTAGTGGAATAGAAGTTGAGCGCCAAACTCAAAGAAGTCCCAAGCGGCGCTGCTTCAGGTAGCTGGTCTTCGTTGCGAAGTTTTAACAGCTTTTGTCCGTTAGGCTTGGCATCCCACGTTGCCTCACGACCAACGAGTCTACTGACAACCGCATTGACATCCTCTTGTGAGTAGCCTTCGCCGACCTGCTGAAAGGTATTGACAGGAGCAGGCGCCTTGCTGGTCGTACAGGACACGATCGACGAGGAGCCTGCTCCGCTAAAAACGCCAACTTGCTGATCGTTCAGAGGTGGATTCCCGTTAGCAAATCGATCATTCGCGACAAAATCGGGAGTACGAACATGAACACCGGGAACATGTTGTGCTTGTCTATCTGATGTTGATGCTGCTACACCTCCCGCAGATGCTCCTGTATTAGCAAGATAGTCTGTTCCTGTTGCTTCCCTTGCCGGTGCTGGAGGTCTTGGAATAAGCAGCTGATCCTTCATCCAGCTGTCAAAGGCTGGACCATCTGGGCCCTGAATAAGCAATTTGCCAGTTGTGGAATAAAAATTCACACAAGCTTTGCGGATGGTGCGTCGAACATCTGGCGTTTGCACCTCAACATTAACAACGTCAAATTTTAGCTGACCATTTGCTTTTTCCTCCCACGGAAAATGTGTACTAGATTGCTTGTCGACCTGGCAAACGTCGCGCAAAATTGCCTCGACTGCGTCACGGCTGTAGCCGCCACCGTTTTGAGCTCCGCCACGTCTTTTACCGCTCATAATTTAGACTTGTTTGTGATGCTTGTTGTTGTTGGAACTGAATCAAAAAACATTCAAAATGATAGACTTAGATTAGTGGAATTAGCAGAAGCCACGAGGAGATACTAGATCATCTACATCTTCTTCGATGATGGCTAATCGTAATCATGAACATGCTGGAATAAACGGCTTCATCAACTACATACTTAGTTGTAAGTAGAAAAACTTGCTCTACTTCTTGAATCTTGATTGCACTTAGTTTGTTGCATTTCAGTGGGGAATACAAGAATGTTGACGCTTCGACGTCAGGCGATCTACTACGTCAAAGTGAGACGCGCAGCGGGAAATATCCATGATTCTTGGTGATGACCGAGGTAAGGGAGAACGACCGCGCATTTTGATCATCATGTGTTTTGTTCGAGGCTGTTCTTGTGTCAGGTGTCACATGTTGCGGATGCGCTAGTACAAGCACCAGGCTGACCCAGAAGCCCCTCTAGATAGTTGTGGTAGCTATCAGCGAGGGGTTTCAAGGCCCTGGAAATTTTTTATGTACTTCAGAAATATATACTTAGTTGTGAGCGTCATATTATAATCATCTTGGATGTCTTCATTGTCACGCCCTCCGCCCTAATCATGATCGCTGTCATATCACGAACTTTAATGGTACCTGATCAAGGTCAGTTTCAGTGTAAGCTAGTAATGTGACACGGGCTACAGCTGGGCGGCGAGACCCAAACTAAGCCCCATCAAAGAAATATGTCGTATGCTGGTCTGGTATTTATTTGTGGCGTCTCGTCTTTTCTTGCTTTGGTGCTCTAAAAAACGTACTTATGTAGATCTGTCGTGTCGGTGTCATGTTCTTTGTATGTGCATGTACAACTAAGTAGCCCAACAACATCTGAAAAATGACCAGTGTAATCTTCCCGACCATTCCTTTCCTATTCACGTCGACGGCGTCCTCACGTCGACGGCCTCTCATCTTTCTTATACCTTTTGAAACTTTCCTGCTCGTGTTCTAGCATTCCCGTAGACTCCATGTCTGGCAAAGTTCTATTCACCATCTCCATGTGCGCTTCCCTTACACTGATTTCTCCAGCCAGAATCCTTGCAATCCCGAGAAAGATTGGCAGGTCGAGGTCGTGCTCTTTTGTGTATGAAGAAAGCGAGTGGCGGGACGCGTGAGCAGGTGGAAGATTTACAAGGAAGAGGACTCTTATTCTGAAAGTGGCTAAAGCTAATGCTAAACTTTGACTTTCCCCCTACTAGTTATTTGTCTACTTAGTTGTATCATTTGAGTCTCAAATTGCTCTCAGGTGGGAAGTGAAATAACAAAGCCGCAGTCCGACATGCGCCATCAAGTCCGACGAGCACAATCTTCAAGTCCTGGACCTGGTGCTGAAAGAAAATGAAGGTCCTCAGAATCTACTTGGTCTAGTGCAACTTCTTCTTGTGTATGGTATTTCGATATTTGCTGGTAACCTGAGTTCGATCATAAAGAAAACACATCAAAGAGAATCCTTGTGATCAAGTTCAGGCTACCAAATACCGGGCCGATTCACCTTGGAGTGATCTCATCCACCTCTTCCGCTCGATCCTTCATAAAATCAATGTCCTCGCGGCTGCTGCAGTTGGCACTCCTTCTACAGTGGTAGAACTCAGTATTTTGTCCAATGGTTCTCCTTTGGCTAGACGTATACCACAGGTGCGATTCCGACTGAGTGCTCCAAAGCACGTTAGCATCAAGTCGCCTATTCCACTGAGGCCTCCAACAGTATTTGGATCCCCTCCTAACGCAGATACCAGTTCTCGGAGTTCTCAAGGCTTAGAAGGAGAAGGAGGATGGTGCTACCCCATCGCAGACACACTAGCGAGCAGTAGCAGTAGCATGCTCAACTTGAGGTAGCGATAGAACATCTCTAAAGCAAGCTAAACTACGACGTCTCAACATCATGCTTGGCCATGTTCTGCCCTTCTGTTGCAAGAATGTACATCAATGCAGTCAACGTACTACTATTCCTGTACTATCTTCCTCGACCTACTTCTAACTACGATAATGTCTTCATAATACTTGCTCTTGTGACCAACGCTGCTATCGTATTCATGCCAAATCCACTTCCCTCTGCCACACCAGCTGCTATGGCTAGAGGGTTCTTCAACGCCCCACCCAGCTGTACACCAACGATGCAGGTTGTTGGGTAAAATATTAAAAGAAGCGGCCATTCTTCATCATGTCATCCTCATCGTCGGGATGGTGGAAGAACTACAACTATTCTATCATCACTCACTTCTACTTCTAGTTCTACTTCCTTCTAGTTCTATCTGTACTGTGTGTTCTTCTTCATACATTATACTACTTCTACTTTCACCACTCGATGAAGTAAGGAGGCTACTTGAAGTTCATCTTCATGCCTAAGTATCTTCTTCTCTAACTGTATTAATCGAAGTCGAACCCCTTCTTAATATCCGAAAATGCCTTGAGCTCAGGAGTCCTTGAACGCCCTGAGCGATATCTAGGTCTGTACAAGCCACAGTCACAGCCGTTGGATGATCCATCAGAATTTCCTTAGCGAAGCTTGGACCGGAAAGGAATGCTATCTGGTGGAGTTTCAACATCGTGATAGTGTTATATATTCTTTACGAGAATAGCAGGGTGGCTGCGACGTTCACGTAGTCCGTCGTAGTTCTTACATTCATATCTAAAAATTCACCATGAAGATGTCAATTTTCTTTTCGCACAGCGGCCACTTGACTACGACTTACTGCCTACATCGATGCAGAAGCAAAGAATACCTCAACTTGTCTGCTTTTTTCTGGACCCAGAGCTTCCTGGATTGCATCGCCAAGAAGCTGGTTCTTCTCCAAGTAGATGCCTTTGCTGGTCACGAGGAAAGTGGCTCCATCCTTGACGAGACTGGATTAGAGCAAAGTACTGATCCAATGCAGCACCTACGGCTACGTGACCTGTAATGTAACTACCATCGATTCTAGTAGTGCTACAACTAAAGCAACACTTGTTTTCACACCATAATGTTTACAGTCTACTACGAACGAAGGCACACTCTGAGCGGGTATGCATTCGCAGATCAAATCAGCGTCCTTTAACGCTTCCTCCAGGTTCGAAGTCACCTTCGAAATCCCTGCCATGTATTTCTTCTCTGCTAGCTCTGGGTTTTTGACTTAGATAGAGAGTACTTATGCGCGAAAGGATGCAGAAGGCTTTTTTAACTGATTCATGTTGAAAACAATCAATCTGGTGCTGACTGCTAGAAGAGCCTATACGACGAAAAATTACAAATGCTCTTTCCCTTTGCCTTTGCTTTTAGCATGATCACCAGGTTTTATACCCTAACATAATTTTCGACCGGAAAGTGCCGTGAGTTCGTTTTCTTCTCGCGGATTTCTTTCGCTTGTTCTGGGTTTCGGCAGTACATCACGACCTCCATCTCGGGATTTCTACTGCAGACATACGCCGTCGAGCTTCCAAATGTACCAGCACCCAACACGCAACATTTGAGTGGGATTAGACGGCGTCACTCAGACGAGATGACATTATAATAGAGCTCTTTAAACACCACGATCATGTCACTGCATCACTACCATCTGGTACTTCTACAGCTACGACGGCATGTTGAAGCCGTGTGAACCCAGCATAATTTCTCTTTCGCCTTGTTTCCTTTCCGCCTTTCTGCTATGACATTTTTTACTCTGGCTCTGCGCTCGCCACTACCATTTCGGGCAGGCGTCGAACCTGCGCCATCGGTGTCACGACCAGCAGGATCCATTTTTTGTTTCTTCATTCGGTTCAGGGTTGCTTACATACAAGTACAACAGGGTTGCTCTTGCTTTACAACAACTGAGATAGTACTTAGGAGGTTTAGGATTTGCTGTAGCTATCTTGTTCAATATTATTTAAGGACGTCCAAGTGGCAACTTAGTTACTACATCAACAACACAGAACGATGTGCCTGCTGATCGATCATCATCATGTCGTGATGCAATTTTTTTCATGACTTTTGGGTTCATCTCCTGTATTTTTACGTAAGTAGTACCAAGAATTTGTCTTCATGATCTCTCCTGCAACGAACTTCACAATATTAAATCCATCAACATCATTTTGAAGATGGACCAAAAACTTTTAACTCCAGTCATCTCTCTTGCTCACTGATGCGGATACAAGCTACTCCTGAAGTAGAAGAAAATGATAATTACCAGGAGTGCTTGCCACCTACACCTGGTATTGCTATTCTTGTTCAGTTCCGCTTCTATTTCTCCAGTCTTAGCGAGTCTTCGGTGTCATAGGATTTTCCAAAACTCGAGATTTAAATTCAGACAAGTGCGACCTATTCTAGGCGCGCGGTAGAGCAGAAGAAAGATCCAATATTATCGATGCTTTATTTTTAAGTGATTTTTCGTGAATGTTGGTTACTAGTCCTCAGACACACAGGAGAAAGGGAAGGAAATAATGTTTTTCGAATACAACTGCATGGTCATCATGGTGCGTCTGAGGAACATTTTCAACAAATATGTGTAAGTCTTTTAAGCCTATTAAGCAGTATGCATGAGCCTGGCTGATGAAAGTCAAAGCAAAATTAAAGGGCATTTTTCTCAAGTTGCAAACCACAGAAACCATATGTCTGACTCTGATCACGCCACACACTTCGAAGTAGATTACTCAATATGCTCGTCGTGAGAGTCAATATTCAGCTAGAAAGAATAGTCAATCCAGAAGAGAAGAAGCGTTAGCATAGTCGCAAATCTAAATCTTGAAGAACTCTATCAGATTCAGGGGCGACGTGTAATAATGAAGATCGCCAGGAACGCCTTACCTCATGCGTAAAAAAGGAGCATAAGCTCAAAAAATATATGCACGACCTTACAAGTTCTATCGGCCTTGAGCGCTAGTAGAGATCATAATTAGATTGATAGATGTAGAAATTCGCAACGGCACAGCATCAGCACCATGACCATCAAGCAACTTGAACATAAATATTTATTTCAGATATTTCTAATATTCTCAAAATATTCAAAATCAAAACCTGTGAGAAGTAGACGGAATGGAAATGTTCTCCTCCTCAGCCAAGACGTTGATGACATTTTCGTGCACGTGTATGAATCATGGCTACTGATTGATATCGTAGGAGATGTTGCTGCAGGAGCACACACTCGGGTTCGCGACATGTTTCTATCATAGAACCCGGATGGAAGCAGCTTCTAATCTGGAAGTATATTAGATGCACTACGTGCAAGAATCACGACAGCATGACGCAATCAGCATGATGATCCTCCCCTCCGGTGCTCTTTGGGGAAACGGCAGAAGACCTTTTGGACCAATAACGTAGTTGGCGGCCTTTTCGTCCACGAACATCTACACCCGATGGGACCTCAAGGTCTGATAACTTCTTCGTCGGATGGAAATGCCCTCCTTCTTCGGGTCGGTCTCCTTCCACGTGTTGTTGTCCTCGTCCACCTGTTGTTGCGGGTAAAAACTTTCTATGACCTGGAGACGACGAGGAATCTGACGATGGCGTCCAGGTCTCCGTGCCAGTAGCCAGAACTCCTAGATCAGCACCAGAGGTGAAATTTGTAAAATTTTGCCGAACTATCTCGTCAACCTCCTTTCTAATTCCTTTAATATTGCGAAGATGTGGTAGTTCTCGTAGAACTGGCGCGGCTATACCTTGTGGTCCTTGTCCTCCTGGTCCTTGACGTTGTCGTACTGCTTGTCCTTCTCCTTGTTGTCCTCCTTCTCCTTGTAGTTGTCCTTCTTCTCCTTGTAGTTGTCCTTCTCCTTGTTGTCCTCCTTCTCCTTGTAGGTGTCCTTCTTGTGCATGTGCTCGTTGTGGATGCGGGTAGTAGTCATAGCAATGCTTCCCCGATCGATCTTGGGTCCAATGTTGATACCCATGCTCCTCTTGTCCAGAACAAAGGGCTTGATGTCCTTCTCTGTCACCTTCTGGCATGTTATTCAAGATCAGAGGTCCTTCTTGGATGATAGTTGTGCGACACGTTGATAAGGCTTGGGAGATCAGGTCGCCGTCTATCTGTGTCCCATCTGGCAGAAAGAAAATCGGCTCGCCCCAATATTCCGCGAAGCTATGGCCAGTCCCGGAGACTGCCATGTGTCGCAGTCTTTGCATGCGATGATTGGACGCATACATTCCAATGCAAGCGTTAGAACAAGAAGATACTTTTTTTACATATACATACTATATTCCGAGGCAAGGGTTAGAAGAGTTGGCATTTGTTAGTATCTATCACTTTTCTTTTTAACCTAGGGTCGTGGAGATAATTCAACAAGACCGCAGCTTTATTCGCCCATTTCCAGTTCCATACGTGTTATTTCAATTAGGAGTAGCCAAAGCAGGGAAAGGATGTGTCCTCTATATAATAAGTAGCAGTGTACTTACCTTAACTTGTTCGCTTGCCGCTTTAGGCATTCGATACCGGTTTTTCAGCAAATTTCCGGATAGAGTCGCGGTCCTGTCTGAGCTGGTCTGAAGGCGCGCTGGAAATGTAACGCCGAAATTTAGAAGATGAGCATGAGAAGATGATGTTGTAGGGATAATAAAGGGAACAATAAGTGATGGAAGGCCGAACGGAAATATAAGCTTCGAAGCAGAGTAGAGAACAGTGCTTCAAATGGCGAAGGGAATAGAGGGACTGAGTGCAGAGGAAAAGAGTCTGGTGTTCAATTGAAGCTCAAGATCAAAATAATGATAACTTCTCATAAGAAAAACGACCAATCATTTCGCAGCAGCTTTAGGGCATGGAGGTAGTCCGCATGAGTTAGGAAGTTGACAAACGCGTATCCCTTATGCCACTTACGCGGCTCCCATACATGATGAGACGAGACACCTGTTGTAATTGTTTGAAAGGAAGATGTATTTTGAACGAGGCCACCTATGGTATAATTCTTATAGCACGGTCAACTTGAGGTAACGATAGATCAGCTCATGTCATGTGTGCGTCTCTGATAGGTGTGCTGCCCGAAGCACCCGGAGAGACTAGTTCTGATAGAGAGCGAGGCCGAGGCCAAGAGGCTAGCAGTACAGGTCGAACCGTGACGGTTAGGAATTGATCAGCAGCCACTACCACCTCATCCACCGAAGTAGACAAGACAGGTGACTACTGTACTGCAGCAACCTACGGGAAGGACCTTCCCAGTTTCAATATCCTTGATGCAGAGAATCGGCGCTGGAGCAGTGGGGCGATAGATCAGCTCTACGATAGCCCTAAGCTACAACAACTCGCTATCAAGAGTATACCTTCTTAGAAAATAGCTATCAAGAGTATACCTTCTGCGCCTGACCGAATGGATTGGCCATCTTCATCTTCGTATTCTGCAGGCGGGCTGTAATCGTAGTACCAGGGTTTGATGTCGCGATCCGTCTTCACCCCGCCTTTACGATGAAGGGGTCAGGTCTCGTGGGAAGGTGGGCATCAAGAGGGACTTGGTCTTAGGTACGCTATTATATTTTCTATCCTAGACGTGGTAGTTGTAACTCATCTACGTCTTACACGATTCACTCTTCTTGTTGTTGTTCCTTTTCGGTCTCTAACTTATAATTCTACTTGTTAGTTGTCCTTGTCCTTCTTGTGGAGGGATAATTCATCACGCACCATATTCTATAGTCTTAATATATAGAGAGAGACGAGAATTCGTATTTTTAGAGATTACTAGTACATCACCTCCAAGAGTACTTGACAATGACAGTACTTGTACTTCACATGATCATCATAACTTGGCATCTTGTCGTCGTCGACGCCTGATCTGAAGGTCGGAATGTAGACCATACTGAAGTGTGGGGTGATCATGTCGCTCAAGAATTGCGCAAAATTCAGCTGATTCATATGCGGTGGAAGATACGGTATAAACAAAGTCGTTGGAGCTCGGCAACACTTGGTCGTGGAAGGGCCATCACCATTAGCTTTCCTTTTGGAAGACACTCCTGAGATAACCGAAGCACCGTCATCGAAGATATCCATTTGGCTATTGAGGTCGTCATCGTAGGAATTAGAAGCGAGAGAGTGTATGCAGGATTTGATTTGGACTACTCTACTATAACTACATACAAGATGTGGCTGAACAAGACTACTTTCGCATTTATTTTTCAGATAGGGGAGTTCTGATACTGATACAACATCCGAAGGATCCGATGCACTTCTTGAGCTGACCCTGACTCTTCATTCAAAATAGCTATCAACAGTATACCTCCTGCTCCTGACTTAGAAAATAGCTATCATATAGTACCTTCTGCTCAGACTGAGTCAACTTAATATCTTTATCTTCTAAGTAGTAGTAGTATAAGCTTTATCTCTACATCAAGCCCGCAGCACCCGCCGTAACAGAGAATCCTGGTGCTTCATATTCACGAAGAAGCTTCTGTTGTTTCAGAATTTCTTGAGTCCTCTGCCGTTGATTTTGGCTCATGCCCAGCAGCGTGCTTCTTTGCTGCTTTCGTTTTTCTTTGTTAGTTCTTCCCTTGACATCCAGGGGATCATCGAAGATTCCTCTGGTATCCACCAAATGGTCTACTACGTGATCTGATGAAGAATGCACTCCATCTCCAAGTCCCATAGCTTTGTTCTCGTGATCTTGTTGACCTTCTTGAGGACCAGCAGCACTTCTGCCCTTAGTACAGTAGGTACTATCCCCTTCACCTCGAAGTACGCGAGAGCGCACCTCTGTGAGAGCAAGCCACATAGCTCCTCTTTTTTTTTTGGATTCACGACTCGCCTGCTCCAAGAGCTTGGTCTCCAAGTCGGCGTAGGACATGGGAGCACGACCCCTACGACCCAGCCAGCGCGTGGCTCGCGGTCGCGTATCAGAACTCCCTCTCACAGGAGCTGGTCGTGGTCGTGTAATCATAGAAGTGCCCGTGATGTATTGTGGATGTAGTTCTTCAGGACCACATACTTTCGTTGATGATCTACCTGATGACGTTGATGGTTGGGCCTGATGTTGTCCACCTTCTTGGTCCGCGTCTTGTTGAACATTGCAGCCTTGTTGGGGACCCTGTGGCTGTGCAGGTGCTGCAGGAGAACAACAACAAGCAGAATAATAGTAGCTCATAGCTGCAGCCGTAGCAGATGATGCATTTGCATGATACTGCATCAGCACAGGGAAAGGAAATCCTCCAAGTGCTGCAGATCCAGCACTTGTACCTGCTTCAGGAAAAGGAGTTCCTTCTTGTCCTATTGCAGCTCCTCCACTCGAAGATGCTGCAGCACCTCCAGCTGCAGCTCCAGTTCCACTACTAGGAGCACTAGTACTACTAAGGGAAGCGATATAATCATAGCAAGAACTCATATGCATTGCTGTCCACTGATACTGATCTTGGCGCATATCGACGTGCTGTGTCTGTGGCATGTAGTTGTAGGGATAGGGATAACAACCCAAGTTCCAGGCCCCTGGTGGAGGTGTCACCTGTGAAGGCGTGACCGCCCCATCAGAATCTAGTACCCACAAAGGAGGACTCCCGTAGTTAAGCGGGAGTAGTTGTTTTTCTCCAGCAAGAACATTGCTACTTCGTGTTTTCTCCAGCAACGTGGCACCTTGATGCTGAGGATGATGAGCTGCTTCTTTACTCCCGCTAGAGGACCCTCGAGTAGAAGTATTGATGGTATTCCCAGCATCACCTTGTACAACTACTTGATCTTTCTCTTCGTCTCCTTTTACTCTAGGACTAGTACTATGTTCGCTAGTCACTTCTCCACGTCCACGTGCGTCACGGTCATCATCATGTCGTTCCTCGTGGTCCTCATCATTTTCGTGGTGGACAAACAATTCTGTCAGAAGATTTTGACACTTCAACGCGTTAAAGTAGGCCGAGGTATGCACACGAGCAGGAGAATCACCAGGCTGACCTTCCAGTGATTGTGTTTCTCCCTGATGTTGCTCTACTTGTGAAGCTTCTTCGACGTCAACAGCATCAGCTGGTCTAGGTGGCTGCGTAGACCAGGACATTGCCTCTGGTGAGAATTTTCGAATCGTCTCATCGTCTTCAGGCTCGGGTGTCCAGATACCACTTTTATCGCACGGCTCAGCATCCTCTTGCTGATGAAGATGTTCTTGCTGCCCCACCTCGCTTTGAAAATGATCTACTCTTCTATTCTTGTGCAGTAATTTCTTACTAGCTGCTGCTTCTTTTGCTTGCCCTGCTCGTCTTCGTGGACTATGTCCTACACTCAGCGATCTCGTCTTTGGCTGGAAGAGCTTGTGCTTGTCTTTTGGCATGACGATATCATGGGCACCTTGACCTTGTTGACCTTGCTCATCTCCAACATCTACTGCAGCTCCGTCTTCTTCTTCACCATCTTCTTCGCTCTCATCGAGAGATGGGATCAGTTCCAGAAACGTGTTGCGAACTACGAGGCGTTGACCACTTTTCTCTAAGTCCTTCTGACGTCGATCTCTTTCTCTCTCCAAATCCGCTAAGGAAGAAAAAAGTTGCGAAGGTGTTGCTCTGAACAGCTCTTTGAATTTGGGCACGAGTACGTTGTTGATGATATCCTCTTTTTCTTCGTCAGAGATGCCTTGATCATGTTCGTTTTTTTCATCTTCGTCCAACCCGCATATTTGCATTTGTACAGGAGCAGCTTCCCCTTCCCCTACAACAGGCACAGTGGTCGAGCCTCCAGGGCTCATGGCAGAAGCACTTGCAGATTCCCCACCCAAAGGAGCCACGCTGCCTGAAGATGAAGATGATGATGCCAGTATTGACGTAGAAGCCCCTTCCGGCTGTTCCGCAGATGAGTTGTCAGCAGCTGTGGATGCGAATTAGAGCAAGTCGTGCGTTGAAGATAGAGTTCAGCAGAAATAGACATACTACTAGGAGATGGACAAAAGATGAAGACCTACTTTATTGCTCAGCAATAAATCTTTATTTAATATTTATATTACACAAGAACATCTTGATCTTTGAGGCAGAAACAGAACCTAGACCTATTGAACATCAATTTCTAAAGAAAAACAAGGGCCCAATTCTTAAGTCAAGTTGTCACCAGCAGTAGATGAGCCAGGGTCACTGAAAAAGGTCGGATTACTGCTCACGGTATCCCATGCATGACCCTGAGCTGCGTGTTCGGGACCGGGACGCGGGCGATGCGGTACTTGTCTTAATAGGAATCTCGCGCCCGCCGCACCAGCTGAGGCTGAAGATGGCTCTGGAACTGGAGCTGAGTGTTGAAGATCATGCTCATTCTCTTCTTCACGTTCTTTTTGGAGGTCTTGTTCGTGATGATCAGGTGGAAATGTTTGTGAAAGAGGAGTTCCTGGTGCCACTTCCTGTGGCCCTGCTCCCAATGATATCGATGATGCACCTCCCAGTGATTCAGAAACTGCATCTTCTGCAGCTGCAACGCCAGCTCCATGCTCTTTCTCTTCGGAAACAGGAGGGTAGGCAACTCGCAGCGCGAATGTCCCTTGTTGTATAAGAAACACACAGGAGAGCGAGAGCGGGTGCATCATCATGCGCGTTGACGTGGCGTGCACCACAAGTAGTTGGGACATCTTCTTCGTCATCAACATCATGCTTTATTGTAGTTTTACTATACTATTTTTAATAGAAGGAGAGAAAAGTAGCTGTGGCGTCTGTTGATGCAGGCACTTACTACATGTTGTAGTTGTATGATGATGTTGATAACATCAACAATTAACAAAGTAAGAAAACTAACGATGCAATTACAATTTGCTCTTTCTTGAACTGCTTCGACTACTTCCTGACTGTAAATTTAGTGTAAATGTATGCAGAAGCCGAAATATATGGAGACTCGCCTGGTTGTAGCTTGGTCATTGAAGAATTGGATCGCACTTCTCACCTGATCAGCGCGTTCATTCTTGTGCGTGGTAATAAATAATGTCAGAAAAGCAAATTGATAGCGGTGCTGGCAGAGAAAAGCAAGGCGATTGACAAATCAGCGGAACATGATGAGCAACACGTCAAAGGACACTCGCAGACTTCCTGATCCTTGTAGCGTTCAAATTTCAAAAGTGCTGGTTGTGTGACTAGTTGTATACAAGAATGGACTCCGCTGGGTGTCTGTTCATTGATTGTTTCAAAAATCAAACACATGTCTAGATAAAAGTCGGCTCATCCAGGTTTCATTTCCTCCAAGTCCATGAGGTCTAAAAAGCCATGTCCTGCACAGATTCCGCCTTCGTCACTGCTTGAACGCTTTGCTCTCTGAAATATTCCTACCATTTCATTGATTTCTCCTTGAGGAGGGACAAAATGCTTCTTGTTTAGAGAATTTGTACTATCTTCTTCAAGTTTGATGTCCTCAGGGTCTCTAAAAAACACTGAAAAAAGTCCAACTTCGGTTACAGCATCGGCCTTAAAAGAGGCACCTTCGTCAGTCAAAAAAAGAACATTTGGCTCGGGAATAGTTTCGATTTTTTTCATCAAAATATAGTAGTTTTCATCGTTTGTAGTTGGACACGTAGTCGTAGTGGCTGCGTGACTTTCAGCTCCTCCATTCTGCTTCGCATTCTCTGTTTCCGATACACTACTTGCTGCTGCGCCTCTGCTTTTGATGTAGTCAAGCATGTCCTGGCCAAACAAGTTGTTCCCTCCACCCTCCCGTTGAGGCTTCAAAAGCCATTTCTCTGGATTCGCATAGACTGACCCTATCAAAGCCCGTGCCCTTTCTCCATCAGCATCAGGGGACAAACAGGTTTCGATCTGCTCTTCTAAATCGTACTGAGTCGCAGTAACGTCAAGAATGCGTCGAGCTAAGGCTAGTAGTTGTGAGTTGTCTGCCTTCGTCTCCTTGTTTTCCTCTCTTGTCTCAGAGCTTGAAGTATATCCACGCAAGAACCTCATCAGTGTTTCTTCATCAGCGAGACACTGTTGAATTTTTTTCGTCCCAGCGAGTTGTGCTGGAACCGTCGGGACTTTGATGGCAGCGGAACGTTCTGAGCTTAGAACATGCTGATGCTAAAAGTGCGGCTGTATGGTTCTGGTATTTGGTAACCTGAGTTTGATCATACGGGTTCTCTTCTTGTTTTCCCTTATGATCAAATTCAGGTTACCAAATACCGGAACCATTCAGCGGCTCCCGAATGACGCTACAAAACTTCAGGTAGTTTTTCTAGTGATCCTCCGCGTTGAAGATACAATTACAAATCTAATAAACCCACATGATCGTCTAATTGTTCCACATCGTCCAGCCTTAAGATAAGCTCCCTCGCTTTCGAGTGTGTGTTTTCCGGTGCAAACGACGTGTGCCAGTAGACCACTGCAACATGCCTGTGGTTGATCCAAAGTCGGGAGTAGGAATCTAGGTGGAGATTAAAGGTTTCGGTATACTTGCATTCTCCAGAAAACCTTGACCTAAATTCTCCGCCCTGAAAATAAAGGGCCAAGGATGCATGTGGGGGATGTAATGTGGTAACGACCCTTAAGGAGAGTTGTGCCTTGAACGTTGATGATTTCTTGGTCATCTCGCACTTCTTGTTCTGTACCAGCAAGGCCAAGAGCTCCTTCATCAGCAACATCTCCTTCACCATCACCAGGCAGAACAGCAAAAAAGGAAGGCACATCGAAAAGCGTTTTGAGACTTTGTTGAATCCGCCTCTGGTCCATCTCCAGCGTGTCGTTCTCAAAACACAGGAAGCAAACAGCTGGACTTCTTTCATCTTCCTCCTTGCCATGTTCTGCTCCTACTGCATCTTCATCTTGGAATTGGAATTCTTGAGCAAACCGCCTCGCGTATGCCTCATGTGCAGCTGCTAATCCTCGAGCATAGCCGTCCGCTGCCTTGAAGAACTTCTTTCGTGCGGCATCTGATTCATCACCTTCACCACCAGTTGCGTTTGTAATTTCAGCCAGAGTTTGGCTCATTCCAGCAAATGCGACCGCAATCGTGTTGATCTCAACTTGGTTGTAATTCCGACTTCGAGTCGTGTCCTTGGCATTCATCAAATAGTCTTGCCGGAGCAGGTGTAGTCTTGGTTGTTTTTGTTCCATCCTTTTCATCTTGCTTTCATAACTACCTGTTGATGATGTATCTCGATTTGTTCCATAGCACCGATCCATAATCCCCAACAGCCCTCTCAAGAAGGGATCACTCTCAGCCGCATTCGTTAAGTGTTTTTGGAGAAAAGTCACGTCACAGATGACAGCGTCCATGACGAAATTGATTGCTCGAACCAGGTCGGATGTTAGACGAGGAGACAGCAATCGTTGTGATGTAGTTGAATGTTGATTGATTGATTGATGTGCCCATTCTCGGGGTTTAGCTTCTTTAATTATGAGTGCACGTTTTTTACTTCTTTCCCTTGTTGCATCTTTTTTCGTGACTCCTCATTATGTCAGTCCTTTTTGATTTCTGCATCATTGAAGTTTTGTCTTCTTCAAATTCCAACTTCCACTTTCTGCATTTTGTTCTTGAGAATGATGTACTTAGATGTAAGTTCCGAGTATTGAGATTTCAGGCTCAGCCATAGCATAATCTCGTCTAGCGCCTGTCCTTGGCCCCCATTTCCATTGCTTTCGCCAGCTCTGCTGCTGCGCCCGATCAACGGCATTATCCGCATTTCCTGTGCCGGACGTAGACCTTCAGGATTTCTGGTATCTTGTCTTAGAGGTAGGTTTTTGGTGCTTGCTTACCCCGCTTTTTATGCCTTTCTCCCTTAGGAGAGGCATAAAAAGCGGTAAGAAAAGCACCTTTAACCTACCCTTAATTGTCCTAAAGACTCTGCAATCGACAAACCCGGCGTTCTCACGAGACCTTTTGCAATGGCGGACAGTCGATAGTAAAGGCAAAGTCGCTCCTCATCAGAAGTGTCCGTGTCGGTTGTGTCGAGATCCACATCATAAGTGTCGGAAGAGTCCAGCTCATAAAGTGCTGCTTCGAGTTGGTTGACTGTTTCATCTTCTTCATCTTCTGCATTTTTACTTTTGTGAAAGAAGTCTTGCAGTACTCGTATCGCTAGTTTTTGACGCATAGCGATGTGCTCAGCTGTAAAACCTCCAGCAACGGTAGAACCAACGGTAGAACCGGGACTAAAGATTTCCCGCCATAGCTCGGAAAAAGAAGAACGAGTCGTAGTTGTCATTTTCACTTTTTTCATCATCTACATCTAATAATCTTCCTCTACATCTACATCTACGTATAAGGAGAACCAGATGGACCGCAATTACCACATCCAGCTTTTGCCCCATCAGGAGAATAAAAATCAGGAGAATCAGCGATAACTACTGCTCCGTCCTCTTCCTCAGAGGACACTATACTGAGGCATAGTAGAGTCTTCAAAAAAAGACGTATGGAGTCTTCAAAAAAAGACGCGGTTTCCTAGATGTCGGTTTTCTTCGTCTTGTTCCGCCTCGGCAAGAACAGATTGTCAGTCGACAAATCCGCGTCGACCTCGACTATCGTCTACAACCAACAACAAGCTTTCAAAGCTCAAGCACTCTAGCAGAAACAGAAGACATGACACTCTGATGTTCGTGATGCCTTACAATGGCAAGCGTCACTGGTGCGTCGTAGTGTTTAGGAGAAGTACAACGGTCCTGGCGAACCCTGTGACATCTGAGTGAGGTGGAGGAAATTCCCGATATCAGCGCAACAGTCCTCGAACTCGCCCTCTCGCTCTCAGTGAGCCCCTTTAACGCGTTGCGAGTCTTGGCGAGTCTTCCGCGGTGCTTTCCGCGTTCCTGCGCCCCCGCCCTCGATTCGTCGCCAATTGAAGCGCAGATATGGCAAAAATGCGCGTGGAATCAATAGGTGGTCGTTGGCTGCATGCAGCATTGATCATTCCCGATGTTGCTAGCAGCTTAACAAATCTGGTACTCTCCCTGGTATCGCATTTGCGGCTCCACCTCCACCAGCTGCCATGTTCTGCTCTTCTACTTCGATGAAACTTCCTGGAATAATTCCATCATCTTCCGCACTACTTGTTTCCACTATTTGAAGAACTTGAGAGCTGCTACTTATGCTTTTGTCCATCTCCATTTTCGCATTTGAAGTTGCACCTATCGACGTTTCCTCGTAGCAGTTCAACTCCCTCACTTGCGCATGTAATCTCTGCGCCGCCCTCTGCGCTTCCCTATACTGCAGTAAAAATACAGTCACTAGTTGAAGCAGGTTCAACAACAGACTCAGGTAAGAACAGAAGACGCTGAGATAGACAAATCCGTTGTTTGGAGTCGTTACGTCAAGTAGAAACTTCGTCTGGATGAGAATCTGGCCGACGTCACCGAGGAAACACTTCTCCACCATGATGCAGTGGGACACCTGAGTGATTCGTGGGTGTACGTATGGTCGTAGCTTGGAACTGATATCTTATGTATGTGATAGATTGCAAGGAAGATAATTATTGTTCATGATCTGGAGGGGACAATTATAAGAATTATATTCCAAGAATAAGGTATTTCTGAATCTAAATGTCTTTCTTCAAATTCAAACATCGATTTTGATCCGACACATTTGATTTGCTGCACAAGCACGACACTTCGTCGATAGATTGCAAGGAAGATAATTATTGTTCATCTCGTCCTGGAGGGGACAATTATATTATAAGAATATTCCAAGAATTACAACTAGTAGTCTACCTTCTGCGGCGTGAGCATCCCACTCCCCGGTCCCCCTATTCCAGCTGCTATAGAGTCATAGTTAAACGGTAAGCGTAACCGAACCGCCTTGTTCACTAAGCCGAAATCGAAGAGGACGAAGCCCATACACCTAGGCAATTGACCGTCGCAATCCGTGAATGCAAACAGCAGATGGAGAAATATCTGCAAGAGGAAGTTGACGGACACGCATGTTAGCGAGGCCCCCTAAACCCATGCTAGGCACGAAGATGACACGGAGGTTGTTCTAGGAGCATCATCAACAATGTTGCATGTAGTTAGTGCTAGTTTGGTATAGCCTGAAAGTTTGGTATAGCCTGAATTTGATCACAAGGATTCTCTTCTCGTTTTCCCTTATGATCAAAATCAGGCTATACCAAATACCGGAACCATTCAAATTCATCAACATGTTAGTGTTAGTTGGAAGCACAAGTAGACACCATGAAGCATCAACGACGCCTAAGGAAGTCAAGTGTGTTAGGGTTTACAGATTGTTTCCTGGTGCTCATAAAAACACTGCCAGCGAAGGCCACCATAGGTTACTCCCACAGTTTCGCGCGACTATGATGAAAATTAGGTCCAGGTAAACGTCTATCCGCCACACTGCGGTCCTCGCGAGGAGGTAAAGGTTCTCGTACTCTTTGTGGTAAAAAACCAAAGACTCGAAGAACACGTCGTGACAGAACCCCAGACAACAATGCTGGAATTTCCGTAATCGGATTAGGTATTTGGTGATCATTTGTGGCGCAGGTGTCGAAGATGTGGAAGATGTTGATTCGCCTTGTTGCGAGAGAGGTGGTCGAGAGGAGGAACTAGAAGAGGACGCACTACTGCCGGCAATCGTTCCAGAAGCTGTGCCCGTGCTTGTGCTAGAGGTAGAAGATATCACAACGTGATCCGTGCTGTTTCCTTTAGGACTCTCTTTCCATTTTACCTCGCCCATTTGCATCATCTCCAGATGACTCTGTGAGCCGATTACAGTAGGCTTCGAACTACCAGCACCAGAAGTACTTGTTTTGCTTGTGGTCGTTGGCGTTGTTCCTGCTAGTCCTCGTTGTGGCATTTCTGTTGCACGGAGGTACTCAGCTTCATCTGCTTTCCTTGTATAGTCCTTGAGTTTCTTCAGCTTGAATTGTGTTTTTGAGAGTATCGTGGTTGCGCCAGTCGTAGAACAAGTGCATATTCTGCTACACGAGGAGCTGACTGCAGTACCAGAGTTCTCGATGTCGGCATCAAAATCGTTGATATCCTCGTCAAGCCCTGCATATCGTCCGCCACCACCACGTCGTGCCTCAAAAATTGTCGCATCCCCAGCATCACTACCAGTATAATCCAAAGAAGCCTTTCCACCTCCGCCCTTGGACTTCAGTAGCAATAGAGCGCAATCGACTTCTTCCAGCAAAGAGCCACAAAGAAGGACGAGGAAAATCAAATGGCTCACGAGGCCCAGGTATTCGGTCGTCCCACACGAGTGATTGTCCATGACGATGAAGGGGATCAAGACCGTGAAACCCCAAAACAGTAGATAGTGCAACGTCAATCGCCGAAACAACGCCGTGTAGCTTCCAAAGCCAGGCTCGCATATCTCATGCATAAAAGTGGCAACTTGCGACCGATCGAGTCGCATAAGATGGGGCGGCTCCTCATCCTCCGGATAGGACGCAGCCGCGGTAAGAACAACGGTGGAAGAGGATGATTGTTGAGCAGGTGTGGAGGAGGAAGCTAGCGTCATTTTGAATAATCTTCTTGGTTGAGAAGTTCTCGACGCGCGGAGTGGAGGAGTCAGACCTCAGAAGGAGGAAGGGGATCCAGATCATGAGACATCGACAGTGCAGGATGAAAATTCTCTTTCTCTCTCTCTCTAGTCTTGTCGCATAGCACAAATTCGGATGAATTACTACATTACCCCCCGTCTTCAGAGTAGACAAGTGCCTCCAATAATCGCTTGCTACTCCCCGCGCGACTCACTCCTCACCTGCATCGTCCGAAGACTCGATTGAGTCTGCCTCTAAGCCACGTTGTGCAGACTGGAATTGAAATGGGATGCAATCAATCTTGATGACAGAGATTAGATTTGTGGAACAAGTAGGAACGTATGCCACAGGGACCGACAGAGGTTGATAAACGTCGTTCATGTGTTTATGAGCGCAAAGGCTATTGTATCTATACATAGGAATGAGGAATGATGACGAGTATGTATTTCTTGTACTTACTTGATACAACATGCTGAGTATCATTTCAAAACTAGAAGTGAAACGAGTTGTGATGAATAACAGGTGCTTCCTATCAGCTGTCCTGCACACCAAAGAAGAGCGACATGATAAGTAGCACATAAATGGTAGTTTCTCCTTTCAGAAACGCTTTTTGGTAGCAGAATAACAACTTCTTCGCCTTCTAACACTACTTGGTAGAACAATAAAACGACTTTAGAAAATGCAGTTATACAACCAATAGCCACAATCAGCAGACTACTTGCATTGTTCTGATCCAAAACTGCGAAAATTTTGAGAACGCAACACGCTATGACTAATGAGGAGACAAAAACACACCTCAACAAAATTGCTGCATTTACTCGAAAGCCCAACAAATCCCGATCAACTTGATTCTCATCCTTCATGAAGACTTCGGCTGCCGCTTCTCCTTGTAGAGCCACGCTACCACCACCAGCAGCAAGCTTCCTCCTCAGCATAATCTGAATCGCCATCGGTACAAGAAACAAAACGGAGCATAGTTCGACGCCAGACGTTGCGACGTTTACGTTTCCATGCATAGGGACACCTTCAAGAAGGCCGAGAACGATAAATGCTAATCCGATTGTGAATGTTTCCACAGCATTCGCGACAGACGTGGTCTCAGCACGAAACCGATGAGGAAAAGCTTCAATCGCTCCTCTTGCTCCTGCGTTACTAGACTCAGCCTCTAGAACTCGATGTTGGAGGGGGCGACTTTCTTCAGTTTCATCGCGTCCTCCTACATCTTCGTCCGAAGATGCCGATTCTTCATTATAGAGAAAATCATCCAGATCCACATCCACAGGCGGCGCTCCTACATTATTCGTATCTACAGACTCCAAGTCCTCCATCTGGCTGCCGTCATGTGTGCTTATCTCGTCTTGCTCCTCAACAACGTAGGGAGATTTATTGACCTCATCTTCGTCGGGATCATGGTCAGGGAGATGAACGACTTGCACAGCGTCTCGAATATGGACGAGGCCATTTCGATATTTTACTTCTAACTTCGGAAGTGCAGGCGCAGGTGAAGAGATCTTCTTTTTAGTCGTAGAGAAAGTAAGAGCAGTAGAAGTTGAAGTGTTACTATTGCTTGTTGTACTTAAGGATGGTGTAGTCACGACCATCTTCAACCCGTCTCTCATCTGCTTGTAGTTTTCTGGTGTTTGTGGTCTACCGCAGCAGGAGTTTCCGCTTGTATTAGACCCAGATGAAGAATCTTCATCTAGCAACGCGTGAATTGGTGAAATCTCTGACCACTCGACAGCATCTTTATCCATGTCTGCGTCGAACGATAGAAACTCTTCGAGTGGATTGCGCTGATGTGCATAGTGACCCTCTGCGTTTTTCTGTAGCGATGGAGGTGCACAGTCGCCCTTCCTCGTCCTAAGTAAGAGGAATACGGCCTGCGAAATCAAAAAAAAAGTCCGTAGGGCAGAGAAAGGAAAGCGAGCTTGTGCGTCCAAGGCGATGAGGGTGGAAAGGAATTTTCCGAACCTGATTGGTGAGAAAGGTGAGGTGAGTGTCATAGCGACTCCTGTAAAAAAGAAGACGACTGAACATCATGATGAACAAGATCAAGATTTTTGACTGAGAAATATTACAGAGGACATCGATCGTGATCAATCCAAACTATTTACATTATAGAAAAAAATTTGTACACAATTGCCGGCAACAGCCACAGCAGGTACAAATGACTCCTCCACCCTCTGATGTTGTCGTGTTCTCTTCTATTTTCTAGGGCCCCATGACGATGCCCATTCCACATCGATGGAACCAAAAGCGCAACCGTAATACCTTGCGCGAAACTACTCAGCCAAAATGCGTCCTCGCTTGGTGCTGTTCCTGCTATGCAAAGAACGAAGAGCGCTATTTCCGAGGAAGAAGCTGCTTGTTCCTGAAGATGTGTTCCACCGGAGTCGTCCTCATCTTCCTCTTGCTCTACCTCCACGATAGTCTTCCTCGTGGTCTTACTCTTCATCTCCTCGAAAACTAAGATCCCAGCTGCCGCAAGAAGAATGCCGCACCAAAAAGAAGCGCCCTCTTGGTATACGACCACGACTGTGGCAAAAAGATGGATCAACATCTCTGCTGACTGTGGCAAAAAGAGGACATGAAGATTACTTTTGATGAAGAATTGCGGTAAAGGTAATCTACTACAGATCTTTTTCTTCTTTATAGTGATAGATTAGAATGACAACTGCACATCTAAATGATCTAAGAACTTTTGATGTGTCCGTCCTCCTCCACGTCAAAAGTAGTACGATCAGCTTTTTGATGTACAGCGGAGCCAGTTTGTCGCAAGAAAAACGTCCCTCACTCTTTCACAGAGTTGTTTGTCTTCTTTGGGGTACGGGACGAGGAAATAGTCTCTCTACATTTTTCCATACATTTTCGCACTCCCTCACCTACACGAGAAGTAGCACCTCATACGAAAGAACTTGCCTTTAGACGACGGACGCACAAGAATTATTTGTTCCTGGTACAGAGTCAGAGAAGAAACTTCCGAGTAGGATCAAATACAAATGTCTCTTTGAAAAACTCATTTTTATGGGGTTTGTCGGTCTCTTGGTTGTACTTAGATGTGAGAAAGCGAAGATGACTTCGTTGTGTTTCCCCAAAGAACACGCTACGAATGCTTTGTGTTTGTTGGTGATTGTGCGTTCATACTGATGACGGCATCGCCATCGTTCGTCTCTACGTATAGCGGTTCAAACAATGGAATACTTGGTTAAAATGACTCCCGATCCCTGGAAGTGGAAATCATGATCTTCCTTGCTTCTTATCCTTCTTGCGTCTAAAAATCACTGAAATAACAAGTCGAATTCAAAGCCTACCGTGGATGTTGTTTGACTTATTTGACGTCGTGACTCACTCCTCTTCCGCTGGCAACAATGCAATTTCCAAGTCGTATTGCTGATCCAAGCCCAGGAAACTATCACTACAGCACATCAAGTTCAAGACAAAGCTCTCCTCTTCTTCCCCCTCTTCCATCTCTGGCGCTTCAAAGTCAAACACCACTTTCTTAGTCACATGCATGGGCTGCAGCAACACTCGTTTCATTCGGATCAACTCGTCGTTCTCACCATCACCCAGTAGGAGCCACCAAGAATAGGTCTTCTTCTTCGGAAAGCGAGGAGCATAGGCGTACTTCATGGGAGCGTTGGCGTACCAAGCAAAAATCTCGAGTTCTAACCCACAGCCAGATGGAACATCAAAACGAAGCTTCTCTTTGTTTCCTCTGCTGCCATCATCGTCGCCACCTTCACCGTCCGGATTTTCATCACTCTCCACCGCTTTCAGTTCCACCCGTTCCTTCCATGTTTCGCTCTTCGGTTGCCACACCGCATTCGGGTTCGTGGGATGGACGTAATCTCGGCTGCGACCGCCGCGCTTGCCTTGTATTAGACGTAGCCGTTGAACAAGGTAGGAAACTGAGTCTACTTAGACTTACTGTGCCAAGACTGATTATCAGTATGGTGAACAACCATCTGAACAATTATATTTATAAGCATACATAGATATAACGTTTTCGTTTACACGTGGTTTGTAAGATATTATGAAGAATTTGGTATGATATGTGTTGTAAATGTGGTAAAAATCCTTTTCCGTAACTTTCCTTTCTTGCTCCACGATCCATCTCCAGTTTTTTCGTCCAGTATATCCGCTTTGGCTAAATCCGCGTCCTTCTGCTCCAACTCGGCTTTTGTTGGTCCAGGCACTTCCTCTTTCACCTTGAACAAGCGAAACGCGAGTCTCAATCTTGGAAGCTTTTGGCAGATGTCGGTAATTTCCTTGATCATCCGCAGTTGGCGGTCATAGCTCACATTCCGCTTCATCCAGCTCGACTTTGTTGCTGTAAAAGCCCGCTTCAGCACGCCTCGGACGTCCCAGTGCTCCACTAATTCAGCTAGCGAATCGATGTTCTCCTTCCTTTGTAAATAGAGCAACAGGTCTTGGTTTCCGAAGTAAGGTAGAGTCGACAGGATGCTGCTTCGCCAAGGATGACTGGCTTGGTGGAGACATTGGAGTAACAAGATCAGGTTCAAGCAAGTCCGCCATTGCGCTTCCTCACTCGCTATGTCGGTTAAGGCCTGTATAATCGGAATCGTCCGGTCCAGCACCGACTTTAAATCCGTCTTGTAATCCGAAGAAGGCAGTTCTAGATTCCACAAATGCGCTTGAAGCAGCAAGAAGGCTTTGGTATGCGGACTGTCTGCGGACTGCGTAGCCAAGTCTAAAGCGATGGGACATTCGTCGGCGAATTCATCGTTGAGTTTGTCCTCATTGTGACGAACTGGCAGTTCCCGATATTCAGGACAATCGCAGATCATCCTTAAAATCTCCACAAAGCCCATCCCCTCTTCACTGTGCCTATCTAAAGCATCGTGAAACTCGAAGACCGTCCGATGACCCATGTAGTACAAAGAAGCGACTTTCCCCAGTGGCTGCGACTCTATCACTAGGGGTCTCCAGTTGCCATCTTCGTCTTGGCCAGCGCTTTTCAAGCAGATGCATTTCGCACGAACCAAATCAGCTAAAGACCTATCCAACAACTTCTCCAGGTAAATCGCGGTTTGCGCGGTCTGCTCATGCTGTGCCAAAGGTCCCGTCACAGCCTTCGCATCTGACTCTCCGGCTCCTCCGGTCATGCTCAACGCCGCAGCTGGATTGTAGTACGACGGATTCACCAGCAAACGTCTGTAAAAGTACGTCCACGTCAAGTAATCCAAGGCTTCCGCTTTGTTTGTGATCGTCCTCCCAACCACTTCCGCGTTCAAGTGGTCTGTCAACTGTTCATGCAAACTCGACTCCACCGGAAAGGGCTCATAGATGAACTTCCTGTAAAAATGCTTCTTCGGTTCGTGCACAAAGATACAAGCAACGGCCTTGTCATCGAACTGAGGTCGACCTGCACGCCCCATCATCTGTAACACATCGGTGATAGGGAAGTCGACGTATCTTTTGGTCGCACCGTCGAAGAATTCAGTGCCTTTGACCACGACTAGATGCGCGGGAAAGTTGACACCCCACGCGAGAGTGGACGTCGCAATCAAAATCATGATTTTTCCCTCCAAATAAAACTTTTCGACCAGTTGCCTGTCTTCTTCTGTTAGACCCGCGTGATGGATCCCAATGCCGTTCTCTAGGAACTGTGGTAGGTGGGGATCCACAATTTTTGGCAAAGCCTCGATGAATTCCTTGTCCATGCGCGGGTTGAATCTGCGGAAGCGATGTCCATACTTAGCTCGCGCTTCTGCGACCTCAGCAGCAATGCGAGCAGCTGTTTCGGCAGCTTCGTTTTGCTCTGGGGAAGCCCCTGGAACGAGGAAGTGTGGGAAATCGATATTGAGTTGTAAAAAGTCTCAGAAGTAAGGGCTAGCAGGAATTTTTCAGAAAGGAGCGAGTAGAGTAGTACTAGAGTAGTAAGTTGACACTTCTTCTGTTGAACAAGATGAACAAGAAGAACGGGGAGAATCGACATCATCATCATGAGTTAAATATTTATAAATATCATAGTACCTGTGTTCATCCCCGCTACTTTTGCATAGCTCATTCCTCCCGCGCCAGCAGCCAAAGCCATACTGGCCGCATCAGCCTCCATCTCTGCTCTTGCTGCTTCAGCTTGCTCATCCGCGTTCATCAAACCGATGATGTCCAATGCCGTCAACCTGGTCTGACGGCGCGACGACACAAAGATCAGTGTTGGCTTCGTCGGCGAGTGGTTCTTGATCGCGTCGTAGCAAGGACGATTCATGGTGGCCATTCGGGGACAGTAGTGCTTCTCCGGGAAGCCGCGGATGTGGACTGTCATCGGCACTGGCCGAACCGAAGGTTTGAAGTTGAAGCACCCCACCATGCCGATGCCCAACCAATCCGCGATGTCATGGGAATTCGCCAATGCAGTCGACAACCCCACAAAGCGGATTGGCACGTCCAAATTCGCGGAGATGTATCTCATTCGGGAGACAATCACTTCCAAAACAGGTCCTCGATCCTGTCCCAGCAAGTGGATCTCATCGATCACCACAAGACCCACTCTTTGCACGTACGCACGTGACTGCCAGTGTCGTGAGATACCATCCCACTTTTCGGGTGTAGTGATGATCAGTTGGGCTGCGTCTAAAGCTGTGACATCCGGAGTGAAATCACCCGTCAGTTCGACAATGCTCTTGCCAAGTTTCTTGCCAAATCGCGTACTCCAGTCGGTCATCCGTTCTTTGGCGAGAGCCTTGAGTGGCGCAATGTAGATGACCTTTTGCTCGGGAGCGTGCGGCCTTAGAGGAGGAAAGAAGAGAAATAATCAGCTTCTTGAAGTGCACATGATTTACGATTCGCAAATATATCAAGATCAACTATGTTGATTCAGCGCTTCTAGAGAGAAATAAGAGAAAGTGCACGAGGACTTTGAATGTACTATATACGAACAGGTTCCTATTGTAGTTTCAGACGTTGATATCCTTCCATAAGTTGAACAACCGCAGTATCGCTAGTTCAGCCATGTTCGTTTTACCAGATCCTGTTGGGGCTCCCACCAAAACGTTGTGATTCGTATGATACAACGTGTGAAAGACCTGTGTTTGCACTGGATTGAAGTGCGAGAAGTTGTACAGGTTTTCGTAGTTTCGGTTTTGTAAAGCCGTTTTCGGTAGAGGAAACAACTCCAACAATGGCGTGTGCATGTTCTCCCCACCAGCTGGGAGTAACAGGTGGCTCACGGAAAATTCCATCACTGTTTTCAACCCGACCCAACGACTCGAAATAATCGTAATCACGTACTGCGGAGGATGGGGTTGTTGTAGCGGGATTACAAAGGAGACAACGGCTTCTTCGTCTTTCTCCGTCTTCCGCAGTTTCCATTCCTCCGAATGCAAAATATCCTTGGCTCTAGGATCTTCCACCCAGATAAACCAAGGCTCGAACGACCCACTCCAATTGTCGCTCCATTCGCAATGCTCATGAAGCTTGATATTCAGCCTGATGCGCATGATGCTCCCAGTCACAGGCGTCACCGTGTGTTGCACAGACAAGTAAGGTACGCGATACGTGTACTTCCAAACGGCGGTAGCTTCTTGACGGTTGGGGATCAGGTAGCTGAGTTCGTCCCATTCCATATCCCACAAGGCCTCCCAATCCGCAATATGCCGCTTCTGTTCTAACCGGTCGCAGGTGTCTTCTTCGGACTTAGAGACGAATCCTTCTGAATCATTCTCACTCTCAATGTTCAGAAGTACTGAGAACTTGAACTACTTCACAAAAAGTCAAAATTTCTGATCAAAGAATAAACCGAACACTTGAGAGCCATAATCAAAACACCGCCAACCAGTCCTTGCTTGTCCTTGCGGTTCCACGTTGGCGCGTAGCAGAAGTGGCGGAGCATATGCTGATCCGGCCACATCCGATATTCCATCCGCTTGGTCCACTCCAACAGCGATTCGCTCATATTGCTCAGTCCCGTCACGCGCGTCAACGTGATCTCGAACATGGCGCGAAACAACCGCCCAGCGCTTTGCGTGATGAAGTTCACGTCTGAGGAAAGCGAGAAAGATTGGATCATCTTCCTGGATAGCCAAGCTTGAAGTAGGACAGCGACTTTCATGGCTGGAGTGTCGATTGGCCCAGTGATTTTCACCTTGCAGACCTCTCTTTAGAGCTACCGCCTTCGCAATCGCATCCCACCTGGGAGGAGCATCCTTGTTATGTTGCCTTCTTTATTTTCAAGTAGAAAATAGAAGAGCCAAGCAAGGATGGCGCTGGGGAAGAGGATGCACTATAGGTAGCCTTAATCTTTGTCAGACCTCAAGGCATCGAGTTCGGACACTTCGTCATCACGCACTCTCAGTTGCTTAAACTCCGTCGCCTCGCCAAAGAGTAACAAAATTTGCTCATCCTTGAAGTGCGTCGTCATGTTCTTCGAAAAATTCTCTGCTGTCTCGTAATCCAGGTAGTACTTCGCGGCCACCCGACCCAGATCCGTACTGTAGTAGTTGTCACTGGCGTCGACGCGTATCAGCCTGGCGTCATTGAGTTTTTGAGCCGCTTCTTTGTTAGAGTCTGCTAGCTTGCATCTCGGCCCTCGCATCTGGGCCACCCCTTGGACCTTGTTGTATTTCATGAGAATACAAGGGAACAAAAGGGCACCAAGATGCCGAGAAAGATGCACACTAAAAAATGTTGACCTTAACTTTGCACCAGGTTCGCCGCGCCCGTTTTAATTGCGGGTCTGTCAGAAGCTGTTCCTGACTTAGGCCAAACTCTACTGGCGACTGCTTCGCGCGTTGGTACAGGTAGGTGTAGGTCAAAAATTCCGCTCCGTCTTGAAGAGAGTGAAGATTCCCCATGGCAACTTCAGCGTTCAAAGCGTTTGCAAACGTGCCTAGGAACTTACTGTCGATGGCAACTTGATGGTTTAGCCTTCGCAAATAGCTGTCCATGGCCTCGGTTTTCTCTGTGATCAACGTCGCTTGGCCCATCGTGTCCAACCCAGGTCGCCCAGCTCGGCCAAAGATCTGCATGACATCTAGAATTCCGATGTCGTTGAAGCCGCCTTTATCCGGCATATAGATCTGCGTTCCCTTGATCACGACTTTGCGCGCAGGCAGGTTGACGCCCCAGGCTAGAGTCGCTGTACAGACCAGGACTTTGATCGCGCCATCGAAAAACATTTGTTCCGTCGTGCTACGATCCCCTCGGAGCATGCCCGCGTGATGAACACCGAAGCCCTTCCAGAATAATTCGCGGACTTCCTTGGACTTAGCTTTTTCCGCTTCCTTGACCCATCTGCCAAACGTCTTTTGGTCTTTGCAGGTAGATTCTTTGGCGTTCTGAAAGGCCAGACTCTTGTTTCTTTGAGAAGCGAGTTCACTCATTTTGATCGCCGTTGTGTAGGTGTCTTTTCGACTGTGCACAAAGATCATGCATTGGTGGTCTTGCGCTACTGCTGAAAGGATTTCTTCAAAGCATAGCTCGTCCATCTGTTGCTTGATTTTCATCTGTTCTGCGGCTTTGCTTTTCGAATATGCTTTCTTCCTAATGCCGATGAAGGTCTGTTCTAGAGGAATCGGGCGGTAACTTCCGTCAAAGTAGAAGATGTTTTCTGGTGGACAATGAAGGAAGTCTCCAACGGTGCCAAAATTTGGCAACGTGGCAGATAGACCCACTAAACGGCAGGTGTGTCCAGTGGCTTCTTGGTATCTCAACGTTCGCGCGACCACAGACTCGATCACTGCGCCACGATTCTCGTGGAGAAGATGGATCTCATCAATGATGACTAACTCCGTGAGTCGCTGAATCGAGTGCTCATCGCCAGAGCCTCCGCCACTAGTTGTGTTGCGGGTCATCACATCCCATTTCTCGGGGACAGTCACGATCACGTGTGTTCGGTCCAACTCCTGTTTACTCAGGCTAATATCTCCCGTCATTTCGCGGACTTGGATGCCCAAATTAAAGCTCAGCACTCAATGGTTACCATTTAGATTGGAGTCACTGAGATCGAAGAGGCGGCCCCTTGTTGAGAGAACCAACAGGGAAAAAAACGAAGGGAACAAAGGGAAGAGACCCCCCTTCAAAGCTCTCCCCTTTGTGCGTCCCTTCGTTTATTTCCCTGTTGGGGGTTCTCTCAACAAGGGGCCGCCTCTTCCAATCTAAATGGTGACTCCAATCTAAATGGTGACCATTGAAAGTTGAGCCTTAACCAAATGAGCCAATTTGGAAGAAAACTTCTCCACAACCTCCGCACAAAGAGCCTTCATCGGAGCAAGGTAGACCATCTTGAAAACACCCGGAGCGGCATCGTCGTCGTCACCTCCTTTGCCCTTTTTGCCCTAGTCGATTCATTTATCTTGAAGAGAGTGCTGGATGCTGATGTTCTTGGTTCCTTCTTGCATGGAACCACGAACGAAGATAGTAACGCGTTAAGCGCGAAAACACTAACGAAGATAGTAACGCGTTAAGCGCGAAAATACGAACGAAGATAGTAACGCGTTATTAAGCGCGAGATTAGTACCAGAAATGGTAACGAGAGAAAGGGAGAGAGAGTTAACCTCGTCACGAAGAGAAGCGGAGGTAGTACCTTTTTCCCCTTGCCTTTCTTCCCTCCACCTGCCAAGTCTGGAAAGAGCTCCAACTTTCCGTCGTTATCAGCTAACTTCTGGTGTATCAGCTTCAAAACCGTCAGAAGCGCCACATTCGTCTTGCCGGCTCCTGTGGGTGCACACATAAGCAGGTTAGCGTTGCCACGAAAAGCAGCCTTGTAGACTTTACTCTGGATCGTGTTCAAATGCGTCGCACCTGCAAACGCTGGCTGGGCCCAGTCAGGAAGATCTTCGATCGGAAGTGGATTAGACTCTAGTAACGACTAAGCATTGCATGGTTGAGAATGAGAATGTCTAGATGAAGATCTCGTTCTCCTTTTTGCCCCCCTTTTTGACACCGCTCCAAAGCACCTCCGAGCCGAGCCTCCCAAGGGTTGGGGCTCCCCTGGAGGCGCTTTTAGGGTCCACACTTCGCGATCCTTGGAAGCGGAGTCCCGCTCCGAGGGTTCACTGCCAAGCTATCGGGATGGCATGGCCCCAGCGGTCCCGAAGAGGTTGGGCCTTGTCAGGCTAGCAAAATTTGAAAAAAAATTCACGTGGTGCAACGAGAAAAATCCTGGTCTAAGAAGTGGATTAGACTCTAGTCACGACTAATTTGGCTCATGGGATAGAAGCAGAAGCACGGGTGACGTCGAGTGAGGCACCAATACTAGATGTCATGTCAACCTGTCACCTCGTGCTCCATGTCCACATGGTCAAATGGAATTGAGGTCATCCAACCGACTTGTACCTCTACCTTCTTACAAAAGAAGAGCAAGAATCAGAGATAATTATATTTATATAACAACGCAGTAGTCCAACTCCAACAATAGAGTTCTTTTCGATTTCAACATGTTGCCATAATCAACTTGATGCTTTCGATCTCTTTCTCCTTTTTTTCAGGCGGCGGGATCATCACTTTCACGTAGTTTTCAGCGTCTTGCCGTTTCGCGCCCTTCGGTAATGCGTTACCACCAGTCCTCTCTCCACTGTGTTTCGTTAGATGAGGTTGCGCGTATAAAAACTGAAGATTTATTGAACTTGAAGACCATAACGAAAGACTTTCATCAATGACACTTGATGAATCTTCAGGACATCATCAACATGATCAACATCAGACTACGCCTGGTAGAGCAGCGATATCATAACTCACCAGGCAGATTATGAGCGCCCATCACTGCCATCATCTGCTTCCTCAAACTTCCTGGCCCGTCTTCGTCTGCTTCGCCGGCGTCTTGTTCTTCAAGGCTAGTCAGCAATTTTTGCAATACCATGAGCGGATCTGCATTGTTCTTCTTCTCTGCTTGGCGGACGTTAGAGGTATGAATATGATCTAAGGAGTACTTGTAAGGACGTCGACTTGTCGTGTCTACTTCTAGTATCTACTATTCTTGATGTTGAAGTTTACATTGTTGTAACTGAATCATGCATCTTCAAAAGGGCTGATGTACTTACTTTTATTGACTTTATTGACCTTGATTTCACTGAAGATGTCTTCATAATCTTATTTTTATCGCTTTTCCTGGTCACAGAAAAGCCTATTTGCGCTATATCCCTATGCATCTGGTACTTTTCCTGCTTGACTTTCGCAACCGATCTGGGCGTGACGTCTCCTCCAGCTTCCAAAGCCGTTTTGTATTCCGATAAGATGTCGTCTTTGCTGGAAAAGAGAGTCTCAACTTTCTCAAAATCGAAACTCAACTGCTCCATCAACCCACTCTGGTCATTGGCCTTCAGGGTGGTGATCAGTTGAAGCATGAACTCCTCGATCGTAAACGGCATATCGGTGTGGGAGAGGTTAGAGGAGGGCAGACGAAGAGTAGCAGGGGAGCCTAGATTAACAGGAATTAAGTCAAAGTGAAGCCTGTTCTTGATATGGTCAAGAAGAAGATGAAGACAGAGACTACTAAAAAAAGTTAGAGGTTATTCATTCATTCATTCATTTACCTAGCACGAGGTTAAGGTCAGACTTAATTATTTGCACACCCCTTTTAGGGTTGAGGGTTTCACCTTTTTAATGGATTCGTCGAGTGCCTTACTCTCAAGAAACGACGTCGCCACCTCTTTCAGTCGCAACAAATTTGGACAAAGTCTTTCGGCTTTCAATCGTTGACCAGGCTGACTCGAAGATGAAGAAGATCCACCTCCCCCTCCGAATTTGTTGATCACTTGTACACTCATTGTCTGGTCGCCTAAAAGGGCTTTATTTGTTCCGTCAGCAGACAGTTGGTTCAAAGAAGACACATCAATCAGTTCTGGCAACTCTCCAAAAACGTTTTCCACGCGATTGGCTTTCGCTAACAGATTCAGTTCCCCCAGATTCGCAAAGGGGTCAGTATACGTTGCTCCTAGGCCCCAAGGGGTTTGGCGTCGAGTCCCCCTCGAATTCACTGTGACTTCGCCTTTGTCGGTGACGTAAAACAAATCACTCTTCTTGCCACCATCTGCTGCATTTGGGCCGTCTTCTGCATCTTCAGACAAGCTTCCATCAACGTCAGAAGAGTCCCAATCTTCGCCATCCTGCTCAGCGTACTGGGCTGCATCCTCATGTAGCTTGTCAGCATAAGCAGCTGCCGCTTTCGCTGCCGCTGCGCCCCAACTGAAGTTGTACTGGCGGAAAGTTCCGCTAGTAGTCGGCTGCGCTCCGTTTGGACCAGTGCTGCCATTGCTGAAGGCGCCTTTCCGCTCCAACGCAGTTCTCAGAACCTTGACAAAACCATCATCATAGCAGGTACTAGTCCCATTCACAGCTCCGTTGCTCCGATTCCTGCTATTCTCTTTCTTTTCCTCCTCCTCTTTCTCCTTGATCTCAGCCCATAGTTTTTTCTTCACTTTTTTCCGCGTCACACAGTCGAATGGAGCTAGCTCGTGTGCGAGTTTGATGGTGACGTCGAATTTCGCATCGGAATCGTCAGTACCCCAAACGCTCGCACCGCACAGCTCATGCGCGATCCTCGCCTTGATATGCTTTTTGCTCACACCCTCGCTCAGCATGATGCAGTGCTCGTAGACCAGAGGCGCGATGACGCTTATGGTCAGGTCTACGGAATCGCCAATATGAGTGGTCAGATTCTGCTGAAACTTGTTGAAAGCAATACGTGGCTCATGGCCACCTGCCCGACCTCCAAACCGCTCCAAACTCCAAGCCGAAGGATACTCCTTCTTTTTTTAGAACTCACTACAATCTAATCCAAACTCCAAGCCGAAGGATACTCCTTCTTCTTTTAGAACTCACCACGACAATCTCAATCCATCTCTTCCTTCATCCATCTGTGTCCGCTTCATCTCTGCTTGAGAACAGCGCACTTTTTTTAGCTCAAGAGCTAAGAGTAGATGGGTCATTATTAATATTTATAAGTGACGAGGCCTTAACTCTTGCTAGAATCCTCCTCGCCTCGGGAACTGGTCTTGATATTGGAAGGTGGACCAGCGCTTCGTTTTCCTCCACGTCTCCCAGACACGAACGTCGACGAGCTAGAAGAAGTTCCAGTTGCCAGATCACTGTTATTCCTAGTTGTACGCTGTTGTAGGACTTCGCGCATTTTGAGCCTTCGCTTGATGAGCTCGGCTCCCAGGTCCACAACATCTTCGCCTTCGACCCGTGTTCGAAGATACTGCGTCAAACGCGGACGCTGGTACAGGAAACGGCTAGAATCGTCCATTTCTTGAAAAAATTGAAGTAGAAGTACTCGACCACAAGAAAAGGCGCTCTTGTTTGGTATTGTTCAGGACTAAAAATTTCTGGATGTACTTAGGATCGTTTTCTAAACAGAACAGCAAAAAGAACGAATTAGTTGCGCGCTAAGCCTAAATATTCTGGTTCTACTACAGATTAATAGTTCAAGAAGAGCGGAATCTGCCTATGAACGAATCGACTACGACCACACAGATGAGGATGAGCGCTTCAGTCCATACTCTAATATCACCAACTATTCGCGAAGTCTCCAAAACTGGTTTGTTGTTCGGAATTTTTAATGGAGAGAGAGAGAAATTGACCACGGTCGTGCTCATTATCAATCTAGCAAAATATGCAAGACTACACATTCATACCATTCGTTTCCACCACGGTATGCAAGACTACACATTCATATCATTCTGAAGATGTTGCAGTTCACTTGTATACTTATATATATAATTGGATCGCTTCTTCTATTGCGTCTTCGAGATTCCTCATTCTATGCCGATACTGAAAGTTTCTCCACAAACATGATGTGGCAGACCCGCTGGATGGCAAAGTGTTTCTGATTCTGTGTCATGTCATGCTGCCTCTTTTGTAATTAGTGTCTACTTGTGAGGCCATCCAGTATGGATTATACATGAACACCAAAAAATCCTCACCCCTGTAGCTGCAGACTCCCAGTTCTTGTATCAAGCTACGGCTATATATATTGATATTACGAGTAACATCCTCTAGGTCAACTTTTAATGTATGATGTTCTTGGAAAACATATTCATCACTTGGGGAAGTAAATGTCTTTGGGAACAAGGTGGAAAGGGAAGATTGGGAGGTAATCACACGTGCCGAGGAAAAAAAAGTTTCACACTTCTTTGGTTGAGAATGTCACGTGTGGTCACAGAGCGAAGAGCCACCACATGGGAGAAGAGCGAAGAGTTCAAATCACATCGGAGGTGGCTTTCCCAGTGGAATGTCATTTGGGTTCATCCCTGCGCCTGGCGGCGGTCCGCCTTTATTATTGCTATGCTTTCCACCTTTCTTGCCACCTTTCATTTTGTCAAAACCCCCTTTCTTCCCACCTCCACCATAAGGTTGTTGATAATGTTGACCCTGTTGTTGGGGTGGATACTTTTGATGCTGCTGTTGCTGTTGCGGAGCACCATGTTGACCGACGTGGTGCTGTTGCTGATAGCCGCTACCTTTATTCATATTGTTGTTAAAAGGTGGCACTTGTTGTTGCTTACCACCCGGTTGAGGTTGTTGGCCTAAGGGTGGTAAAGGTACACCTTGTACACCTTTGCCTTTGTCAGCTCCTTGAAGTGGTTGAAGGGGAGGAGTAGAGGCAGATGATGTGTGGGCAAAAGGAGTGCGGCCTCCACTGCTGCCGATCACGACGGGGCCTGTTGAGGATGCTATGGGCACGCCTCCGGAAGAGGCTATGGGCATGCCTCGTCCCGTTGATGAAGCGATCATAGGTCCTCCTGAAGAAGAAGAGGCGAGAGGTACCCCAGCTCCTGATGACGCAATTGGCACCCCAACTCCGCTTGCTGATGACGCAATAGGAATACCAGCACTCGAAGAAGAAGACGAACTTGCTATAATTGGTATTCCCACTCCTCCTGTTCTTGATGTTCCTGGTCGACTGATGTTACTAGGACCTGAGGACGCTATTCGAAAGCTTCCAGCTCCACTACCCGACGAAGCTAGCACGTTAGAAGCAGGAGCAGAAGAAGAGACAACTGTTTGTTGTCCCGCAGAAGCAGAGCCAGAAGGAGGTTGCCATCCTGACGAGCAGCCCATGTTGGAGGATCCTGCAAAAATCGTTGTCTGCTGTTGATGTGCTCCTGGTGTACTAGAGGACGATATCGTCGTCTGATGTGCTCCTAATGAGGATGTTGAAGATGGTGGCTGCCACGTCCCGCTACTAGAGGTAGACGCGGATGCCGTTGCAGAAGAAGAAGATGAAATAACAGTTGTACCGGAAGAATAGAGAACTGCACTACTCGTTGAAGAAGACGGCACACCTACGCCTCCAGGAGCAGATGTAGTTGCTGTTGTGCTACTGCTTCCAGGCGGTTTCCATCCAGACGCCGTACTAGTTGCAGCAGTGGAAGTGGAGCCAGCTTGCTGTCCTTGTTGTGTAGTTGTACTAGATATTAAAGACGAAACAACCGTTCTTGTACCTGTAGCAGTACCTGCGGTTGGTGAAGGTTCCGTTCCGTTTCCCCCATCACCCCAAGCAGAGGAAAACGATTTCGTATCTGCTGCATTGGCATTACTTCCTGTGTTCCACGCATCGACCCAGCCAGGTGCTCTAGGAGGCTGCCATGTTTCCCGTTTTTCTTCTTTCTCTTCGTCGGGTGTGGACACTGGTGGGGGGCTGCTTTGTGGCGCTAGTTGTACTGAAGGGGTGCTATTGGTGATGGCGATAGAGTCCTGTTTTGGCACCACATTCGCTGCATTGGAACTACTAGCAACAGTTGTGTTGAAACTCGGATTGCTACTAGCATTGTTCATCGTGGTCTGTGGAGGTTTACTCGACGTGTTTCTCTTCTCGTGCTGATTGTTTTCTGGTCTGTTGTCGTCCTTCCGCGGAGTAAATTTGTCGTAAGCAATTGCGCCTCCTGGAACTGTGCGGCCAGTACGTTGAGACAAACCTCCTCCACCCGTTGAAGATGTTCCTGTTCCAGTAGTAGTAGTTGTACCAGGCTTGTTGTTATCCCGGTTTTTCGAATATGAAGAACCTCGTTGTTTTCCACCCCCTCCTGGCGGCTGCCAAGCAGCTCCTCCTGCTCTACCAGTACTTGCATTATACGAGGAGAAATTTGTTCCTCCTCCAGATGACGAGGCGAAGACCACTTGTGCTCCTCCACTACCTCCGGAAGATGCTAAAACTGCTGATACGCCTGACGCACCGCCTCCACCAGCTCCACTAGAACTAATAACGGTAGTGCTCTTGCTCTTGTTTTTACCACCCGCACCTGTATGAGTAGCTCCAGATGAACTAGCAGAGAAGTGATCCACCAACGCAATTTGAGGACCTCCTTTCCTCTTTGCATCACGGATTCGCATGGCTTCATCCTCCGGCTCGGGCTTCGCGGCAGCTGCCTGCGCAGCTTCCTCCAATGCTAAACGGTTTGCTTGCTGCGGGTCGTTCGGGTCAAACGCCACTGCCGGTGCTTCTCCTTCCTTCAGGCACTTTTCATTGTACCTCCGGACAATCTCTTCGTTACAAACGTGGACGCCAAGCAACTGGTTACCGAGTGTGAGCCAGTTGGTGTGGGCGTTATGGGGCCGACCGAAGATTTCGAGTTTGAGGCTTCTAGGAAACATGCGCTCAATCAGGTTGTAGACTTCATCCGGCTTACGGGAGGTCTCGCGAACCTCAGAAACGATCACATCGCAATCAAGGTTACGATTCATGCCGCGAGGAGTGCCCTGTAGCAAAGTTATTTAACTTTCTTGAGAGTGACAGTGAGAAGCTGATTTTTTGATTTTTTGAGCAGATGGAAATCGAGATATGAGGAGTCTGAATACTTATGATCTTTGTCACCTGCTATTAGTAGCACGAAATCAGAAGTAAACTTTAAGATATGCATCAACATGATGAACTTTTTTTTAACTGAAGACGCAAATTACAACACGAAGATGAACTCAGCACCGAAACAACTACCTTGATCCCCACAATGCAATGCTCCTTCGAGTGGTTCAACCAATGCCCAGTTCTTCCCGTTCTTATCACCCTTTGAAGTTGATTCGTTTTCACCCAGATGATTTCTTCTACACGCTTGTACCCCCATTGCTTCATGCAGTCTCTTGCCAGCTCAGCCGCACGACCGGTAACCCACAGGAAGATCATGCCATTATCGTGGACTTTGTCGACTCTGAGGGATCGCATTTCGTCATCAGTGAGGGTTCCGTAGGGTAACTCCATATGAATGTGCCAAGGCGGATCCGCCATAATAACGTCCACCTGGTTGTGGAGGACACCTGGCAAAGGATGGGAGCAGATTGGTCGTGGAGAAGTGTGAAGATTATGATAAAGATAAATTTGATGAGCTCAGTCACATTCAAAAACTGGAGGCAGGAAGGAACCATCTTGATAAAGATAAAAATGGATAAAGCAAGGAGTTTCCGTTTCACTTGATGTAATCCGCAATATTCTTTCATCATGTTCATTTTGATTTTCGACAAACAAGGATTTAGAAAAGGAAAATACCAAAATCGAAGTTCCGCACGTCACAGTTTATCCATTGCGCTGGCAGAGACAAGTCGGCTCCTATCTGCATTTCGTTGATCTTTCTTGCGTCTTGTGCCTCTACCAGTGTTTCCTGACCTCCTAGTTTTTTGGAGACTTCGGCTGCTTGGCTGAACGTCAAATCCAAGGTGTAGTGGATGTACTTGCACGTATTCATCTTCCTACAGGTGTTCAAATAGGAGCAATCTCCCAAAGCCGGGTCAGTCCAAGGCCTGATGACCCGTTTGAAATGAATCTTGTTACAGTTTTTCCCGCCGTCCGGTTCTCCACGCGCAGCGCGTGTAGCAAGACACTGAGCGCGTGTCCGGAATTCGCAGTATTCCGTGTGGGAGACGTGCTTGTTCTCGAAGTCACGGGTTGCTTGGACTTTGCGGAAACTGGCGGCACCAACCAAATCGATCACTTGATCTTGAATTTCATTAGAGACCTGCTGTCGGAACGTCGGATGCAGCAGTAAGCCACGCTCCTCATCCAAGTTGAGACGACTCGTCCAATTCTTCTTCTTTTTCAAGCCTCCTGTAGTCTTATTCGCAGTACTTGAGTCTTGATCCACCTTCTCTGCAGCACCTCCAATTCCGGCGCCACCTTCAGGACGACCCAGAGTGGTCCCGAAACAAGAGCTGCTAGAAGTGGTGTCGAAAAAGTCCTGCACCGGATAGCAGTACAGCGGCTCGTCGTCATCGTCAGTGTCTGTAATGTCACCTGGAAGACGCTGGATTTCATCTTCAGCTTTTTGTTCGTTATCCTCCTCTCCTTGTTCTGCTTCTGGTGCTGGTGGAACAGCTGCTGCATCTCCCTTGTCCTCTACCTCTACTGGCTCCTCCTTCTGCTGCTCTACCTCCAAATATTATCTGTGACCACTCTCCTTCACGCTCGTACTCCTGTTTTCCAGATAGAGCGAAAGCCTTGGCTTTCATTGGCCTCACGCTCAGTTCTCCACACCGTGACAGAAACAGATCGTACAGACAAGGATCTTTCATTCATGATAGATCTGCTCTCTCAGGGATGGGACTGCTCGTGAGACACCTTGGGAGTCGAGGGAGTAGAAGGGTGGGAAAAGAAACAGAGACTCAGGCGAAAAGACCAGCCCAATTGATACAAAGATGATGATACCGACAAAGGTGCTTGCACCATAACAGCACTCTTTACCATAAAGAGCTCTCGCTCTCTTCTCTGCATGAAGGAGGTGGTCATCATATCACATTTACTCCGGCGGTACAAATATTATCTGTGACCACTCTCCTTCACACTCGTACTCCTGTTTTCCAGATAGAGCGAAAGCCTTGGCTTTCATTGGCCTCACGCTCAGTTCTCCACACCGTGACAGAACTGAGCGTGAGGCCAATGAAAGCCAAGGCTTTCATTGGCCTCACGCTCAGTTCTCCACACCGTGACAGAAACAGATCGTACAGACAAGGATCTTTCATTCATGATAGATCTGCTCTCTATACGTGCATGGTGCGATCTGGTCCTAAGCGGAGGACGCGAAGCAGAAAGTGAGCAACACTTGGACGTCTGGGTGTTGTGGTCGTGGAAGGCTTCGCCTCTTCGAGGTTTAATGGACTTAGAGAATTTGGGATGTGAAGAAGCAGGAGAAAGATTCAGAGTTTTACCATGTTAATCATAGGACGATCAGTTGGGAGGACATCTCCAAGGATCAGTTGGGATGTCATAAAAGGAAGGAAAAACTCAAGTGCTGCCCATTGGCGCCAATCAGATGAATACTCGTCAAACCTTGTGCGTTGATTTCTTGCACTCCACCCCATGTGGTCTCCAATTTTGCACATTGTTTGGAGTGGAATGTCGAGAACTCTGTCAAATCCAACAGACGCGAGGAGGATCCGAAGCGCAATTGCGGTTGTGCGTCTGAACCCATGAGAAGAAGTTCTGCACGCGGAGGAAACTCTGCTGAGATCTGCTTGCGTCGCGTAGATTGCGTTGAGAGTCACTAACGAGGTCGGGACTAGTACGGCAAAAAAGTCTTCTTCGTCTGGGTTGAACTTGATGAGCGTAGTGGTGAGAAGAGTCCACAGCGGGTTGTTGGGCACGAACTCGACTGAGTCATCATTTACGGCTGCAAAGGAGTGCTCACGGAAGGCGGTAGCGATCCAGAGTTTGGCAATCTCGCATTGCTTAGGGGTGAGACTGCGGATGACATCGAGTGTGACAGGTTTGGCTTTCTTTCGTTTGAAATCTTGTTTCATACGGTGAAGGGCAGCATACATCAGCTTCTGGATGTCATTTCCGAAAGGTGACCCTCGTTCTAAGCAGTTGAGTTGATTTAATCTCTGAGATACAAGCGAGAGGTGAAGATGGAAAGAATTGTGGAGATCGTATTGCAGAAGCATTCTACCGTACTGGAACAAGTCAGTCGCATACCTGACATTCGGGCAGGTTACTTCCTCTGCCGTCTTGGTCTCAGCAGAGATGTTGATTTTGCAGGAATGTGAAGAGTTCCACCAAGTTTGAAAAGCAGCCCACTTGCTGCGTCTACTAGTTCTTGAACTTTGCATGTAACTGATTTCCATGGGCCACACAAAATTCTCAACATTCTCAGGAATGCGGAAGGCATCTTCACGTGGAATGACTTTCTTTTTTAGATTAGGCCGCTGCTGCTGCTTGTTGTGCTGCATGAGAGAAGCGGAGAGCGACATTGTTCATTAATGGTTGCAAACTTTCAACAGCTTCACGATGCGACTTGAAAATAGAGAAGCTGTAAGTGCGAGATATGAAGTCATTGTAGAGTTCCATTCTTGTGAGAGCGTCTGCAGGATTGTTCTTTGAGCGAACATACATGATTGGTGCAAAGAACTTTTCACTCGTGAAAAACAGGATGATAATGGATACTATGGCTGCAAGGCCAGGGTCGTTGGAAATCCCTTTAACGATAGCAAAAGCAGCAGCTACGTTATCTACAAACATAATCCCTCTACGATTAGATACGTCATTGCGGAAGACTTCAAGCGCAACAAGAGCTGTGAGGCATTCGTAGAAACCAATTGTCTTGTCACGAAGTTGCACGGGAGATAGTTGATTATGATTCTTTTTAAAAGTGTAGCTGACTGAGAAGTGCCTTGCTTGGCCACTCATAAGAATGACTGCTCCAATCCACAGCTCATTGTTAGCGAGAGCTGCGTCTGAGAAAATCTCGACACCAATTGCAGTTTGAATAGCTCGGTCTAATTTGAGAGGGGCGTTTTGAATAAGAACTTGCACGGTAGTGAAGAGGATGGTCGAGAGAACTTTTCGTCTACTTGCAAACTGTTGATGATTAATCTTTTTGATATTACTAATATCTGTGAGTCGATGGAGGGTGGCTATCTGTGGCCCAACTGAGATGTAGCGTCTGAAGAAAAGGTGATATGTTAGGAGTCCTAGCGTTCTTTGTACTTGCAGAAGCGTTACTTTTCTTTCGCAAACTTGCTTATTGAGAATGGCGACTGCTTCGACAGCATCACGGACTTTATTTCTATCCATATTTACTGAAACTACATTACTAATTTTGCATGCAGTGACTTGGGCCCCCAGTGTGTCAGTGGGGACTCCTGTGCGCCCAATAATGTCCTTGTGGTCGCTTTGCGCAATTCCAAGTATAGCTAGTAGCATTTTGACTGCTCTAAAGCAATGTGGAGCGAGTTCTGCACATGATATAATTATCTTATGACATCATCAACATAACAGAACACGGGCACTTTGAGCGTTACTCTACAAACAGTTTCTATGAAGCGAGATACAAGACCTGTAAATGTGAAGATGGAGTGCAAGTTTCCAAAGGTCAGCGATGGAGACGCTGCCGCCTGCACCTGCTGGCTCTCTGGATTCCAGAAGCAAAGACCATACGTTCCTGGTTCATAGGAGTTCGCAAACTGGAAGTAAGCCGAGTACATATCTACTTTTGAGACGACCGGGAGGAACCACTCATTTATTTGGTCGTGTGATGGCTCATCCCATCCACCAGAAATGGTTTGCGCGTCCTGCCAGATAGATGCTTCGACTCTCTCTTTAGATAGTTGTCTAAATAAGTGCTTTTTGGTATAGAGATGTGGCGTTGTTGATTTCGGGTTGAGACACTGTCCAAGAGAGTCAATAATAACTGGAAGATGTGGTAGACAAATGTGTTCTGTCAAAGCGCTTGCTGCGTCATTGCGCGCTTTTTCGTTTGCAATGTTGCGAATTTTCTTGAAGCATGCCTCTGTTACTGAGTATTTCTGTCCAATGCTAAAGATGGGTATCATTTTTTCTAATCTCTTTTCCCCAACAAAGAATTCTCCTTCAATGCATTGCGGCACCTCTTCAAGAACGTCGAGAGTTGGGGCGTTTGGCCATGAGCTGGCTTTGATCACATCGAATCCACGCCGCAGGATCTCGTCGGTTTCATGCGCCATTGGCTTGTGGATGAGCTTGTTTGCCGGCTTGAGAGCTTCTCGGAGAGCTTCGCGTGATTCTGGGCATTTGTCGAGGCGGTCAAGCTCTTGATCAGAGAGAGGTTTCGCGTCTGCCCATGCTGTGTATCTGTATGCTGAGGATGAGATGTGTAATAGTGAGACTGTTATGCTGAGGTCGGCGTTTGTTGGTATTTACTTGTAGTGTTTGATGAGATTCGTTTTATGAGTCTACATGTGAGGCTACAGTAGATCAATGATAACTGGCAACGATTTGTACTACTTAACATCAGTTGATGACCATCGTGGAACCTGTAGACTCGTCCGTCTGTTCTCGAGCCTTGATTCAGGGTTCCGCTAGGGCCGTAGAGGTCGTTGATTTTTGCGTCACTGAGGTATCCTGACTTCCTCGCAAGAAAATCCCATACTGCTGGGCATTTCTCTTCTGTTAGCCATTTCGATGACTTGTGACCAGTGAAGAACTCGTTGAGTTTCTGCACATTCGGGTGCTGCACGGCTCTGTCTTCACTGATGCGTTGTTGCATCTTATCGGAGTGAGCAATGCTCGACCTGATATCCTCAATCTGCATTAGCATCCTTTCTCGTTCACGGTCAAGGGCATCAGGCGAATTTCTGGAGTCAGCTACCGTTCTCGCATGCCATTCAATGGCTTGCTGCATACCGTGCATAGAGTTGAGGTTGTTCCCACGGTCCTCGTCTTCCATTGCGTTCCGCTCACGACGCTGTTCTTTTGTCTCGGGTACATAGTGGTGTGGGTCAGCGCTTGGAACGATGAGTGGGGCGGTCGGCCAACTTGGCTGTTCTGAGACGACTTTCCGCTTCTTCATCGGGTACGCACTAAGTGGTGGCTTTTGCTTCTGCTTCAATTGGCGATTTGTCGGGTGGCTATTAGTGAGTTCCTGTGAGAATTGTTGGTTTTATGGATGGTATATGTGAGTGGAGTTTCAGTGCTATATTGCTCTGGAAAATTTAGGAGACTCAGCACTATTTGAGGGCTGGGTAGCTTATGTCTCACTCATCCCTCAGATATTTGGTTGTGCTGGTGATTTGCCACTCATGTTGCTGTGCGGATTCTTCTCTCGTGCACTGACTGCATTAGTGCTCTAGCTTTGGCTGTTGCCACTGGTGCTCATGCTTGCTCTCTGCAAGTAGATGCTGTCTTTCAGGAATGTGTCACTGATTTCTTACTAAGTTGATACTTTAAGAAGAAGTCCTACACTTAGTGATAGGGGGTCGGCATTTCCTATTATGGTTCACCTTTATCGGAGATGGGTACGGGACTGAGTGGTTACTTCCACTAAACACTGTAGGTGATGGGTTGATGTAGCAAGTTGCATTTGCAGAACTGATGATAACAGTGAGTGCATGAAATCTAATTAAGAGCTACTGGATGCATGGTGAATCACTATTGACTTTGACTTCTGAGGATGAATGCATTCAGCAGGCGCTCAATTTCCCTTCTTCTTGCCAGCCCCTTTTTCTCCTTTCTTCTTTCCGCCCTTCTTCCCTGCTGAATCGTTGACTTCTTCGTCATGGTTGTCTTGACCACCGTGGCCATTAGGATTTACGTCATCAGTGCTCGAATCACGTTTGGTCCAGGCTTGGATTGTGATGCCTGTGTGACGATGCCTCTGGCAGCTCGATATTCCACAGAACGGAACTTTCCACTCTCCAGACGGCGTTTGCAAATGGAGTTTTAGCCGCGCGCATGCGTAAAGAGGGCAGATCTGCCTCGGGTCGATCCAGTTGACGTTGTACTCAGCTTTGATCTTGGTCATTGCCTTCTTCTCCATATCCTTGAAGGCTGACGAGTCTTTGTCTTGACGTGCATGGTGTTGGTGCTGGGCGCCTTTACCACCTGTCCGATGTTGAATAACGTTGTTGTGCTTCTGCCTCTTGTCATGCACTGGATTCAGGGCGCTCGATCCACGTTGACTGTAACTTGTCGATGAGTTGGTTCTTGGGAGTGCGTTCTGCTTTGCCCTGGATGGGTCCCACTGCACGCATGTTCTGACGTCGTTTGACAAGAAGTTTTTGACTTGCTTCCTTGTTAGCGTTGAGATGTCGGCTTCGTTCGCGAGGAAGTTCACACATGCTGACAGAAGTGATGACTGCTTTGCTTGTGCAAGATGGTTCTTGACTCCGTTTAGGGCTTCAATGTCCCTTCTCAGCTCGGTGTAGGTCTGAAAATCTCTTTCGAAAGCGTTGGCTGTGAACATCGTGAACATCACTAGGTCTAGTCCTTGAATTTGAGCAATGATTTTGGCGTGGTGCGGTGTGCTGAAATCTTGGAGGTTGTCTTGGAACGCTGCCACTGCTCCTTGGACCATCTGTGTGTTCTTCAGGAGGTTGCTCATGACGTCGGACTGAATATTGAAGAACGACGGCGGGATTTTGAACTTCTTGTACATTGCCGATGAGCCAAGGAGTTCGAGTGTTGACTTCAAGACAGCAATTGAGTCTACCGCGGCATGTGGAATGAGATGCATCTGCTTGATGATCTCGTCAGCTGAGGTTCCTGCAAGCTGCGACGGTCTGGTTTTGTTCGCGACTAGCATGGTGAAGACATCGACATAGATCTCCGGATCTGCTGCAAACTTGATTTTTCCTCTGATAAGATTGACTGCTTGTTGGTTGTGAACTAGCGACAAGCCTTGATATGCTTTTACTGCATCAAGCGTTTCTGGCAGGTCGTCCTCTGTTACGCTTCCGATTTGCAGTACTAGCTTTACATATCTCCTGGTGATGCGGTATGCGACTGGATTTAGCAACTTCTTTACTGCATGTCCACTAAGCGCGCCTGGCATGAACTGGTAGAGGTGGATTTTTGGTAGCTGAATAGTCGGTTCGTCAAGTGGGTCTACAATTTCATCATCGAAGTTTGCTGGATCTGGATCTTCGTAGAGAGGTAGACCTGTGGCTCTGCATTTCTGGGCTAGCGGGCCTACTATTATCGCCCTGCCTCCAGCAAGTGCTACGTCGGATTCTTCAGGTCTGAGATGTTGTGTTCTTTCGGCTGCGGCACTTGCGGCTCCTTGATGAAGCGCCGCTCTCTGCTCTGTGTGGATATCTGCTGGGATGCCTGAAATTGCTTGGCGCCTTGCTTTGACAGCGGCTCTCCTTGCGTTTGTGTTTGTAAAAAGACTTGTTGCTTGATGTTGACGACTCGCCTCTTGGTCCTCAAGCGAGAGCTGCTGGTCTGGTGTCATAGATGGTAGATCCGCTGGCATCATGTCACACTTGAGAGCATGTTGAGGCCATGACGCCGCAGCAAGGTGACTCTGTTTTTGGTGCGGAGCTGAGTTGGTGCTTGGCTGCGAGTGAGCCGAAAGATTGTTCTGCATGAGGTACTTCTGAACAATCCGTGGCATCTGAGCTATATGGCGACTGCATGTTTCAGGAGACGAGGGCGACGTTTCAGGAGCACTGTTGACAAGATGTCCATCGGAGACACCGATGAGAGCTTCGTTAATGGCGCTCCTTGCTATTCTTCTTGCTGGGATGTGATGCTTTGGCTGTGGATGGAAGGCTTTTTTGTGGCTCTGTTGCGGATCAGCGTCGCAGCTTTTCCTCTTAAGCGTTGTTGTGCTAGTTGGCATTAGGCTGAACGACCCTCGGTTTTGGGTTGATGCTGAGCCAGGTCTGTGCGCTTTCGGGCGCCATCCCTTTTCAGTCTTCATCTGCACTGAATCGAGTTGCTGTTGATCGTCACCTAGTGCTTCGCCAGATGCTAATGCGACTTGAAGAGCTTCAGCTTTGTCATCTTCGTCATCATTGTCTTCTTCTATCTCGGCAATTTCTTCCGCAACATCGTTGCTGATCCGGCTGTCTTGTTCATCTCCATCTCCGTACTCGGCGGGTGCAGGCGAGGACTTTTGGTCTTCTGGGCCTTGGCCTTGCGTTGCTGGTGTGGCGTTGGACTCAATTCCAGCAAGAGGTGTCCATGTGTCACAGTCCAGGACTAGTGACTGGAACGCATCTTCATGCGCGACTACATTCTGGTATTGTTCCTCATATGAGATCATGAGGAAGTCATCAAATTCGCCAGCAGCAAGTCGTTGGGTCGTGTGCTTCGACGCTGCATGAGTGAGGGCTTCACTTGCCATCTCGCACATGACTTTCGAGGCAGTGACTGAGAAAGGCGTTTCTTGAAAGCAGCATGATTCGTCGATTGTGCCGCTTTTGGCTATGACAGCCTTCAGGATTTCTGCGGTCTCAATGATTGCATCGGCTATCTCTGGGTGGACCGTTCTTGTTGAGTCGCGGATTTGCTCTGCGATGAGCGGGAAGTCACCGGTGAGAACGTCGAGTACGAATTGTGGCAGGATCTTGAACTGGTAGTGAGCTACCAGAACAGCGTTGCGTAGGAGGATGACATAGGTCTTGATCGAGCGTGGCAGGAGAGCCATGATTCGTGCTGGTTCAAGTTCAGCTCCTTTTTTGCACTTGAAGTTGAGGATCAGCTGCAGCAAGACGCAGCAAGACTCTTGCGAAGACGTCACCACCAAGGATATGCGGGGTTAGCCCTGGTAGTGCCTGTAGTTGAGAGTTGTTGTGTTGTTTGTGATAGCTGCTTTTAGGAAATTTAGAAAATTTAGATAGACGTAATTTCTTGCTCAATGAAACGTGTTGGCTTCAGCATATTACTTTCTGTGAGTGTTGTGAAAGAAAGACATATTCACTAAGTGCTAATGATTCATATGTTGTGGACATACTTTCTCATGGCTTTGAAGGGCCGCTGCGACTTCGCTGTGGTCTTGGAAGCTCTGTTGGGTTGAGACTTCGTCGGTGAGAGTGTTGACAGTCGTCCTGGATGCAACTTCGTCCGGGTTAAGTAGTTCTCCAAGGAGGAACTGTAGGACTACAGCTCGTGGCTCGCGAACTGCTCTGCGCTCCAGCGGCGATTCCATATCTTTGCATAGTGGTTTCTGCGGGAAGAGCTCCTTCATGTGGTGCTGTAGTGCTGGGGTTTCAACCACGTTGCTGCATTTCCAGAGAAAGTCGAGTAGTTCTGCTAGAGACCTGCCTGCGAAGCTCTCTGCGTTCATTACTGACGGAAAATCATTCGCGAATTTCCTCAAGGCTGGGCTGTCAAGGCAACTCGGCTTCGCATAGTGCGGCTCCAACATCTTGACTGAAGTGATAGGCGGAGCCACCATTGGGTTTCTCTTCAGCGTCCTTGACCTGTATTCGTTTTTCTTGGCACCGCTCCTCTCTTCTTGTGCAATCCGTTGGACTAGGTCAGCTTCTGAAAGTGGCTTTTTCCTGTTCGCACTTTTTGACTCTTCTGCTTTGACTCGTTGTTGCTGCCCTTCGTTGGCATTCGACTCAGCACTGTCAGGAGCTTCTTGCAGTTCAGGTTCTGCATCCTGTAGTTGAGGTTTGGTGTTGATTGCAACTCGTTTTGATGGGAGAGAGTTGATGTTGGTTTAGATTGTTCTGTAATGCTCTTTCTCTAGAGTTGGAGTCAGTAACTGGTCATGTCATTTAGGAAGGAGTTTGGTTGAACGTGAGTTCTTTAGATTGATGCCATGACAATTCAGGCGCAGTTTATCATATACTGAGGAGTTTACCTTTTGCTCGTGCTGTGTCTTGGAATCTTCAAACCTGACATGTTTCCCTTTCTTCTCTTGATGTGCTCGTTCAGCGCTTGCCTGCCGTTTCCTCGACATTGATGTCTTGGCTGCAGCTGGGGTCGGGAGGATCTCGGTGTCAGGCTTGGCGAGCGTCTCCTTGGGCTGCGCTCTGTCACCATCGTCGACGGTTAGGTCACCTGCAGCAAACGTAGGGTCTTGATCACTCTTTCCCTCTTTGCTGCTGTCCGTTGATGTGCGAGATTTGGCTGAGTTTCTTTGCGAGGGTCTCGCTGATGGGTCGTCCGCTCTTGGTCTGGAGCAACTCTTGCTGGGACCAGATGGCTTCATATCAGCATGACCATCCTTGTTCGTACTGCTATTTGTTCCGTGGGTCGTGACGCCCCATTCTCGTGCTATGCGATCCCAGTCGGCTTCAGTGGGGGGCGGCCTGTTCGCTTGGAGCCGGTCGCTACCGTCGGTAGGCGGTTTCTGCTGACTCATTTTGACGTGTGTTTGGTGTTATGAAGCTTGAGATCGGTGATTGTTTGTATCTATCATCTATCTTATTGTAGTCTTACTATGAGGCCGCTTTCCCTTTCTTTGTTTCAGTATTCGTATTTTGATGATGTTGTTCGCTTGAGTAGGAGAATTTTTAAAAATTTCATTATATTCAGCTAGTTGCACTACCTGATTCTCACTCTCATCTCCCTGGGGTGCCTCTCATCCTCATGAGCACTGAGACATCATCTCTCTCAAACGGTGTTCAGTAAATCTTGACTGCTGTTGGCCAGCTTCTTCTCTTGGGCTCTTCTTGTAAGTGGTTGTAATATTGCGAGTTGTTGTTCATCATGCATTTAGTTTAAGAAGGCCACTCAGCAATACTAGTTTTCATTTGTAGGGTCATAGTTGCAGTGGTGGATTAAGAAGACTGTTCTGCAGGAAAATGAATGCATGCTCACTTGGTTCGGAATTGATGAGTTTACTGATGTGCATACTTTCTGGACACTGTCAAGAAATGTTCAATCAACTCTTCGACGAGGAGCAACTTCGAGCTGGTGACTGGTTGCATGCTGCATGTTGGTGCTGGCTTCGTGTTGATGCTCTGCTGGGACGGCTGCTCTGGCGATAATGGTCGAAATTTGAGATGCAAGGTCGCGATTTGACCCAACTGCTCCTAGGATTCGGCGCCAGATGCGCGCTATCTCTGCGATTTGCATGAGCAGATAGATGGCAGCAGCCTTGGCAAAAGCGAGATCGTCATTGCCACCGTTGCCAAACCTGATTACTTCTGAGAGGATCCAAAGACGAAGAAGCGAGGATGAGTAGAACGTGAGGAGGTGCACCCAATGTTGTACTTGGCGCCGAGGTGTCATGTGCACACGGTGTGCTTCTCGGATCGCGTCATTGATGCGCAAATGTGCGCAATCTGTTGCGTCTGCAGCTAGCGACACCCCTGTCGCGTACATCTGGTAGGAGAAACGTGCGAGAAGCATCATAGTTGAATGCAGTTGACAGTTAGTACGCAACTAGTGATGTGTAGTGAGTAACGAGAGGTAACACCGCTGTGTTATTGAGATGAGTCATATGAGTTACCATAGTCATGGAGTGAGTTGTTAGTTGAGTCATGTACACTGATGAGTCCCTCTTGTGAGGTTGAGAAAGAACAGGAGTTCAAGTGATGCTGAGATTGAACAGGACCTGCGTTTTTTGGCTATCTTTGACGTTTTCCAATGCGCTTTTCAAAGGTGCTCTTCAGCGGATATTCCGATGCACTACAGGAACGGCTCCCGAGGGATTTGTTATCCAGGTCTAGAGAATTTGCAGTTCCGTCGAATCTTCCTCTTTGCCAGCGATCCACTTGGGATTGCTTGCGTCTGAGGGGTGTTGCCATCTCACTACCGCTGTGCAATTAGCGCGTTGGTGGGAGTGAGTAATGATGTGGAGGCAATAAGAGACTCAGGCGAAAAGACCAGCCCAATTGATACAAAGATGATGATACCGACAAAGGTGTTTGCACCATAACAGCACTCTTTATCATAAAGAGCTCTCGCTCTCTTCTCTGCATGAAGGAGGTGGTCATCATATCACATTTACTCCGGCGGTACATTTCATCTACTTCTGCAGCATGTCGTTGTAGCTCTTGTCGTTGTAGCTCTCCATCCTCGTCTACCCCTTCTCCCTGAAGATCGTCCTCTTGAGTATCTAGTCGACGAGTCTGAGCTTCTTCAGCAGCCATGTGGTCCTCTACATCATCTAATTCTACCCTCTCACCAGTCTTCAAACTTCGGGTAACCACAACAGCCGTTCCCTTATTAGCGGGCGACTTACCACTAGGTTCGCGACTTGCTCTGTCTATGAAAGCTGTGAAGTGATCGAGTTCCTCCTTCTCGCGTCTAAGAGCCGCCCTCTCATCTTCTAGGGACTCTCTTTTACCACTACCGTGGTCTTGTTCAGGCTCCACCTCAGGTAGTTTTTCATACTGTTCGTTCTGCATCTGCGCTTCTGCGCCATCGTCGTCCACTTCTGTACCTTCAGCAGCATCTTCGGCCATATCTTCAGCGCCTTGGCTGGTGCGTCGTTTTTTGCGATCCTTCTTGGGTGAGCTTTTTTTGATGTCATGATCCTCACGTTGTTCATCTTCTTGGTCAGGAACTTCTCTTCTCCGCCTTTTACCCAATTTTGAAGATGCTTTCTTTGCTTTTGAAGAAGGACTTGTAGTTGTTGTTTGAGCGCGACGAGGACCTGTTTCATCTTCATCGTAAAAATTTGGTGCATTTTTTTCATCATCTCTTCGAACAGCTCCTCGTCCGTACATATCGCTACTATTGAGAACGATAGCCGGTCTCGGAATCCTCGTGCTGGCCATGACTTGTAACAATGACTTGAGACGATGAGAGACTTTCCGCTTCGCGAGGTTTTCATGCATACCACCTGGGTCTGCAGAAACTACTCTTAGTCGGAGTGTGGATAGTACGCGATAAGCTGTAGACCCACGATCAGCCCACACAGCGGCCCACAAGCCGAACGTTGAGGATTGTTGTTGATGACCGGCAGTAGCAGCAGCACCGACTGGGGAAGTAGTTGTGGCAGCAGCCGAGGGTACTCCTTTCTCTGTCTGTACCTGCTGTAGGTGTTCACCTTCTTCACCTCCTCCAGTCGTAGCATCCTCTCCTTTCAACATTGCTTCAATTTCGTTACAGCAGTAATCGTAGATCATGTGCGTCGAGACGAGTGAAGTGGGGTAGTTGACGTCGAAAGTATTTCCAGCTACTTTAGGTGGAGGAGCTGTACCTCCTCCAACTGCTCCTCCTTTACTCATTAACAATGTCTTCGACAAGTAAACATCAAAAGATGCAGTGTTCTTTGAGGAAGCGTGGGATTCTTTGCTCCGTTGTTCTTCCAGCTCTGCTTTTTGCGCAGAAGTAGCTTGCTTCGAGAAGATTTCCGCCTGCCACGCGGTAGACAATTCAAACTCAAGGTCCAATGCAAGAGGGTACCTGGCTGCGAATGTTCGTGCTAATGAAAGTGTCGACTCCATTACGTCTGGTTCGGTTATGTCCGACAGATATTCATTTTCATCGTCATCTTCATGATCAGAGCCAGAACCTCCAGTACCATCTGCGTCCTCTTTTGGTTTTATTGCGTCCTTGTCTTGATGTCGTTCTTGACCCTTGTCTTGTGGACCAGGAAGATCGCTCTTCGCGTTTTGTTCCTCACCAGAAACAGAAGGCGAACTTGAGAGATTTGCGCCTCCAGCTGCGACGCCGCCAGGAGGTCCACTACTTTTTACAGGAACAACCTGCTTTCCAAGCAATTCTGACGCAGCCGCATTGACGACATGGTCTCGCAATTCTCTTTGAATCTGAAGTAGAATCGCGTTTACTAAGACCACCACTCGTTCTCGACTTTGCATCAATGTGGAGAGTGCGAAAATCCAAGCTCGGTCTACCTCTTCTAAGTTCTGCAGCCATGATGTTGCGCCGTTGTTAAAGGAAGTACCTCCACCTGCTGCACCTGTTGGTGAGGCACTGGGTGGCGGAAGACCTGTGGTGCCTGCAACTCCAGATTGGTGTTGTTGGTATAGGAGAGAGGACGAGTGTTGTTGAGGTAGCAACAAGGAAGGGACAACTCCTCCAGGTGGCTTCGTGAGAGTAGATGAGGGCATAGAAGTTGTTGAGCCTAACAGAGACAAACCGCGTGGAACTAAGCTGCCATCGGGAAGCAGGACTGCAGTAGGGGGACTCGAAATGGCTGATGGGTATTGCTGTAGACTCGGTACGAAGGATGCCGCTGAATTTTGATGTTGTAGTTGTGGCAACTGGCTAAAAGATGGAGTACCAGACGAGGCTAGTGGCGGAAACGATGCACCAGAACCTCCTCCAACATGGGTCTTTTTCATAGACATCTTCATCAAGCCTCCAAGATACCCTTCCAAGGTCCTTCGTTGACCTTTTTGTTGAGCAGAAGCTGACTTCATTCCACCCTCTCCTCCCTGTGCAGTACCACTAGGACCACCTGCGCCTCTTCTACCTGTTTCCTCCTCTCCAGCAGCTACTTCGCCGAGCGCGAGACGTCCGATCGTTCGCCACTTTGTCGCTGAGCCACCACCTAACAATGAACGCAAGATCGCGATTGTGTGATTGTCCTCTGTCGGAGCAACCTTTCGCACCTTCCAGTCCCTACAGTGCTTTGCCCACGTATCTAGTAAAGAATGTTCATCTAAAGAAGCGGCAAGTTTGAACATCTTCTTCATGTAGGAGTTGCTATCTCCGCCGCCACCATTGTCAGCGTTGCTTCTCAGCGCGAACAAGTCTCGAAAACTTCTCCAAATAAGCAATTGCGCTACACGATTCTTCAAGTTCCGAAATACGTACGTCGCGGCTCGCTGATTCCCTTTCATGTTCAACATCAAGGAGATCGTCGGAGAAGAAGACGGCACCTTATTCCAATGATTGGCCTGCTGTTGGTGGTCAGGACCACCACGTAAGCGTACCCACAGAGGAAGCAAGGACCTATGATCGGCCTTTTGTTGGTGTTCCTGTTGAAGACCCTGATCGAAAAGTCCCAAGACGTCACGCGGGAGAAACTCGGAGTCGCTACCATCGAAGTCGGAATCAGAGGCGGCGCCTGCTGCTGCGCCATCAGACTCGGAGGACGAAGAAGACAATTGTTATGAAAAGAAAATCTGTTATCATTATCAAGTTTCTTAAGTAGAAAAGTATGATAATGATAACACATTTTGGCTTCATAATTGTAGCTCTGCGTCGAGGCCGCTCTCAACGGGGCGTGCACCATCTCCAAGAGAGCCTGAGGAGTTTTGAATACCTGCACTTTGGAGAGGATGTAATTGTAAGTGATTGCTGTGGCTCTTTGAGGAACGTGGATGCTCTGGAAGATGTTGAAGATGATCTCGTTGGTTGTAATGATTGTCATCTACAACTTCAGCTGTCCCTTCAACATCTGGCGCTTGAATACGCAGATCTTGCCCTCGTTGTTTCTTGGATTTCTTTGGATTCGCGTTGTCGTATTTTGCAACCTTAGAGGCTCGCCTATCAGACGCATCGTCGTCACCCGAAGTAGTTCTTTCCTTTCTCTTCTTTTTAGCCTCTTGTTTTTTAGCAGTAGAGGATGTCCTCTTGTTTTTTCTCGTAGTAGTTGTATGATCGTACTCTTGTTCTTGTTGGCCCTGTTCAAGAACTCCATCACTTCTAGCATCGGGATAGTTGTCACCCTCTCCGTCTGCTTCGTCTTCGTCGTGTTCACTGACAGCATCAACAGCGTCACGTGCGCCACGTCTCCTATGCCGTTTACTAGACGATTCATATTTCATTCTAGTCTGTTCTTCTTCCTCGACTATTCGTAGTCTTTCGCGTTCTCTGAAACTATATTTCGCATCCTCTTGGCCTTGTGCATCCCCATCACTGGCCTCTTCGACCTCATGCTCATGCTTACCTCTCCTAGACCTTCCACCATCACGGGCAACTCTATCTCTACTGTGAGACGACTGTGCCCGAAATCTTGGAACCTCTCCATTGCCACTACCGTGGTCTCTTCTATCGTAATCGTTACGACCGTGGTCCCTTCTATCATAATCGTTCGCGTCTCTCTCTCTTCCTTCACCACGGTCGTTCCCTCTCCTGTCCCGGTTTCTATTGCTACCAGTCGGCGTTCTGGATGCATCAGAGACGACTTCTCGATGGCTGTTGTAGCGTTCATCCCTACTTCGCGGTCGGTGACTATCACCACCACTACGTCGGTTAGTTCCTCGGTTCATCTTGTTTGCTACTCAATCATGGTTCCCTTGTCAAAGGGAGTCGAACCACTCTAGTCAAACAAATTCACATGAAGAAGATGAAACTTATCTCAATCAACGCGGCTAAGCAGTTACAAGGGTATAAGGACAACAGGAGCGGTGGGGGAAAACATAGCTATACAGAGGGGTAGTGAAATTGCTGCTCACCCTGCTAATACTTGATGAATAAGAATGAAGCACGATATACAATAGAAGATGATATAAAGTTGCTTCAGGTATTTTCTTCTACGCTACGAGTTTCTTCTTTGGAGTTCAGAGGACTCAAACAAGATAGAAACAAGAATGGTCAATTTATCAAAAGGACTTGTTGACTCATAAAAAAACAAGTACAGCATCCACATTAAGAGCATCGAGTTTTTTACCCATTCGTCAAAAATTCTAAGTAGTTCAAAGATCAGCATGCATATACGCGGTCTGGCAAGTCTCGCAACAACGGGACCACCAGAGTACAACCAGAGAATATGATCCAACAGAAGCCGGGCCATCACTATTCATAGACGTTGTTGTTCTTGTTCATTCCTCAAAGATGCAGCATTCTAAATCGTATTCTTGTGAGTTTGATGAACATCTTGTTGTTATTGTTTCCCCTAGTACTTCTACAGGGGCACATACATCATAATTGCAGCGAGGACATTTACGTTTTATTCTTAGTCCTCGCATGTTTCTCTTTCTGTAGTAGAGGCAACATCTTTGTTTTTCGCAGTCAGAGAATTCCCATTCGGCAGTAAAACATGCTGAACATTGCGTTACAAGTGGTGCAAGCAATGACTCAGGAGCTAGGTAATCGTGAAGGTGAGCGTGAAGTCTAATATTATATATAATTACTCCGGTTCAGAAGTACTGTCTTGAACTTGTAACTGTGTAGTTCAGAAGTACTGTCTTGAAGAACAACACCAACAGCACAAAGAAAGGTTTGATTCGGTCAAAGGGAAACATCAAAGCGTAATTGTTAAAGCATTCTCGCAAACGAATTTGCAAAGTGATTCTTTTTCGTTTCCTTTCAATATCATCGTCAACATCCTTCTTGATCTTCTTGTTACTTCTGATCATTCTGTGGCTTCACACTACCACCAGGAGCGCCTCCTATCATACTACCACCAGGAGCGCCGCCTATCATGCTCGCCTGGTGTGCTCCTCCTGCACCACTACCTCCTATCATGATACCACCAGGAGCGCCTCCTATCATACTCCCACCAGGAGCGCCGCCTATCATGCTCGCCTGTGCTCCTCCTGCACCACTAACTCCTATCAGGATACCACCAGGAGCGCCTCCTATCATACTACCACCAGGAGCGCCGCCTATCATACTCGCCTGGTGTGCTCCTCCTGCACCACTACCTCCTATCATGATACCACCAGGAGCGCCTCCTATCATACTACCACCAGGAACGCCGCCTATCATGCTCGCCTGTGCTCCTCCTGCACCACTACCTCCTATCAGGATACCACCAGGAGCGCCTTCTACCATACTACCACCAGGAGCGCCGCCTACCATGCTACCGCCAGGACCAGGAGCGCCGCCTATCATGCTACCGCCAGAAGCGCCACCTATCATACTACCACCAGGAGCTCCGCCCACTAAAGTGCCGATAATTCCGCCTCCTCCTATCGCACTGCCGCCTGAGGCTATCGAGCTACTTCCACCTACCATGCTAGTAGCACCTGCACCTGTTATCATGCTTCCTTTGGGACCTCCTTCGCCGCCTCCTCCCATCATATTGCCTCCAGCGCCGCCAATCATGCTTCCTCCACCTCCTATCATCATACTACTTCCAACTGGCCCGGTTGCCTCTCCTTCCGGAAGTGGCTTCTTATCATTTTCTTTTTCTTTTTGTCCTTTCGGTTTCTCTTTTCCTCTTGCACTGACAGGTACACCAGCATTACTGGAACCCGATTCAGCGGCACTGGAGGATTCGTCGACTGCGGAGGATGATGGTGACGCATTGCTTTCACTATGCGGGTCCATTTCAGAACTCATCTCATTTGCGTCACTGCTCTCCTCATCACTGTCCTCGTCGTCGGAAGAAGAATCGTCTGATGAAGACTTTCGGTGTTTTAGAAGTAGATGGATTGATCGGAATAAATGGTGGTGCGATCATTTAGATCTTGGTGACGGATCATAATGCACACGACCGAGCATGAAAAAAAATGAACAATGATCCCTCCAAGTGACAATCACATTGTTGTAGGCAGCAAGGACAAAGAGTACATCGCCGGCATCATAATTTCTTCTTCTCTTTCTTCTCACGTTTCGCAGTAGTGTTGACGTGCTGCATCTTCTCCCTATACTCCTTTTTGCGCCTTTCGTCCTCCTCTTCCCGTTCGCCAGCAGAAACATCGTAATCGTTCAAGTTCAAATAGTAAACCAAACCAACGAAACCGATAACGGGGTTTAGAAGAGGGGTAATTGAATCATGTGCGAGAGACGCGTGAGACAAGATGTTCATAAGAAACTACTTTTTGAAACACTTAGAAGTGTAGTTTGTATCGCTATCATTTTTACCAGCTACAACTGCAAGTGCAAGTAGACGACACGGTTGTAATTACATAATCAAATGAAACTTCCAACTGTAAGAACTCAGACTCCAGCCAAAGATCTCCAACATCCGAATCGCTGTATTTGTATGAGTATGGAAGCCAGATCATAAAGCCGCAATTCCCATTAATAGGATTTTCGTCGAATTCGTGTGACTCGCAGCTTCTGCTGCAGCTGCTGCCTCGTAACTGGCCACGTAATCATCGTCATCAGATATTGCACCCGTATCATTGGAAAAGTTCCCCATTGAGCTGTTCCCTTTCTTAGAGGTTGTACCGGCAAGCAGGAGTCCATCTTCTCTTAGAACAGCCCTCCGCTGTTTTCAAGTACTATCACTGATCACTTAGAACAGCCTCATTTTACTCATCACAGCCGTTGGAGATGGGTTGCCCTCTTCAATATTAGCCCTAACTTTCGGAACCAGTTTCGTCTTTTCGTCTTTATATATCGTAGGCGCGAGCTTGGCAGCTATGACAGGCTGTTCTTTTAGTTCCGTATTCGCATCTCGTGCGATGTTGTCCACCATAGCGCTTTGAGTTGCGCCAGTAGGAAAATGGCTATTTTTGGCCTGAGTAAGGCCAGCTTGAGTCTTCAGGACGATCTTGAAGGTGATTGCAACGGCATAGGAGGGACCACTGGAATTTTTTGTCGGTGAAGATAATAATGCTGAAGCGGGAGCAGTTGTCGTGGGCCTCTTGTCTACTCGCGAAGAGGACGACCGCAATGCTTCATCCTTTTCTCCGCTTACAAACAGACTAGACGCTGCAGCCAACACCTCCTGATGTCGTGACTCTGATGACCACTGTTTATTTGTCATCTTTGCAATGGCGCGCTCACCATGCTCATCTTCATCCTCATCGTCGCTACTTCGAGGAAAGTTCAATATCTCTGACCCCAATCCATATGCAGGTCTGAGGATTCCATGATTGTTACCGCGTGATCCTGCGATCTCATTCCCTCGATGTACCCTGTAATGTTCGCGTGCCTGTGCATGTCGTGCTGCGGAGCCGACAGGAGTACGAACCATTTTGAGGACAAGCTGCCTTAGTTCTTGCTCTTGTTGCTGCAGCTGTTGCCCTTGTAGTTGCTCCTCGTGTGGTTGTTCTTTTCTTAAGTCTCGAAATTCTGGATGCTCGTCATCAAAAACATTCTGGCGTATTGCCGAACGTTTCGTATTTGAAGTAGGAGGCGTTCGCGTTGATGTTGATGAAGGTGATGATGGAGATAAAGAGGAGTCCACGTGATCCTGCTCCTCCATTTGGCCTGTGCCTAACCTTCTCCTTGGCTCCTCGCGTCTCAGCAATGTATCATCCTCTACTAAGAAGCTTTCACCTCTCGATGTCAAAGACATCGCTTTCGATCTCTGAAGTAGATCTGCTTCTGCTATTCCTTGTAAAGCTTCTTCATCTGCGATGCTATCAGGACTGCTATCCCCCTGATCCAAGAAAAGTGATTGTGAGGAAGAAGAAGCTCCACTTCGTATTGTAGTTCCTCCAGAAGATGTTGACCTTGACGGCGCTCCACGATGAACTCCAACGAACTCCACAAGAGACATACTACTACTACTCGATGAGTTCACGCTTCCTAATATCGACAGATCGACTATATTGACGTCTTTGATTTCCACAGTTGAGCAATCTTCTTGCACCTCTTGAGGCAGAGCCGTCCTGACAGTTTTGCCCATCGCTTCCCTGTCTATTGAATCCGCAAACCGCTCTGCTGCGTCACGACTTTCGTATGGATGTTGTTTTTTCCATCTAGGCAGACCATCGAGGCTCCCCTTTACTTTATACACTTTCAAAGGCAGCCTAGATCGGTAGTCTGATAGATGCGAAAAACATCATCCATATTTCAGGCTGCGTCAGGGAAAAGCCCACTGTCGTTTCTACGCTGGGGGGTGACACTACCACGGTTGTGAACTCATCCTCTTGTGAACTGCCAGAACCCGTTGCATTGGATGATGTGGCGTTGGCTGGTATCTCTGCGTTTGGATCGCTTTCTTGGGTATCTTGATGATCTTCATCAGTATGAGGACTGGCGTCAGAATCTGTATCACCATCTTCAGCACCAACAGGAGAACCACCAGGCATGCCCGTCGTAGGAGGTGTGGTTGCTCCTTGTCCTTCGTCGTCATTTGCTTCCAGGTCTCCTGGTGACGTTGTTTCGGGTGAGTCAGATATTGGGCCACTTGGTGACGTAGTTGTGGCGATTGGCGCAGTAGTAGTTGTTTCCTCGTCGGATGGTACTGGAACTTCACTTGGGCAGGAGGTCAACTCAGAAGGCAGCTGGTATTTTTCACCCTCGGTTTCACCCTTCTCGTCACCTCCGGTTTCGTCTTTTCCAGCAAAGGACGGCATAAACACCTTCTCTAAAAACTCTGAATGCACGCAGAGTCGGTGATGTGTATGCGCAACCCTAGGATCGTAGAGTGTCTCTGGTCGCCTCCTCGCCAGCTCGTTCCACACTATCCGGCCTGGCATTCCTAGCAGATGTACTTCATGAGGACCGGCTGATCCTTGGATTCGATGGTGTGACTGTGAGAGTTAGACTGATTTGCAAATCTTCGTTCATGGTCACCTGAGTGCTGTTCAGAGATTCAGAGTGAGGCAACAGCAACACGTCAAAATATCTAAAAGCAAGCCGAAAGAAAGAAACTTAATCCGACGCCTACCACAAGGACGAGATGAACCAACCACAACCAACAAAAATAGTGAAAAGCCATAATGATCCTCTTTCCCGTCCTCCGCGTCTTCGTCCAAAGGTATGAACCCGATGCCACCACTGTGAGCTACTAGGCTACTAACCAGACTCTCTTGAAAGCATCCTGGCATGATATGTTCCGAATGCAACGATCCTGCCCAGAGTCGATCCTCAATAGTGCTGTTGTGCACCTTTCTGCTCAACCCTTTTCGTATTCGAGTGACTGGAGCTACGAGAATGCTGGAAGTTCTTGCACCTTCTAATATTAAAGATGAAAAGTCTCCCTTGTCGGGTCTACTCTCTGGAACCCCTTTTCGCATTTCACTTCGTGTTGCTCCTCCAGTTAGACTTAGATCTCCATCCCCAGAAGACGAAGGGTCTGCAGTTGTCGTTTCTGTGTCTGCGGTCTGTGCCGCCTTTGTTGGTGTGTAGTCTTCGTAAACACTCGAGAACCACGTAGGCATGCACTGTTCTCCGAGCCTTGCAGCCATGTGTCTCGCGAACTTGTGGCAGGCTTCTTCGCTTCCAATAGGTTCGAACCCAAGTGGGCAGATCAAGTGCCTGACAGAAAGCATCTCACGAGGCACAGCAGAAGGGAGACGAATGAAATAGCCATTCTCACCTGCGCGGAGTGGGCGAGCAAATTTTTGATGTTGTTGTTTCGTTCTCGTTTGAGCTTGTTCTTGTTGTTGTTGTGCTTCTCGTTGTGCTTCTTGTCGTGCTCCTTCATCCTGTTGGCCTTCTTGAACCATCAGCTGCACCATATTACTACTAATGCTACTACTACTAGTAGAACTAGTGCCAGCACCAGGATTACTCTTCCCCCTCTCATGAATAAAATCTACCACGTGATCCACATAGCCACTAAACTGCGCATTGTAAGGTGGTAATCGCCAGTCTCCTGGAAAGAAGGAGCGCTTCTGAATGGGAGTGCAGATCCGATGGCCACCGCCTAAGCCTGAATCCCATCTGCCGATCTTCTGCTCTGCGATTGCAGGTATCTCGCCATTGGCTGAAAATTGTGATGTTAGACGAGGTCCCTCTAGCTGCGACGTTACGAGTAACTTTATTTTACTAGTTCGACATGGAGGTAGAAGGTTGGTAACTCGAAGACCAGGTGGAGCAACTCATGGGGCTTTGGCTTGTTCCACGCCTTAAGGTGATTCAGTCATCTTGTACCTTCTAAAAAGAAGAGCCTGTATGAACAACTGCATGCTATTGCTAGCCCTAACATAGCATATAAACTCTGCATCGGGTTCAATGACTCAACATCGCGGTCCTCAAATCCGTTTCCGTTGCTCGTATCTTCCCTATAGATCGATTGACGGGATCGTCTCCCCGCATCGGAGGGGTCGAAAACGTGGTCTGGGTTGAGATTAGAGCTTTCAGTTTCACGCATTTGAGAAGACAATTGTTGAGACTCTGAGGGTGCCAACATCTACATCATCATTGCCAGCGACATCAGACATTGACATTCTGCATCTATAAGTATCTATAAGAGAGTACCTACAAACGAAAACGAATAATAGCTCCAAGAAAAAGAACCACAACCACCCAAACCTAAATAAATATCACGCCTTAAGAAGAAAATCCAAATCCTCATATCCAGTTCCAAGGTGTTCGTACTCGCCGTCCAACAGCTCACGCATCCACTCATGCTGGGGATAGACTGCATATTCGAATTCGGGATCCATCGTTCCTTTGTAGCGTTTTTTGGTGAAGGTTTTGTGGTTGTATGCGATTTCATTGGCGTATTCTCGAAATTGAAAACATCCGCCAATGGTCCAATAGTTCGTATCCGAGACCTTGGAATGGACACCCCCAGGCGCCCAAAACATCCGCTCAGTGGGTCCTAAAGAGGGATTGCGGAGATTCCATGAAGTGTTTGATAATAGAGAGGAGCTTTGTTCCTGATCTTCTAGCTCGTCAGCCTCACGGGTCCAAAACCGTCTTGCGCCTGCATGCCACAAAGAATAATATCCACCACCAGCGTCATCTTCGTTGTAGAATCTTGTGTCTACAGGGTGGCCTAGAACGCGATCGCATTCAGCCTCGTTCATAGGGTCCCAGTAGTCAGCTGGACAAAATTCGGACTTCCCAAAAATCCTCCCACTACCGGTGATCTGCGGCTTGAATTCCATTCGGACAATGGAAAATTTTTCGGATAGCCGGATTCTACAAGTATAGGAGTCTTTTGTTCGTAGGTTGTGGTCTTGGTACTGTCTGAGATTGGCTAACGCGAAAGCATGTTGTTGCTCTTCCTGTTCCTCTGCAGCTGAACTTTGTGTCAAGATCTTCTTGCGAACTTGTTCTCTTAGCCCTCCCATTTCGGTCTGCTCAACGCTATGCGTAAGACTTTTACATTCAGGAAGATCTTTTCCGCGTAAGAGCAGCACTTGTTCTAAGGGTCGCGTTGTAGAGGAGAAATTTCTAATATCGGAGTTGTTTACAGTTGTTGACGTCTCAGACTCAGCAAGGATCTCTGAAGCTTCCATGAAGCTTGTTTGACTTTCACCTTGTGACTCATCCCTATCTCCGTCTCCCATAGCCGCATTCAAGAACCCTCTTATCAATCCATCTGCGTTCGCATCATCTTTAGAGCTACCGCCAAACACATTCATCCATGATATACGGGTATCTTCTAGGCTATGTAGTATATTCCTTCTTGTATACGGAACGAAGAGAGACAGAAATCACCACTGAAATTGATGCTGGATTAGAGATAGAGGTAGCCTTAACATCTGGCTCCTTCCTCCGGCACAAACGATATGGGTGAAGTATGTTGTGTTTCCCTTCTGGTGACCAGGTGGCGTAAATGGAGTCCTCAAAATTTGCCAGGTTCATGTAAACGCCACCAGGAACAACGTCACTCAATTCCGCATACCCCATATGATCTCGATTTTCCCCGAGGACATAGCCGACAAGGTCTAGTAAAAGTTCTTCTCGTTCTTGTTTGTCGTCGTGGTTATCTGACGAAGTATATGATGAAGCATTATTCGATGAATTAGCAGTCGTATCTTTGTTGCTTTTACCTCCGGCTTTCATTGCAGCTTCGACACTACTCTTGAGATAGAAAGGCCACTGTGCACATCCATAGGCCACTTCGGGATGTTTCCATGTACGAAATCGCCAGAAATCGCCGTATTTTGTGAAATTGCCTCGAGTTCCAGCATAGGAGGGCAAAATTTCTCCAAAGACAGAATGTGACGTTGCACTATGGCTAGTATGGTTGTTTATCATCCAGTAATCCATCCCCGTAGACGCTGAACTTGAAGTTGAAGTAAGTGGAGGATCCCAGATAGCAATATTTGCAAGTTGTTGAGCCGCTTTTAAGCAGGTTTTGGAGTCTGTGATTATTTCAAAACCTTCAGGACAAACACGTGCACGAATGGTACTGCTGTAGTTATAACTTTCAAGAAGGGCTTGTCGTGCTTGGACATCATTTGTGCCTGAGTCGTTTCTGTAACTTTGAAGAAGGGCAGCTCGTGCTTGACCATCATTTGCTCGTTTTGTGTCTACCATAGTTTGCTTTTGATCTGTAGATGTTGAGGAGCCGCTTTGTGCATCTGAATGGTTCCGGTATTTGGTAACCTGAATTTGATCGCAAGGGTTCTCTTTTTGTTTTCCCTTATGATCAAACTTAGGTTACCAAATACCGGAAGCATACAACATCAGAACTCTCTCCAGCTCCACGATAAGAGCTGAAACTAGAAGTACTGCTACTACTACTAGCACTGTCAGAATCCGCATTCGCCAGGCCACTGTACCCTTCTTCACCCTGTGCTGCATCTGTAGTCCCCTGTCCTGTTACATCACTCCACTGAGCCCAGGTTTGCTTGCCATTATGATACAGATGTATCGCGAGTTTCGCTTCCTGGGAACCACGACCGCCGCCAAGCAGGTCTCTTCCTCCATAGTATTAGAACAGCCCAGGGATGGCTCTACTGAGGATGCGAGGATGCTCGTCCCTCTCTCTCTCGTCGAGGTGTCTCATGGTATTGGCTGCCATAATAGTGGCGGAGCAGACCTAAAAACTAAAAAAAAAAACGCGAAAAGAAAGATCATCAGTCAAGTACATGATATCTACATTGGCTGCCATAATAGTAAAACCAATCGAGAGCAGGCAGCCGAAAAAGATTCGTTCCACCAATGCAACCACTTACATCAGGACCCAAGAAATGCCCACGAGAGGGGAAAGCTGGCTTTGCACCACAAGGTATGCAGAGACGAAGCTGGGCTGGAGGTGCTTCTACATCTTCTGGATCTTGTCTTTGTTGTTGTTGTGCTTGTTTGAAGGAAGCATTGGTTCCGTTATCTACCTGTTTTGATATCATCGCATACAACTACTGGAAACAAACTACAGTGAGAAATTCTCCACGACAACGACAAGTGACAGAAACAGGACGACTTAAAGGCTCAAACCTTTCGTTTTTTTTTTAGGTAGCAACGCTAAGGGAGAAGACCCTGTAGAAGTGAAATGCTTAAACCCTCAAATGAAGATGGGTCAGCCGAATCTTCTAGCTCTATCAACGTAGTAGAGAGAAATCTAACTAAGGAAAGAGACAAGTCTGTACCTGACTCTAGTCAAAATTTATTGAATTCATGTGGTAGAAGAGAAAAAAGACGAAATAGGTAGTAGTAGTTGTAGTAAAGAGAAATCTAACTTCTCCAATGCTAAGCAAAATTTTCAATACCTCCAACAGCAGATCCTCCACAGCAATATTCTGATGCATTATCTTGAGAACCTCTGGCATGTAGTTCATCAACCCTCCAGGTGTCGCATTCGTACCCCATCTTTGGAGATTGAGCAGAAAATCGTCCTTTCATTAGAAGAACATCAAACAGAGATCTTATAACTAGACGTAAACGACGAAGAAGTAGAAGTTCTTAGAACGACGTATAAAGGACGTGATGAACTACAAGGGCTTTGAAATGGCTATAGAAGCTTACTGATAGAACAACGCCAAGAAAAGCCATTGTTGAGTATGGTGCCTACAGGAGGTATAGCCTTGTAAAAAGTAGTCTGAGTAGTCGTTTCGACCATAATTCACATTATATTCGATCCGGTTCCCATGTGTTTGATAGCAACCGGCTATTCTATCGATCCGGTTCGTTATTCCGCCCCAAGCAGCCCCTTCTAGTTCGAACGCCAGCTTGGCAAAGGAATCTCGCTCAAGTAGACGTTGTATTATCTTCGTGGAAAAGTCTAGGTCTATCCTCGCAGAATCCACTTCTAGGGCAGGAGGTGGAGTACTGCTGGAAGCTGGAGCAGGACTTCTGGCACTGGCTCTAGAATGACCGTCTCCTAGATGAATAGAAGAAGAGTAAGAAGATGGAGATCGAGATACTGGACCACCAGTTGAAGTAGAAGATGAAGATGCCTTGATTCTTTTTGCTCTTGCTGCAAGACTTGCCACAGGTATGAAGGACGTTGATGTTGTTGAGGAGTCGCTGTCATTTCCCGATAAGGCAAATTGTCTATCAGTAGTACCCAACTCGTCCCTCAGGTATGACCGAAAAGCTTCCAGCCCTTGGGTTCCAAAAGATCGACTAAAGCCTAACAAGTCGGCTATTGTAAGACTTTCTCGTATATCTCCACCGCCTGCTTGTGAAGAAAATGATGCGCCGCCTACTTCTATCCCACTCACAGTCACCTTGTCTCCTCCACCAAGTGCGTCCTGTCTCAAATCTCGTATTGAAAGCCCCAATAAATCGGAAGCGTTATTTCTTTTTTGCATCAGCTCATGATCAAAAAGTTGACTCTTCCTTTCCTCATCAAATTTGGCGTCCTCGAGTTCCTTCAGAGATGTAATGTTCTCATAGGCAAGAAGCGTTGCAATCGCAGAAGTTAAAGGGAGCTCTTCACTATGCCTCCTCGAGTGAGTTGCCCTTTTCCCCCCTTTTTTCCCCCTCTAACTCGAGGGGTACTCCAACTCTATGCACGACTCAAGAGCATATCATGGGATCGATACTAGTGACACTACACTGTGTACGCCTCATCCGATAGTCAAGAACAACTAGCCTTAATGTGTGCAAGTTTAGAGTCCGTGAGCTTCCTCTAGAGAAGAGTCCGCGTCCCAGGGGATTGCCCACGATCCGCATACACTCAAACGCAGTGGGGGGATCCATGAAACCGAGAGGACAACTTTCCACTTGTGCTACTTTATGATCAAAAAGTGCTGCCCGTTTAATACCTTCATTCTTGCCGCACTGGTCTTCGTCCTGTTGCCTACGCCTAGTACCTACATTTTTTTCAACACTACTTTTGTCCTCTAGCAAACTGGTGCTTGAGCCTCCTCCACCGCCTGCTGAGCAAGCCCCTTCTTCTACGACGACATACCCCCCCTTGCATTCTGCGGTCAATCTATTCGGGAATGTCGTTTTCTTTACTGTCGTGACTTTTGACGTAGTGCCGTCTAATGCAGTCTCAGTCCTCCTTTCGGTTTTTTTGGCACATACGGGTTTGTCTTCGCAGAGAGCTTTTTCATCAGAGGTACACTTGGGGATTTGCTTGCATGGTTGGGTCTTGTCAAAAATTTCGACTTGAGCTGCACATGCCAAACATGCATTTGCGTAGGTCTGCCCGTTGGAACCACAGACGGGCTTGTACTCGCGCTGAGAGGCCTCACAGGAAATAAAGGTAGACTTAGCTGCTGCAGCTTCTTCTCCGTCAGAGTGCTCATTAGAAGAGTGAAGAGCGTTGGCATTAGGGGTAGGCCTTTGGATGGTGTTCGTTTGCCCCGTTGATTATGCGTGTCTCCCTTAGGATTGAAAGCCATAACAAACGGTAAGAAAAGCACCTTTAAAGTTAAACTACCCTTAATGCTAGTTGTAGTAGAGCTCGAGTCTTTCACTTTACAAGCTCCCTCAGCAATGGGCTTTACTCCTTCTCCTTCCGCAAGACAGCTGTTCGCATAGGTTTTGCCGTCGTCTCCGCAAACAGGTCGATGAATTCTAGGACATCCTCCCTCTCCAGAAGGTGGAACTACAACTATATCACCAGCAGAAGTTGCTGTTTGTGTTTCATTGCCCTGCTCCGAAGTATCCTCTGTACGACCATTGTTGATGATACGTGCAACTATCGGTTGTAGAGGAATCCACACCCCAAGTCCTCTTGGTGGTTTCACGTTGTAACTTCCTCCATCCCCACAAATCCCGCTATGCTTTCTCCTCACACCAGCACAGAAAGCCTCGCAGTCATTCGAATACGTTTTGCCATCGACGCCACACATAGGATCTATCTGGGCCGTGCAGAGGTGGCAGACTCCTGCTGTCGTCGTTCTCGTTGGGGGAAGGATCCTACCAGTTTCCTCGTCTTCAAACGTAACCTCGATGAGGCTACTCATCAGCATCCGGCTATTCGAGAAAACATCAAACAGAGTGAGTTCTGGAGAGAAGGAAATTGACGTGGTACTAGTGGCGCCGTTGGTTGTCGTACTACTTAAAGTTACGTTTGAATAGTTATAACCTTAGAGGTTACGGAATTACATCCCTCAGAACATGCCTGACTCATTTCCTACTGCAGAGAGAGCCAGGGATGCTAGTGAGGGATGTAATGTGGGAGGACCCCTTAATAACCACCTGCTAAGATGATCTGAGACAGCATCATATTGCTAGTGTTTGTCTTCGTCCTCTTGGTCGCAGTGTCCGTCTGCGTGTCATGAAGATGTTTGTAAAATAACGTTGCTTCTTTGCGGATTATGAAGAGGTCAGCAGTGTCTAGAACTCTCTCTTCAGCGTTGTAGTAACTAGTAGTTCTTGCACTATTATTTTCATCTCCCAAGCCCAACACCAACTCCATTTCAGCTATAAGATCTGCGTCACCAACGTTTCTGCTGTGAATTCTTGTAGTTGTACCAGGAGACCTATGCCTATCTCTATCTGCTAAAGCCACAGCCTTCACCAACAAATTGTACAAGATCAACAGTGCTGAAGCGTCAGGATCACGACCTTCATCGGTAACGGAGGCACGACTAGTGTTCATTGACGTGTCTTCCAGGCTCTTCAGAAGCAGTGTTGACCATCGAGGCGTCACTAAGCGAAGAGACTCCTTTACCAATCTGAGGTCGTAGAACTCTGAAGCTGTAGTACTGTTTGTCTTCGACCACGATGGGAAAATATTATCCAAATATCTCCGCACAAGGTCCTCTGATCGTTGCTTTTCAACGTAAAGAGAATGATCTCCATCTCCCACAACATCTTCATTGCCATGACTCGATGAATTAGCAATCATCTGCTCGAATCGATGCGTCCGACGTACTAAAACACGCAAGCCACTTAAAATGTCCATCTGTAGTGCTCTCATGCGATTGCGCGGTGACTGAGAAAGCCCAACTTTTGCAGTCAAGTTGCTTGATGTGGTTATATTTCCTCCAACCTCCAAATTCTCCACATCTCCATACAACACGTCCCGTTCCGACAGCCATCGCTGAAACTTTTGCCTCACCATCGCTCCAACCTCATTCAAGTATGCGGATAGTGCCTCCATTACGGCCATGTCTATGGCGAGTGCCGCTCTCGTGGCTGCTGTGGCTGCTGGTCCCGGTGCTACTGGTGTCCATGTCCTTCCCTCCTCGTGGTTTGCTCCTGATACACTTATGCGATTCGCCCTGAGCAGGAGCTCGTTTACGGCACTGGTACTTCCTCTAGAGCTTTGAGTTGTAATATCATGTCCTCCTCTACTGCTTCTGCTATTTTTGCTCCGTGTTGTAGTAGCACTCGCTATAATTCCTTCCAACATCGAAAGTGAAGCATGCAGCAGCGCTGCTTGTTCGTGTGAAGAATGTCGATGTTGTTCTTGAACTGTTATGTTGAGTTCAGAAACCATCCGCTCAATAGCACCAAACACAGTAGCAGAGGCTAATTCTCCATCTCCTTGTTCTGAGGACGTTGAGGTAGTAACAGCTTCTGATCTACTTGAGTCCAATTCCCATCTTCGAGCGGACAGAATGCTTTCACTACCAGCAAGAAGCGAAGGGAAGCCACTGGTGGTCGAATAGTTCGACATCTCCGTCGTGTCTCGGACAGGACCACCATCATATTCTGTATCTGTAGCCGTGACGAACGCTTCGAATATGCCTTCCACAAGAACACCAACAACATTTATATCACTTGAGGGCGTTTGGGCTTCATTAGGTACTTTCCCGGGTGTTAGAGCTCAACAAGCCTTCGCATCTTCCCTGAGACAAACATCCTTGGCAGGCTTCTCTTTCAGTTTCAAATAAGTAATACATAGAAAATAATCTTCTTCTACTATGAGTATATGATACTTGGTTAGAATAAGCTTGGATGTTTCTCAGTTAGCTACAGCTAGTTTATTTCAGTATTTCAGATAGAAAAAGAAGCAGAAAAGTGGATGGCGCTGTGGATGCGCTAGCGGTACTCGCCTTAATCTTCCTTGTTCGGCTGATATTCCAAGCTCATCCAAAGCATTCTTCAACTTGACTGAAAAAGGAATCGCCGGTGGGCTTCCAGTTTCATTTTCGAATAACGATGCTAAGGTCGTATTTCGAAGAAAGGCTTCAACCGCATCCAGAAACTTCGTTGGATCTGCTTTTTTGCCACTAACATAGGGTATCATTGGTAAGGACGAGGATACAACTTCTACTGCAAGTGCTGGTATGAATGCACGTAGAAGTAAACCTGCTCCCTCGCTTTTGTCGTTGTCCTGCAATGAGAAAGGTGACACCTGATCATGTGCTGTGAGGAAAATGTCCTCCTTCGCACGGCGGCTCATGTTGTCTTAGAAATAGCATATGTGCAACCTCTAGTCTAGTTGTAGGATCCTTCTTGCTCTAATTGGTCAATAGGTAGGTCATCTAAATAATGTAATAAATGAAAATTTGATTTCATTTACGGGTCCATCGATTCTCGTCTGACAAAATCAAAGTCCATGTATCAAAACCAAGAAGTATCACTTCTATCATATCATGGTAACTATTTCGAGAAGATTCTTAACTTCGTTTTGTCCATTTCCAATGGCCGTCCTCTTCTCGATCTTGTTCTTGATATAGAAGGTCTTTTATATTTGAGCTAGTAAGGTGAACTTCATCGTCATCCTCGGTGCTTGCTCCTCCTCCTCCAGTGTCGTTGCTCCGTTCTTGATGAAGTGCTTTTGTATTTGAGCTAGCAAGCTGAGCTTCAGCATCGTCATCTTCATCAAAGCCGCTTGCGCCTCTACCAATACCAGTGGTCGCTCCTCTAGCAATACCAATGGTCGCTCCTCTAGCAGTACTATCGTCCTCTCTCGACGAAAATGTTACACCTTCAGAATGATCATGGTCATGTTCTTGATGAACGCCACCCCCTTCGTTGAGTCCCCTTCCGGCACGAGCCTCATGATATTGATCATAATCCTCTTCTTCATTTTGCCTTTCACTTCTGTCGACGCTTTCAGCTGCAGGAGCATTTTTAGAATATTCCACGCTCTTGGCGAGACGAGCGTCAACGACACACGACCAGCACGATGAGTGGTGGAAGACACTGGACGCGAGAAAGAACTTGTTGGTAACCTTGATTATCTTGGTCAACACGTAGTAGAGCAGGTGGGCCATGCTTTCGGCGCCATACCTTTTCCCCATACTTTCCCGATCCCAAAGTTCTTTGGGGGGGTAGTTATGAGCAATACAATACAATACAACTAATCCCGCACAGTTTTCAGTGCAGACTGCCGCGCGGCGTCATAGTGTTTCGTCACGATGCTTTTTAGTTTTACTCGCACAGGTTGTGACTAAACTAAGAACGACACGGAAGAACTGAGGGAAGAAGTGACAAGAAACTTACACCGACGCAAGAAGAACATTTTTCGTGGATCTGCCAGCATGATCATAGAGCTCCTCTCACAGGACAAGTAGATCTCTTTTGTTATACGTGTCTCTTTCGTTATATCGCGATCACCGACTTGGATGATAATCACAGTATGAGCCATCCATTTTCAACTTTCCTACAACATCTGTTCTTTTTCTCTACTCTCAACCTTTTTCCTTTAACAATATCTGTTTCTCTGTAGCATTTTCCTCCAAAACTATGAATCTAGTTGTAGGAATTATTTTGTCATCCGCCGAGAAGATGTAACTTTTTTCCTCCAAAAACAGTAAATTTGAATCCTCATCATGTTCTTGTGCTCTCTCCATTACGACTCCATAAAGTTGATGCGCTCTCTCTCCATTACGACTCCGTAAAGTTCATGAAGAGGCGTCCAAGAAACAGGTGCTTCATATACTACAACGCGCTTCCTCCAATTCAGTGTGTGGCTCTGGTATTTGGTAACCTGAGTTTGATCCTAAGGGTTCTCTTCTTGTTTTCCCTTATGATCAAATTCAGGTTACCAAATACCGGAACCATTCATTCAGTTGTGCTTGAGCAAATTCTTTTATACAACAGTCAACAGCGCACCAGAGAAGATTCTTCTTCTTTTATACAGTGATGAGCGAAAATCAAAATGAGCATGAGTTTCAAATTCGATATCTTTCATCTTGAGCAGCACATTATTGTTGCTTCGGAAGTTCCTGGATTATCGACGATAATTTTTATGGTGCACAGCTTCTCCACTCCAAATTTGATTGCTTGGTACATACATGATTGTAAAAAACTCTAGCACTACTTGTAGCTTTACTTCTTTGGACCCAAGAACATCTTGGATTAGGATTAGGCTTCATAAACTTTCTTTGTTGAACCATTCAATGTCGTCCTCGTGGAGATAGTTGTGAAAGATAGATGAAGTCGTTCACATTCGAATACAAGTTTTTTTGATAGTCTTAACGATGTTGCAACTGCAGAACCAAGTTAGTATAGCGGCCACGACTTCTAGTACCTCCGCGTACAACCACTTATCGTACAAAATATGATTATGATTATCATGATCGATGAATAGATACAGAGAGGCGACGAGTCGTGATTTGTTTGTAAATAATCGAATGGAGGAAATAACTGCAATGATCTTGAAGATTTTCACGTTCTTTAATGTGGACGATACGGACAAGGTGAGATATACTATAGGGAAAGATTTTTGGAAGATTTTTTCTATGAGATTGCATCTCTGTATTAATATTATTGAGTAAGGTATGTCAACTCGCAGAACGCAGAGAAATTGAGATCCTACCTTCACTTTTATTTATAATCTAGAAGTACATCGAGAAGAACCACAAGAGCAACAGTATGTCTACCAAAGTCAATCTGTGACTGGTGCATCTTGTAAAACAGAACGTGTCGTTCTTATCCTCGTCCGACTCCGCTTTTTTCGGAATAAACCCTGATGATTTATCATCATTTCATGAGAACCACTCTGCCTTCAGAACTACTCTGCCTTAAGAACCACTCTCCCTTTGCCCTTCAACCTGAGCCACTCTCCCTTGCCCTGCAGGACCACTCTCCCTTGCCCTTCAGGACCCCTCCCGAATCAGAACCAGCCTCCTTTCAGAGTCCGCTTTAGCAGCATAACATGCTACCCTCCCCAGGCGGGTCCTCCAAGACCGGTTGTTGAGGTTGTGTCTTCCTTAGAGGTTCTTATTAAGGAATTAGAATTACATCATTCCTGACGAGAACTAACTAACATCTCGGAAAATCAAAGTAAGCTACGGAATTGCATCCCATTCAGATTTATTTCCTTATGAAAAAAGAGCCAGGGATGCTAGTGAAGGATGTAATGGGGGAACCCTTAACTTCCCCTTCTGCTGGAGGTGAGCCAGTTCTTGCGGCTTGCCTGCCGGCTTCGCGAAGATTGGCTTCGGGAAGATTAGAGGATCTTTTCCTGCTAATCCGTGGTCTTCGTCAGACCCTGAACGATGATCACGAAGAGCTAGAACACACATGATTTAAACTAGATAGATATTACAACAAGCACGACAGAGCAACTAGTACTTTTCATCTTTTTCAAGGATGGCGCGATCACATGATCAAAAATGAATGAGAGAGTAGTGAGGGCCATAACGTCGGGCGCGCAGGGGTCTGTGCCACGAATTTTGCCCATGGATTTGTCTGTGGTGCGAATTTTGCCCACGGATTTTCTGCTTCTTGGTCTTCATCATCTTCGCCCCCATCTTCTCCGCCTTCAGCGACGTCCTTGTGAGGCGACGCGCGTGCTTGCTCGTCTCCTGTGCCAGCGGCGCGGGCCTTCTCCCCACTTTCTTCTTCCGCTTCTGTTAGAGGTTACGAAATTACACTCCTCAGAACAACCCTGGCTCCTTTTCTACTATAAGAAAAGAGGCGCCGATCGATGGATGGAATTAGTGCGGGATGTAATTCAGAAGCCCTTAATTTTGTGCGGGCAGGCAGCTGGTTTTGCTTCGGGGCTGCTCGCTTTTGCGGGGACTGTTCTTGTCTCCTTTGCTTGTGTGCCTCACGGTGCTTTCCGTTTCCTGCCAGTGCCCGCTCGCTTTCCTTCCGTTGCCGTTCCCGCTCTAGCCGTTCCTCTGTCAGGCGCGCGTGCTCCTTTTCGTGGGCTAGCCGTACCGCGGCCCCTCGTGCGGCCCCGTCTACTCCCTTCTGCCGCTGTTCCTCTGCCAGTCGCAGTGCCTCTGCCAGTCGCCGTTCCTCTGCCAGACGTGCCTGCCCCTCCTCACGCTCTAGCCGCACCGCGGCCAGGCGCGCAGCCCTCCCTTCCTCCTTTCGTTGTTCCTCGTCTCCCTGTTGCTGCGCCGCCTCTGCCTGTCGCCGTTCCTCTTCCTTTCGCTTTTCCTCATCCTCTGCCTGTCGCAGACGCAATGCCCCTGCCTGTCGCTTTTCCTCATCTTCTGCCTGGCGCAGACGCAGTGCCGCTGCCCTTCGCTTTTTCTCTGCTTGTCGCCGTTCCTCTGCCTTTCGCTTTTCCTCGTCCTCTGCTTGTCGCAGTGACTCTGCCTGTCGCTCTTCCTCTGCCTGTCGCTTTGCCTCTGCCTGTCGCTTCTCCTCCGCTTTTCGCTCTCCCTCTGCCTGTCGCTTTTCCTCTGCCTTTCGCTCTTCCTCTGCCTGTCGCTTTCCCTCATCTTCTGCCTGTCGCAGACGCAGTGCCGCTGCCTTTCGTTTTTTCTCTGCTTGTCGCCGTTCCTCTGCCTGTCGCTCTCCCTCTGCCTTTCGCCGTTCCTCTGCCTTTTGCTCTTCCTCTGCCAGTTGCTTCTCCTCTGCTTGTCGCCGTTCCTCTGCCTTTCGCTTTTCCTCTGCCTTTCGCTCTTCCTCTGCCTGTCGCTCTCCCTCTGCCTTTCGCCGTTCCTCTGCCTCTCGCTCTCCCTCTGCCTTTCGCTTTTCCTCTGCTTGTCGCCGTTCCTCGGCCTTTCGCTCTTCCTCTGCCAGTCGCTCTTCCTCTGCCTTTCGTTCTTCCTCTGCCTTTCGCTCTTCCTCTGCCTTTCGTTCTTCCTCTGCCTTTCGCTCTTCCTCTGCCAGTTGCTTCTCCTTTGCTTGTCGCAGACGTAGTGCCTCTGCCTGTCGCTCTTCCTCTGCCTTTCGCTCTTCCTCTGCCTTTCGCTCTTCCTCTGCCTTTCGCTCTTCCTCTGCCTTTCGCTCTTCCTCTGCCTTTCGCTCTTCCTCTGCCAGTTGCTTCTCCTTTGCTTGGCGCAGTTCCTCTGCCTTTTGATTTTGCAATGCCCGTGCAAATTCCAAGTTTCGTTGCCGTCCCTTTGCCAGTAGCTGCGCCTGTGCCTCTCTCAGCCGCGCCTGTTCCGGTCCGCCTCCGTCTGCTTGTGGCAATATTTTTGCCTCTCGCTTTTCCTCATCTTCTGCCTGTCGCAGACGCAGTGCTTCTGCCTGTCGCTTTTCCTCTGCTTGTCGCAGTGCGTCTGCCTGTAGTCGCTTTTCCTCTGCTTGTCGCAGGAGCAGTGCCTCTTCCTTTCGCTTTTCCTCTGCTTGTCGCCGTTTGTCTGCCTGTCGCTTTGCGGCCTCATCATCTGCTCGTCGCAGGTCCTGTCCTCCCTCATTAGAAGAATATGAATTAATACCGATGTAGTCATACTTGGACATATTTTCTAGACAACAGCGCTATACCTTGTGTTGAAGTTGTCCTAATTAACTAAGAAAAGCATATTACTTTCACTTTGTGGTGGAGCTCCTCCTGTGGTCCCAACTAGGAGTGGGAAAAACTACACAAAAATATCATAAGAAGATTGACATAATAGACCTAGGATCTAGAACATAAGTGAATTACTTTTAGATCAACACGTGAAAAGGGCTTTTAGATCAACTTCAACACGTGAGATAACACATAGAACTAAAACACAAAAACAAACTGGAACATAAAAAAATACTTTTTGAGCAACCACAAGTCATGAAAAGTAGAGGCCATAACCTGTTTTCTAGCGATAGAATTAGGCACCAGAAAGGCCTGCTGGGTCACTTCCCGCCGGGAAGAATCGGGCAAATGTTCATACTCGAGCTTCATTACTTGGCCGTCCTTTCGCAGCGTTGCGGTGAAGTCGAGGCATTCTGCCACGAATTGACCAGCGGTTTGTCGCTCGTTTAGAGTGTTACAACATCAAAAAGGAGCTCTTTCACTTTCATCACGTTCATTCAAGGAGACAATAATGAAAGTGAAAGGGGACTTTGGTAGGGTACGTGTGTTGGCTGGCTCTCGCTTTTTCATTCATCCTCTACTTCAAAGCCGCCCCCACTCACAACCAGTGCAGCGCAATGCCTGATGGAATATTCAGCCTAAGCGATGAGGGAAAAAATAGCCGGCTACCCCGATGCAACAACGAACCAGCGAAAGAACACGCCCCACCTCTAATGTGAACACTTGAAGACCCTTAAGTCACCTCTGACGTGAAAGCGAGAGAACCCTTTCGGCGCCGCTAGTGTGAACCAAAAAGAACTCCTGAGGCACCCTCAGTGTGAAACGCAGAGAACTCCTACGAGAAAGACAACAAAAAGAGAACGACAACGAAAGGAGAACAACAACAAGACAAAAAGAAAGCACCAACAGCAACAAAACTGACGACACCAGAGCCGCAAGAAGACAACAACAGAGAGACAACAACAGAGAGGAGAAAAACAACCAACAAAACAACACCAAGGGGACAATAACCAACAAGCAACGACGACCAGAGAACCACAACAAGAAGACAACAAAAGAGAGACAAGGGCAACGAGGACAGAATGAAAGACCTGCCAGCGCAGAAGGCACAGCAAGAGGAAGACAGCGACAAGAGACCCAAGGAGGAGACAACAGAGGCAAGACAGCAACAAAAAAACAGCAAGGGAAAGACAACAACAACGACCCCAGGCAAGAGAACAGCAACGAGAAGACCGACAGCAGCGAAAAGGAGACAACAGCAGCAAGACAACAACGGAGAAACAACAGCAGAAGAACGACGGCCCAAGGACAGCAAGAAAACAACAGAAGAACAACAACAAAGGCGAGGCGACAGCAAAAAGACAACACCAGAAGGACAAAACCAGAAGAACAACACCAGAAGAACAACAACAAGAGAGCGACAGCAGAAGGACAACAAGAGGAGAACAACAACAGAAAGACAAACACAGAAAACCAACAGCAGAAAGACAGCAGCAGAAAAACAGCGACAGATGGACAACACCACAGGAGGGCAGACAATAGACAACAAGCAACAGAACGACAGCAGGGGCAGAAGCAACGAGAGCAAAGACAACAACACACAGAAAAGGGACACCAGCAAAAGCCCAAGAGAACAACAAAGACAGAAAGACACCCACTACCAGAACGAAAAACGACAACACAAAGACAGCGCCCACCAGAGAAGCCCAAAGGCAGAAGGAGAGCAACAGCAAGGAGACAGCCGCGACCGAGAAGACAGCAGCAGCGCGGGGACAGCAACTACAAAGAGACAACAACAGAAGAAAGACAACAACGCCACAGCTAACAACAAGAAGAAAGCAGCAACAGAAAAGCAGCAACAGTGGCAGCGCACGCAGTGGAAAAGAGTCAGTCCCAAGACAATCAAGACAAGACAAGCGCCGAGGAGCCAGCCCAAAGACAGAGGGGGAGCAGCAGCAAGAGAACGACACCAAGGGAGCCAGCTAGCAGAGGACAAAAGCGCGGAGAGACTGACAACAACAAGGGAGCAAGGACAGAGAGAAGACAGCAAGGGGACAACAAGAGAAAGAGGACACCAAGGACACCAAGACAATAAGAGCGAGAAAGACAGCAACAAGGGCAACGCGGCCAATTGATGCGTGGAGCAGAAGCCCGAAACAATCGCGAGGGGGGCAGAGGAGCCCAACGACAAGAGGGCAGCAACTGCAACAGAGAAACAGCAGCCAGAAAACTACCCGACAACGACAGAAAGGAGAGGAGAGCACCGACCAAGACAGCAACAGAAAGACAACACGGGGGCAGCGCAGCGGAATAAAAGCCCGAAACAGCCACGACGGGGGCAGAGGAGCCCACAGACAGAGCGGGAGCGAAAACAAGAGAACAACGACAAGGAGACAACAGCAGACGAAAGACAGCGGACAGCACCGAGACAGCAACAAAGGCAGCGCAGTGGAACAGAAGCCCGAAACAACCGCGGCCGACGGGGGTAGAGGAGCAAGCCCAAGGAGAAAAGGCAAGGGGAGCAACAGCAACGAAGAGGACAACAAGAGAGGAACAACAACAGAGGGACCACAGCAACAAGACCACAACAACAGAAAGACAACAGCAGCAAGACAACAACAAGAAGACAGCAGCAAGGGCACCGCAGTGAAACAGAGGCCCCGGCACACCCACGAAGGGGCCAGGGGAGCCCAAAGGCAGAGAGAGAGCAACAACAAGGGGGCAACGACACACAGCAGGACAACAACAAGGGGGCAACAAGTGAGGGACAACAACAAAGATAGAGACAGCAGCGGGACGGAAATAACAAGAGGACAACAACACAGGAAGAACAACAGCACCAAGACAGAAGCAGACAGACACACAATAACAGGGGCAGCGCTGTGGCAGTGCAATAGAGCGAGGCCCGAAACAACCGCGACGGGGGCAGGGACGCGCGCGCCGCTGAGCCCTGGGGGCTGGCGTCCGTGTTTCCTCTGGCGGAATCTCTGGGGCCCTTTTTCGGCCTTCCTCTGTGTTTCTCCCTTGCTTGGTCGCTTGGCGTCCTTGTTCGCTATGATCCGGGCACAGTGCCACGAACAGAAGAGAGAGAGAGAGGAGAGAGAAGAAGGAACCACAGGCACCCGCGCCCACTATGGCCGACGCGCTGAAGGTGGCGCCCATGGTTTTGCGCCTTTACCTGCCCGCCGGCGCTTGCTGGCATCTTGGGGACGGGTTCCGCCTCCCTTCGTTGCAGCAAAGTGAGGCTATTCGAATACCGCACAAAGTTCAACGCAGACTGCCTTAGGGGCGGACGAGTGTGGGCTTTTGCTCTTTCAGTTCTTCCTTCGCGTTCAGTTGCTGAAGCAGCTCCACGCCCGTACTACTTGCTTCTGGTCTCGTCCTGGGTAGAGGTCTCGTCCTGGGTGGAACTCCTCCAAAGAGACAGGGCAAAAGGACAGGCGCAAAAAGATGGCTCATGCTGAGTGAGAGAGCTCACGAACATGAGTGATATTATGAAGGATATAATAGATACAACTGCACAGTAGTACAATGCAAGAATTACAATGCAAAAATAGATCTCGCGCAGCTTTGTTCTCTAATATATATAATTTCCATAATTGTTCTTTTTTTATCCATGGCCGCTTACCATCTTCTATGTCAAAAAGCGCCTGAGTTTAGAAGAGCTACCGCGTTAACGTTGTACAACCCGACAATTGTCTCACTGAGTGAAATACAAGAGAGGAGAAGTGAGGAGATGCTGTCCTAAGTGCAATTGCTTCGTAGCTGCATGCCCCTTGCCCTTCTTGGTCTCTTTTGCTAACTACTTCTACTTGAAGAATGAACAAAAGGACATGGAAGAAGACGAGGATGACTCGACCTACCATGGACTCTTTAAGATGCATGATCTTCTGCAAGCTGCTGCCTTAATGAATCCTCTTGCGCTCGAACCCGTTGTAGCAGCTTTCAGTCTCAGTGCCAGCTGCAGGTGCTGAAAGCTGCAGGTGCTGACGAGCAAATTGAGCGCGAGTATTTTTCTGTACTTGGCAAAAATGCGCTAAATTTGGAGGACAGACACCACATCTGCCCTGAAGGCACTTCTCGTAAGGAGCCGTCCCGGGTGATGCTCCTGATCCTGCACCTCCGAGGACGTCCTGCTAATGAAAGGAGAGGGAGATGACTGGTGTTGAAGACCCCCCGCCCATATTTAATATTACTCGTAGTACTACTACAGCACATAGGCCTTCATACTACTCCTTTTCTAGTGTTTTCATAGATGAATTTGAAAACGGATTTTGATCGTGTGCTAGAGCCCTCGATCTGTCGCGGACTTCTTTACTATGTATGTTCCAAGGCGCGGGGCGACGGCCCCCCCGCCCCCTAGCGGGGGGCGCCCTGGCCCCCTTCCGTGCGGCCCTGAGTCATGTATCTATAGTAATGCTGTGGCGCTGAGCCAAAAAATGTTGTAGTATATGAACCACCCTCGAAGTTGTAAGTACTTTTAGTGCGCCAAGTCTGCTCCGCCAAGTCTGCTCTCGAACTATACTCTACTACACTACCACTCATCTCCAACAACTATGTTGATCTTGTGCCGGAATGCTATCTACGTATGTGTTGAAAGTCGACGATAGAAGAAATCCCTGCAGCAGGGTGGGCCACTACAATACAACGCAATGCAATAAATCTCGCACAAAGTTTAGTATTAGTGCAGACTTTGGGCAAGAGTGTGAAGATGTAAATCTTAGTAATAATGTGAAGAGACTACTTAGTACTAGTAGTAGCTTTGTGACTGATTAAGGGCCAGGTATAGCCTTGCCAGTAGTAATATGGGCCCGTCTTTATGTGTTGCGACTACAAAGAACCCAAACGCCGCGACAGATCCAGACGTCGGAGGATCGAGGGCCCACCTTTTGTTCCGGAATATTAGCATGCTCGACTTCAATGAGGTAACAGTAGGATATCACTAATATAAGAAGAAGGAGAACCATCATAACAGCAACGCTGGAAAAGGTCTGCCGGATCTGTTTTCACCCAAAAGGCTTTTGATGTTATGCCTGGTATATAGTCTGGTGCAGACTTAGACCTACCGCGTAGTTCCTTCACATCTCGTCTGACCACGAGACCGTCCTCTTGGGCACCGGCAGCTTCTTTTTACACTATATAACTATATGTAGACTGAGAAGTATTTACGCTTCTATACGTTGTAGCCAAATACACTAATATAAAACTGTGATTATAAGAGTGCCCCAAAGAAGTTTCTGATTTTACTGCAAGTGCGGAGAATTGAAGGTGAAGGAGGAAGGAAAGCGAGACGCTCTCTCAACTCTTGTGTTCAGAGGTACCAGTCAAAGAAAAAGGAAGAACGAGCACGCGCGTGTTACTAGATCAAACTCAATATCGGAGAAAGTAAATTGTTTAGCGCCCTAGATGCTCATTGGCGTCCCACCCGCCCAGGCTTTCGGTGGGAAAGCTCGGGTGGGTGGGTGCTCACATCCACAGCGACCCACCATACACTATAGAAAAAGAGCCGGAGAAGACGGACCCATGATGTCAGTTTGTTGAGAATGCTTCGTCAGTAGCCGCGCTAGCGTTAGCCTTAACAGATAGAATCCGGGCAAGCAAAAGCCAATTCCTCCACGTACCGAGGACGTCACGAATCAGCTGCGTCCCCAATGCGTACAGATCGATGTGTAGTCCAACAATCGGGGTGTATGGCGTCTTCTGCTTCTCCTCAAGTCGTTGCTGGGAGCAACTTTAGAGGTTACGGAATGACACTCCTCAGAACATCCCACCTTGCTTCTTTTCTAGTACTGGAAAAAGACCTAGTACAGCTTCTGGGAGAATGAATGTGAGTGTAGTTAGGTGGAAACGACCCTTAACAACTGGGCACACGCCAAAGACTCGGATGCATGAAGAACGGCGTACCAGCACAACTCAGTTGTTCCAGGGAAGCATTTTGACCGGCGATGAGTTCGATGTTTCCGGTCTCACCATTCGCGATCCAAATAGTGGAGACACCAAAGTCGGCCAGACGAAGCCCCTGGGTTTGCAAATCTAGCAACGCGTTCTCTCCTTTGAAGTCGCCGTGTGTGACGCCAATTTCCTCGTTAATGATATGAAGATTCCGTAAATTTCCTGGATCTACTGTCCCCGGGTCCTGTTGTTCTGTCGTGCTTTCATCCACCCTTCGCAGTTCATTAAGGGGCGCCACGACAGATCAACAGACGTCGAGGGTTCCAGGTCTGGTAGCCATACATGATGCTCAGACACTCCCTTGCCTTCTCAGCTCTCTCCATCGTCTCCGGACGGGAAGCGTCGTAAAGAAGGCTACCCTGACGAGGTAGAGGCCCCAGTTTCTCCATTACATTAGACACCTTCCATGATGTTGGGAGCATCTTCCTTGACTTGAGCATGATCCTAGTACCTGGGCGCCGCTAGTAAAAAAAAACCCAGGGATCGATCATGCATGGTATTCTAAAAAGTGGATGCTTTAGCCGCGGTAGCCTTATTTACAAGATAGGGAGTGCCGGCACCTCCCCGTGCTCGATCGTCGATCACAACACTGGATACAAATCCAACGCAATTGCCGTCATACTTGCGCCTGCGCAGTCCTGACTTCGCAGTAGTCTCAAAGTAACTCCACATCAGCTGCTGGATCCAGGCCTCCCTCACCACTTCTTCGGGATTCCAGTCACCACGAATCGCCTTCACCACACAGGTATGACAGAAAAAAGAAAAGCGCACTCACACTCAAAAAGAAAAAGTAATCACATTAGGTGCCTGCTGGCTAGCCCCCTTTTCTTAATTAAGTTGTCCTAGCCAATTGGAGTCATCTTCTTGAGCCGTGTGATTGCAGAAGCTTTTCCTTTCATAACAAGCAGCTCCGCCGTAGCGCTTATCCTCACAAGGTCCCATGTCGAACACCGTCCCGAAAGACCCAGCACCCAGCTGCGGCTTGTGTAGCGCCTGTGTCAGCTTTTTAAATAACTGCGCGTCCGTCGTGCGCGTTACAATCCTAGGAAGATCCTGCGCACTACAATATGCCCCCAAGGGATGCCCTTTCGCTGTCAAGACACCACAAAGCCCCTGCGCCGCTCTCTCAACCTGGTGATAGATGGCATTAATGAACTTCAGAAGGTGACGCGAATGAGTGAGCGAGTGAGTGAGTGTGAGTGAGTGCGTTCATGCAGTTGCATCTTGTTGCTAGTTGCTGGCGACCAACTAGCTACAAGTAAAGTTATTGGTGACGAGTTGTATATGAAGCCAAAGTCTCTTATCATTCGCAAAAACTTTGAGGAAAGCCGAACATCTAAGAAAGATTCCTCCGTGGTTGTGGAGGTTGTGCTGAAGTCGTGGAAGTTGTGGCGGAGCCTGTCGCGAGATTTTTCTACTGAAACGAGAATGGTCCGCAGTGTGACGAGCCTCGTTTTTGCTGTGGCGAGAGTCTTCAACTTTATGACTATGGCGAGGATTTTTTAATTGCTGTGGCGTGAGTCTTTTATTTTCACTGTGACGAGCATCATGCTTACTGTGGCGGGCTTTGTCCTCACTGTGACGAACCTCGTTTCTACTGTGACAAGCCTCGTCTTTACTGTGGCGAGATTCGGTCCCCCTCGGTAATGTGACGAGCCTCAGTGTCAGGCTTTGGCCTTTGGATGGCGAGTAGGTGTGCCCAGAATTGGCCTGAAAGCGCGAGCGCCTTTTTCGTTGACGGCTCCAGGAGGCGTCTGCGCCTTGAGGGCGTTTCTGCTGGAAGGCACCCTAGTCGTGTCAAGATTCGAACAGCTCGAGAAGCTGAGAACTCGCCGGCGAGTGCCCTGCCCTTCAGGCTGTTCGAATCCCAGCGCCGCTAGCATGCCTCCAAACTCAAACGCCCCCAAGCGGCCAACGCCTTTCTCGGTTCTTGGGGGCACCTGCCTGGCCTCGAAGTAAGGCTGAAGCCCGCTACCGTAAGACTTTGAAAGCGCGGGCGCGCGAGTTTTATTTTCGTTGGCGGCTCGAGAAAGCGCCTGCACCTTGAAGGCGTTCCTGCTGGAGGGCACTCGAGTGGCGTTACGGTTCGAATAGCCCGAGAACATGAGGACTCGCCAGCGAGTGCCCAGCCCTCCGGGCTGTTCGAATCCTGACGCCACTAGGGTCCCCACAAAAAGGCCGAAGCCCGTCGCAGTAAGTTTGAAGCTTGTCGCAATGAGGTAGAGACCCGTGCCAACAAGGCCGGGGCCCGTCACAATAAGGCCGAGGCCCATCACAGTAAAAGCGAAGCGCGTCACAGTAAGGGCGAAGCCCGTCACAGTAAGGACGAGGCCTGTCACAGTAGAGACGAGGCCCGCCACAAGAAGAGCGAAGCCCGTCACAGTGAAGAGAATTCGCGTCTCGGTAAGAAAAAGTTTCGCCACAAACACAATGAAAAAAAAACTCTCGCCACAATGAAAAAAATTCTCGCCACAGTCACAAAAAACTTCGCTACAATAAGAAAAATTCCCATCACAATAAAAAAAAATCGTCACAGTAAAACCAATATCGCCACAGTGAAAACGATTCTCGTCACAGTAAAAACAATTTTCACCACAGTATACACGAGACTCGTCACAAGCTCCGCCACAACTCCCACAGTCCGCGAACTTTGGGAGCGATCGGCGGACAAATGTTGCGGCGATTTCATAGATGGCTGGTCTTCATGAAACTTCCTACAGTTCGTAGCAGAAAAAAGTTATGTTTATTGATTTTGGATTCATTTGGTTCCACCGAGTAAACTAGTTGCTGCACGTATTTTCTTACTTGCTTGTCGTCGAATGTTAGAAGTAGTCGGTGGCCCTCCTCGAGTAGTGAAGCTACTACGCTGCGCACTGAGTGCACATCTATTATGGAGTGATAGCATGCTCTGGAGTGATAGTATGCTCTGGAGTGATACTAGTATGCTCTGGATGTACATCTAACTATTATTTATATTTTGACTATCTAATGATCTATTAATATGATCTCAGTACTCTCTAGATTTACTTGGAGGTCAGGTTGAGAAAAGTGCCAGAACTTAAAGTCTTGAGGCGCTAATGTTTTTAGAGTAAGTACTTAGTCAAGGTCTTCAGGATGACCAGTGTAATCATCGGAACAAGAATTTCTAAAAACTCTATCAGAAGTATGATCAGAAAACGAACAAAAACGAGAAGTATAACTTCTAAGATTCTCTTTAAAAAGAGTAATATCTGGTAAGCGTGAGAAACGAGCCGGGAAATGCGAGCAACGAGTGAAAGTGTAGGTGCAAAGATGATCAAGTTGTGCTTTAAGAGTAACAAATATTAAACCTTCGAAGATGGTGGAGCTGGAGGTCTGGCGCTCGTGCTTTCGCGTTGTTGCTCTCCTTGCTGAAAAAAGCCGGACGGGGCAAGGCTTGGCGACGAGACCACAGGAGACGCAAGAATTGGATGAGGCCGTGCTGCAGGGTAAGAATTAGAATCGCGCCGGTCGTGATCGTAAAAAAGTACAACGATACGAAGACTAAGCCTGCTACAACATCTCACATGAAGGAAAGAGTGAGCTTCAAGCTCACGGGCTGCAGCATGACGAGGAAACACAAGTTTTTAGTCCTATAATAAGCCTAGTGCTACTACTTAAACTAAGTAAGTCTTCATATTCATTCTAAGTGACATTTTTCTAGTCTTAAACTAGGTTCTGGGAAGTTTTTAGTAATATTACCTATTAATCTATCACTAGAGATCATCATGAACAGAAGGTTAATATAGCGTTATGAATCTTTTACTAGGAGGTAGCAACATCGTCGAAAGAACCCAAAATATGGCTTTTTGATGTCATGTCATTTCTCCCATTACCAGGCTGGCAGCTTTGAGTTGCTCCATGGTAAACCCAGGCAGGTAACAAAAAAAAAACTTCAAGTGAGTGAGTGAAGAAATGAATGAATGCGATCTATTAGGCGTTTTTTGACATTGTCTAAAATAAACGGACAACACAAAGTATACACGGACAACATATAGTAGAAGCGATTCATACCGAACAACATAAAGTAGAATGAGAGCAGCCGTTTCGGAAGACACTGATGCGGACCATTGTGTTGGATGCGCGATGCCAATTGAGTGAAATCCGTTGGGTTTTTCCATGTTCTTATTAGATCTCTCTCTTGAAAGTAGTTGTACAGAGGTGTTTCAAACCTTCTTGTTTTATCACATCCTCATCCATCTTGAAAGTCATCTTGGGTCCTCTGTTTTTCCACCCTTAGAGAGCTCGTGGTTGCCTTAATCTTAGGAATAGCATTTCCCTGGTGAGCGAGGACGTCCGCGTCGCGCATTCCTCTCCTTCTTCTTCTTCTTCTTCTACTGCATCACCATCTCCTTCTCCTTGATCCAGGTTCTTGCCGATGTTCACGACGCTCTAGCAATTAGAAGACGTCAACAACGACAAGAAAAACGCTGTAGTAGTTCTTCTTGATGTAGTTGCAACGGCGGGAATAACTATGACGTACCAGCAAAGTAGGTGGACAAAAACTTTTCAGACGAGAAAACTCCTATTATTCTTGAGTCATTGTCTACAACTATGAGTAGAAATAAAGGGTTTAGAGCCCGGTTTTGAGTTTTCTTGGTCTCTGTATAATGAGCAAGTATCTCTTTGCGAGCATCTTCGGGACCGTCATCTTTGGGAAATGCGATATATCCTGAGAAGTGTAATGTCGTTGCTGTGAGTGTAATGTCGTAGTTATTCTGAGTGCAATATCGTTATAATTCTGAGTGCAAAATCGTTATTCTGAGTGTCGTGATGGTGATAGTCACCTGGATGCCTTAACCTTCATGTTGTCACGACTAAAATTAATATCGTGTGGACTACCCGTCAGCGCCATCACTTGGCTCGTACTCGCCAGCGCCTTCACTTGGTTCGTGGTACTCGTCAGCTGCTTCACTGGGTCGTTCTCATGTGCAACACCATCAGCATCAGAAGTAGTTGCATCGCGTTCGCGGTCTCCTTTTTCAACTTGTAGTTCGTCAGGACCTACATTAGCACTGGGATCAACAGTCTTGGCCATGGTCTCTGCTGCATGAAGACGAGCACCATCAAGATTTTTGCCTCCTGTAGTACGTTGCTCATCTCGATGGTGAAGATTCTTGCCATTTGTACGGAGTTCGGGTGGTGAGAGATCTAGATGTGCTTGTTTTTGTGGCTTCTCTTCTTGCGGGATGATTAGAAACGACGAAAGAACCGTGTTCAGCTTCATATAAGGTATGATGCGACTTTTCATAGAAGACCACACTCACACATATAGCTTCTCAGTGATGCCAAAGAACAAGAAAATATTGCGCATGATATTTAGTTTCAGACCCTTGATACATAGAAGGTGCTGTGTCAGCGATGCTAAGGAATAGAGTGCGAACTCGTATCTTCTACTTGTAGTACTTCTGCTTCATCTCACAATTAGTCAAGAAGGGAAAAAGTCATGGCACTACGGGTGTTCTACAACTCTTTTAAACGACCCTTCTATTCTTACAAGTCACTTGTGTAAGAACGCCAAATATTACAAATACTCACACCTACAAGACGAGTGCTGGGCTACCTCCAACTACATCTACAACATTTATAATATCCTACTCATTAACCCATCGGTGGAGACGGCCTACCTACGAAAAACAAAAGTCAATGAATGATCATAGAAGAGGTAAAAAAGTTCATCCTACTCACCTGGAACGAACTACATCATCTACAAAATTTATCTACTAAATGCTACGATTCATTACATGACTCAAATAAGAAACATTTCCGCGCCATAACTTCGCTGGATGATGAGCGCGTCGAGTGTCGGCGCCTCGGAGTCGAGAAGTCGAAGGCCAGCCATCGCTCATCTTGTTGGTAGTCGTTTTCCCTGAAAAGGGGAATGGCAAGTAGTTGCCACCTCGAACAAAGTGCTCCATGCTTGTGTTAGAAGAGCTGGGATCATGTATTTGCTGGCATCGACCTGAAGAACAAGAAAGTGCAGCCTCCTGGGCGCCTTCTAGCTGTTCCGCGGCTGTTTCGAAGATGTTCCGTAGCTGTTCCGCAGCTGCTCCGCAGCGAGCTGTTCCGCGGCTGTTTCGCAGCGGTCCCGCGGGGTGCTCCTGAGGGGCTCGCATGAGCGCAAGCAAAGCCCAGCGCAAAGCGCTCCTGGGGTGTTCCAGAGCGGTGCCGCAGCTGGCTCCTGCGTGTCTCAGTTTGGCGGGCCTCCCGCGCTGCTCCTGGGTGCTCCTGGTGGCTGTTCCGTGGCGTGTTCAGAAGCCTGTTCCGTAGAGTGTTGCGCGGATGTCATGGGCCGCGCTCAGTAATATACTCCGCCGGGGATTCGGCGGCTTTGCCCCTAATGGCGCGGGGAGCGTCTCTGCAGGGGAGAGGGGCGCGCGCAAGAGACGCAGGGGAGAGCCGTGCCGCCGCATATGATTGCGGTGTTGGGCGTCGCTGTCGCACGCCGCCGGGTGTCTCGCCGGGAGGGATACAAGAGGCCGCTGCCGCTCCGCCGTCACCTCCACCATTCCTCTCCAACCCTCTCCCGCCCTGCTCCTGCCTCCCCTTCCATCTCCTCTCCCCTCCCCTCGTTCTCTCTGCTCCCCTTCCCTGCCCTTCCCTTCTTCTCCCCTTCCCTTCCCTCCAGAAATAGCCCCCCCGCGGCTCGCGCAGTGCGACGCCCGTAGTACTTATTAAAATTGAGTTGCGGTATTTGATAACAAATGGATCATTTATTTGATGACATCGAGGAGAAAACGAAAGAAGATCATCATTATGTCAAGAAAGCAACTTATCAAAGACAAGGAAAAAAGAAGGATCCATGGCGAATCAAGATGTCAAAATGAAGATGATCATGAGCAAAAAGCCTTAAAAACTGCCATGGTGAGAAAGAGGCCGAAACAGAACAGCGCCAGCCAGATGATACGCTGCGAGAGTGCGTTCTCAGAGAGGTTCTTGTAGTATCGAACCCCTTCTTGATGAAGAGGATCTCCTTGACCTTGAAGGTTGTGGGCGTCGGTGTTCATCGTGGTGCTGCCACTACCACCACCTCCTCCCGCTCCATCTTTCTCGTCCTTTATTTTGTGCAGCAGGGTTCCGTAGTTGTAAGAGGCCTAGAGGATGATTGAATCATTATCTTCTGATTTTTTAGAAACTAGTTCGAGCAAGCAAGATAACAAATGAATATAGAACAAAGAGCACTATAATGAGTTCAAACTAGTAAAAGTATCACTATCATGCCCTCCTTGACTCAATGAGGAACATGTTGCTCGCCAAAAATGAAGAGACGATTGAGAACTTAAACTCCCTTGATACAGTAAGAAAATACAACACTTCGACGATGCCGACCACTAGAGGTAGAGCACATGATGTACAACACGATGAGCTATTACAAATCGAAAATCGAAGTAGAATATGTTGATCACCTACAACACCTGTTAGTCACATATCTCATAATCAAAAAAAGGAGTAATAATAAACAAGACTAATTATACATTAGCAGAAGTATGCAGCTCGCGGTGACGCCTCGGTTTTGAGGCAACCTTTGGGTCAAAGGGTTCCTCTTTCAGAGCCATCATATTGTTGTGTTTAGACGGGTCAAAAGGTTCCTCCAGAGTCATCGTATTTTTTTCGTTGAGGTTACTTAGCTCGGTGGTAAGTGTCGATGGTAGGCGTCGACGGTATAAGCGTCAATGTTGTTGCTAGGTGTTTACTTACGTGTGAAAGGTGGACTCGCTTCAAATAAATTGGTCTCTGCTCATCTTCATTCAATATCAATTCTTGTCGTTGTCGTATTTCAACTTCTTCTGTTACAACTACAATTTGGTCGGTTTACTAAGAACCCCAGAACCAGTCTACACCTACAAACAGCCCTCATGAAAGAATACCATAGGTTGATGAAGGCTCATGTTTGAATGAATGAAAATGAATGAATTTTTTGCCTAGCATGTTGATGACGTTCTGGTTCTTCATTCCAATGTATACTATAGAAGTTCATGAGTTTCTAAGTTGAATTTCAGAAGTCAACAAATGTATCGTGCTAGAGTAGTGGAGGATATACTAAGGGAAGGCTGAGAGGTTGAAAAGATAGTGGCGGGATTGGACCAAAAATTTGATCGGAACGATGTTCAACATCTGATCATCACGTCAGTCTGCTTTGACCGATCTGCTGTTTACCGTGATCAAGGAGAGCGTTTTTTTCGCTAGGAGGAGCAGGATAGACAGGCAATAACAGAATTTTACAGAACAGAATTTTAGGAAACAGAAAGCTCTCTACCTTCCGATGAGTTGTGGCGGTGGCCACAACTTCTTTGCAAAAAGAACAAAAACCATAACTTGCTTGTTGCGCATGCAGCCGTCTCGGCAGATGAGAGACTGACGCTGTCTGACTGTTCTGCACTAATATGGTCAACACAGAGAGTAGACTGACAGTGACTCTACCGCACTAGCCAGAGCAGCCGTGGTCAGATGACCTGTGGTCAGACCGATTATCATAATGACAGGAAAACATGTTTTCATGCCTTCGATCAAAGTGGGCTTAAGTCGCGACCGCGAGCAGGAGTCCTACACAGACAACTACCATCAAGACCGAGCGATATCCATGGGGACATCAAGAACAATGCAAAATCAAGCTCCCCTAAGTCTATAGTCGCGATGCGAGTATCAATAAGTTTAGCTTTCCACTTTTCCTTTCTTCTTTTCACCGCCAGCTTTCCCCATCTCTCTCCACGGCCTTGTTTCTCTTGAAAGCTGTGACTATTGACTTGATAGCTGTGACTTTAGGGCGATCGTATTTAGACTCCGACTCGAGTGTCCTCGTCTCTTTGTTCTTGTTCTTGTCCGCAGTGAAGGCTTCTAGTGATTATGATATCTCTAGTACTAGTCGATCTTCCTGACGGCTAGTCCGAAGCTAAAATACTTTTTTTTCCGCTTTAAACTTAGGTCTTCCGTCGCTGCTCCTATCCCGGCAACCCTAATGCCCTACCACATAGGACATGGACGTGTAGGTGATACACTGTTTGCCCAGCTGCGGGTCCGTCATTGACCACTAAACGAAAACCATCTGTTCCGCATTTTGCTCTCCCGATCTGGCCTGCAATCAGGAGAGTGTGGCCTAAATCCCTCTCTAGTTCATGATCATCAGGACCAGGAGCCGTTGGAGTGCTGGTACTTTCAAATTCACTGTCGTCATCAACATACGCCGTAGTTGCACTTTTTTCACTGTCGTCATCAACATACGCCGTAGTTGTACTTCTGATTCCTCCTGGAAGCCAAGGAGGTTCCGAGATTCGTCGAACTGAATGCTTCCACCCATTGAGAATGTCCAGGAGGGAATGTCGTTACCGCTTTTCCTTCTTACCTAGGAACGACATTCGCTCGTCTGTGTTCTCAAGAAGTGGCGTGGGCATCATACAGGAATATCACGTCGTTTTGGAATCACTAAAATATGCACCGGAGCCACAGGGTTGATATCATAGAAAGCTAGGCTTCGTTCGTCTATGGATGATGTTGCTCTATTTTCTCCCTTCTCAGGGCAGGTCATCAAGGCCCCCCCTTAACGACCTTCTACCCAGTCTGTTCAAAGGGATGAAGAGGGAGCAGCGGCCTAGACGATCATAAGGATGGAGAAAACATCATTCATATCGTCTTCGTGTACGACCTCTGCGGGAAGTTGTCCATCTAAAATCTGGTCAAACACTGTCCTACTTCTAATTGGCGTGGTCCTGCTCGTACTTCCAGACGTTGTTGCGGTGTGATTCATCAAGGGAGATGCTTTTTTGTTAGAATGTGACGATGAATCCATTTCCATTCGGGAGAACGTTTTCCTACGACTGGTGGACAATATGTTGATAAAATAAGAAGGGTAGAAGTCGTGGCGTCGTGTGTATGTCCCTGTCGCGGCAGTTCAACGTGAGCAGCTAAGAGACAAGATTGCAGCACAGAAGTTATGGACTAGAACGTAGTATGTAGGTTTGGGTTGTGTGGTCTAGGTCTTCATAACTCTGCTGGCTATCGAAGGTTGTCCAAAAAAGACCAACGGTGGGAGCACACTACGAACGAGTGACATTCTTCTTTTTCTTGATGTAGTTTTCTTTTTCGCCTGACTGTCGCATAATAGTTCGCACGACGAATGTGATTGCAACCTGCATCTTTTCCTCTGGAAAGAAAGCCAAACTTCCGTTAAAACATGGAGTGAGTGTTCAAGCCTTTGCTTCTATCATAATATAAAGTAAAGGTCGTTGTGGTTGCATTCTGGTTGGGAAGAACTGTCATTATACATTTCTCTTGGCTCGATTACATTAACTGCTCTCATCTGATTCAAATTCAATGCGGTGGTGGTTCATGTTGTCCGCGCATATTGTCTTCTCCGTAATGTGGTGGTGGTTCATGTCGTCCGTGATGATCAAAACTATCATCTAAGGAAAAAAAAATTATATCAATTATCTTCTATTAAGTAGAAGTACTAGTGAATGCAAAAAGAATGATGTCGAAGAACATGAGCAAGATAGGCTTTTGAATACTGTTCTTATTGCGCGAGGGAGCAGGCGTTTAAGCCACCACCGCCACCAGGACTGGTAACAGTCTCACGGATTTTACTTCTTTACATTTGTCCATTGAATAAGTCCTTCAGTGACCATTTGGCTGACTTCTTTTCGACACAGGCTGATGAGGAGTGTCGCCTTTGATGTCGGCCTCATCTTTGCTGGCAGCAGGAATTAGATGAGTCAGTTTAAGAGGAGTTCCTACATTGTCCTCGTTGTTTTAGCCCACCCTGATAATCGGTACTATGCATTACTCTTGTAATCAATAGCAATGGTTAACAAGGATTAATAGATGCTCATCAACTTCACCAGCTCGTTAGATTTCGATCAACTTCACCAGCTCGTCAGACAACAAGAACTCTCACAAAAATCATAGAAACTTCTCACTTCTCACTCCACCAATCTGTTGCTCCTTTGTGTCATTTCCTATCTTCTCCGCATACGCAGTGTATTTGTCTGCCCTTCCCTTGCAGAGATGTGGGGGGTATTTTGCTCGATTCTTTTGCATTTTCTCGTGGAAAGCAGCTAGCATTAGAAGAGTTAAGAAAAAAGCAGCCGGCGTTAGCCATTAGTATTAGGAGAGTTGTTAATTATTCTTAGTGACTTCTCGTGGGTGATCTTCCTTATCCTTCACACCCAGTCATGGGCATACCAACAAGAAGAAGATCAAGATTTCTAATACATAGAATAGGAATGCATAACAAAAGATCCACATCGCAGACATCTGCTAGTCGGACCAGGTAACTGAGGACGTCGGCCATTTCGTCTCGGACCTTCTGTTTGTCTTGTCATTAGAGTTGAAGGGGTTTGACGAAATCCTTATAACAATAATGCGCTATTATAATTGCTACATCTCCATGATCGACGAGGACGACAGTGAACAAAGGAAAGGTCTGTCATACTAGTACGTAGTCGTAGAAGTAGTATTGGTTGGTTGTTGTAGTAGTAGTAAGCCCATTGATGTTCACGGGCAAGCCCATTCATGGGCACAATACAATACAATTAATCTCGCTTTTTTTTTTTTTGTATCGTGAGCGAGTTCCGATAAGTCACAACCTACCGGCGTATATTGCAAGTGAGTTCCGATAAGTCAAAACCTGCCTACATATTTTCCGCGTAGCTACCGGCGTAGGGGGGAGTTCTTAATCTCCTTAACAAACTACGCTACTGCCCCTACGATTCCAAAATGGTCAAGCCTAGGAGCAAAGGCAGGGAAAATGACACACCTAGTACCTGCCACCCGGGGCGTTGCCCGTCTCCCCATTACGCGCTTTTTGTGAATGCTACGATTGGGCGGCGGAGCGCTGTCCGCTTAATCAATTTAAATATTTTTGGCCCTAGGTGGAGCTGCGCGGCAGCTAGTTGCTGATGCGAACTAGAGGAATGTTTTTCACTAAGTAAGAACATGCATGTTAGTGAAATTGGTGAAGGAACACTAAACTCTACTAGTTGCTTAAGGTTTTCCTTCATCTTCATGCGTCATTTTCTTCTTGTGGCCGGCTCCTCCCGCTATGCAGCCAATGAGAGAAAAAACAAAAAGCAAAAAATTGGAGGGCTGACTCCGACCAAAGGGGCTACCTTATGCCTGATAGCCACAACCGGGCGGGAGATAAAAAATCGGTGAGGGAGAGCGATGGGACGCTCTCCCCCTTTCAATTACGTTGCATAATAATCGAACGTAAGCTCACTCCCTTTTAGAAGATCGCTCACACTCGTAAGTTTTTTTGTAGTGCGAGCGAGTTCCGATAAGTCAAAACCTACCTGCGTATTTTGCAAGCGAGTTCGCACAAAGTTCAGTGCAGACTGCCATAGGTTATTACATATTAGAATAAAGAAGTTGTAGTGCGAGCGAGTTCCATTAAACCAAAACCTACCTGCGTATTTTGCCAGCGAGTTCCGATAAGTCAAAACCTACCGGCGTATTTTCCGCGTGGATACCGGCGTAGGGGGGAGTTCTTAATCTCCTTAACAACTACGCTAATGCCCCTACGATTTTCAAATGCTGAACCCTAGGAGTTCAGCGCAGACTGCCTTAAGGGCGTCACAGATGGTTGTCCATGTCATAATCTTTCGAAAAATCCGGCAACCCTGGTTTGGCTTGATCGTCTCCACGCCATTGAAACAATTCTGCTAACTCACCCACTTCTCCGGTAAGGGCTAAAGGGGATTAGAGAAATCAAAAGTCTGGAGAATGTGCCTAACCCTAACATGAGGTGTTCTTGCTGTTCCTCTTGCAAGGTTCGAGCAGGCATAAATCAAATTTCGAGGTGTATGAAATTGTTCCCAGTCACGGAGACGGACCATCTCCCTTAAGTCATCCCGGACGCCTCTGAAATCGTGTGCTGCGGATGCTTCAACTGATGACATTGTTCTGGTAACTAAGAAGATGTCCTACTATGGTGGTTATTTTCCTGAGTATTTAGAGGTGTTAGTAGTTGTTGTAGAGAATATGACAGAAGACGAGGAGAATGAACAACTTAGAGGAAAAGAACAAATGTACCATACTAAAAGTTCTGGAGGTAGTACAGGAAGATGTGGGGTGCATCACTAGGAGGTAATGTAGTACGTTTAGTCGTAGGCTAAATAAGGCGGGTGAAACCATACTGTACGTGTACTCAATGAACGCATGTTCATAACATGATGTTCACACCAGCACCACTAATGCAGCTTTTTGAACCTACACCCTAGGGGATCTCTCGGGCGCTACAGCAAGGCTTGATATTGGGACTTCTGAAGAAGAACAACAAGAGAAGTGCTGCTAGAGAAGTGCTGCTCCTGGGGCACGTCGCACGGCTTCTACTCTGCTCTTGGAAGAAGCAGACGGCTATGTCATTGTCATTCATCTCATGTCATGTCCACCACCAGGCTAGAACTATTATCTCAAGCAACAAGGGGCTCGCCCACCCCGCTCCTCCACTGTTTCGTGAACGTGTTCATTTTCTTTAGTCGAGGTCTATTGTTCTAACTAAGGAATAAAGATGAACAAAGCGGAACATCTATTCAAAGATTCAACATTACCACGCTGTGTACAACTAAAAAGTGAAAGATGAATAAGATGTGGTAGAAATGACAAATTTCATCGGGCAATCATGATTATGCCATCTTTTCATCATTCTCTCCGAAGACCTCTTACAGTTTCGATGATGATCTGCTTGTCGCCGTCGCTCCATCGCCAAGATGGTCAAATACTTTCGTTTTTTAGAGCTCACAACATTTCATTTCTTCCCTTCATTTCTTCAGAATCCCAAGGGGAAAACTGCGAGAATGAAATGAGTAGTGGAAATGAAATATGTTGAGCCTTAAGTCTTTGAAGAAACAGTTGACAGGACGTGGACTACAACTGAGGACAACTGGATAGTGGTGGAGCCAACTAACGATGATCATTGGATTAGATTGTAGGTTGGTTGACATCACAACTGACTATAATTTATTCAATTGCCCAGCTGTGATGATCACAGCGTGAATGATCATGGTCTTCGCCCAAATCTAAAATAGGAATCATAATACTCTGTCATGGAATTGGAGTATCATCTTGATCTTTTTCAACAGCCTGAATAAGTAGTCTAAATAACATCTGTGGGCACTTAACAATGAGTCCGAATAACCTGCATGGGCACTTTTAATGGGAATATTTGTATTTTAACCTTAATAAGTAGTCCAAATAACCTGCATGGGCACTGTCGACATCTGCAAAAATGGAGGGATCGAAAGGCTCACCCATCACAATTGTCAAGCGAATGCCAGACCCCGCCAAACCCGGTAAATTATGAACCCAAGAAGGCGCCGTAGAAGACGAAGATGAACAAGATGAGAGCGTAGAAGGAGATGAAGACCAACATGATGATACTGGCGAAGGCGATAAAGAAGATGATGAGAGCGTAGAAGGAGATCGAGAGGAAGGCGGAGCAGCGTTTTTTGATGAAGAAGAGGCACGACTGGTAGAGAGAGTTTCTCTCGAAGTTGTCGTGGATGTTTTTGCAGAAGTACGAGAAGTGCAAGGACTACTGCTCATCTTGCATCCTGTAGTTTTTCCGCTTATGGAGGAAAGAGTTGTACTTCTTGATGTACTCGTGCTCCCAGCCGCGCCCCCAAGCGATTCTTTGTCCACCATGCTGGCAGTACTTGTACTGCTCCCAGCTCCCCAAGTCGGTTCCCCTATTCCGTGTTCCGTACTAAAAATTCTTCTTGTCGGAAAGAAAACAGGCAACATCACGCCAAGGTACTTTTTCTGAAGGAGTTGAAACCGGTTGATCCACGTAGACGTGACTTGTCGATACAAACTATTTTCTCCGAACTTTAGCTTAGAGCAGCAGGCTTGTTTCAGTTTCGTGTGCTCCCTCACAGAAAGAGAAATCCTTCACCCTTACAGAAATCCTTCGCAAATGATTTCTACAGGTATTTTTTTTGGAAGAGCCTTGGGTTACCTAAGAAGGTGGAAAAAGGATAAAAAGTTGAAGTTGTTAGACCTAAATAGCAGATATTAATGATCGTAATGAGCCTTAAGCAAAACCGGAATGATCTTTACTTGAGCCATTCTTGCTTGGCGTATGAATCCTTTCCGGTCTTTCAGCACCAAACGCATTTTTCCTGTATGTCCACGAGCTGATGTTGGTGTCTTAGACTCAAATATTAGGCGGATTATGCGCGAGTAACTAAGTGCTCCTTGTGATTCTTTTTTAGTTCTTATAGTTAGTTAGTACATCAGCGACACAAAGCGCATGCTTCCTGAGTTGGATATCACATCATGAGATATGTAACTCATGTGATTCACATCATGTACCGAAGACAATTCATTACCCCATGATGTACCGAAGATCCATCCTGGTGGTCTCTTACGTCTACAACTACCCAGGACCATTACACAGCTTCTCCCAGTACGAATGACATCTTACCGAAAGTATGAATTTCCAATTTCCCCAACAACACACCTACGCTTTCGTGTTCCACGAATGACATCTTACCCAACAAGACCATACTAGTAGAAGTAGTAGAATTCGTAGTAGTAGTGCGTAGTAGTATACCCGGTCTAGAGTTATAAGCTTAGTGCAAATCATCAAAGTTTCTCCCAGTACGAATCATCTTAGTACCCAATTTTATCAACAAGAAGTAGTAGTATTAGTAGTAGCAGTGTACCCAATCAAGGGGTATAGAAGAACAACATAACTACTTTCTTGTGTAGTTCCGCATATCTACTTTCACTTTTTCATCTTCCGCAATAAGATTACTCCTCACTCCTGCGTGCATTGCTTCTGCTGTTCCTCCTGGAACCAAAGCGACTGTCCGTCCTTTCTTCAGGTTTTCTCATGTTAGAATCTTTTGGAACAAGTGGGAACAAGCAGACGAGTACGAGTACAGTAGGAATAACTTCTGAGTAACAAGTAGAAGTGTGAGTTAGCTCACATATGTTGATTGGGTAAGCCTTCTACTACAGTACCAGTTGGTATCAAGTAGTAGTAAGTAGGTTCAACGTTCGTAGCTAGTACACTAAGCAGGTAGTTTATTATATACCTTAACTGTATACTCGCTTGAGAGGGACTAATGGCACCTGTTTTCAATGCGTATTCTCGCATAACCGGAACCTGATTTTAGAGGCACCTCCAGCAATATTTCATCGGTTTGACCTTCAGCTGCCTATACTTGTATCTACTACCTAAGTAACTCTGTACGAACCTAACTAAGTGGAGGTGGACGAGGCTCAGATCGACGTGTCAAGCACTTGTATCGCCATTTCTTAACAGAAGGGGAATTCCGCCACTGCAAATCGGACATTGAGGTGCTTCAGCGCAGGATCATCATCGAAACCACAGCCGTTTGAGGAGATGCCGAGTGTTAGAGAGGCACCTAGGGACTAGTAGTAGTCGTCGTAGTCGTAGTAGTGGTAGTTTATCCATTCGGGGGGGTAAGTTAAATAGAAAGGAGAAGAGAGGAGAAACGGGGGAAAGTTTGCGTTTCACTGTCTATTTAATTGTTGTAGAGGTAAACAAGCTTAAACTTCTACAAGAAGATTCTGGTACCAGCGGGAGAAGATGAAGGAGATTCTGGTAAAGGTAAGTAGAGGTAACTTCAAGTTGTAGTTGTAAGAGAAACGTCATGACTCGAGAGGATGCAGAATTGGCAGCACGTCCACGTAGTAGATCTAAAATTATCCTTAGAAATTATACAGTGACAGGGAAGCAGAGTAAGGGTAAGCCTTAACAACAACGCCGAGAGTACATACAAACCGTGGGGATGACATGAAATGTTAGAACTTGAGATTTTCAAAAAAATATCCTCCCGCTGTCTCCTGCACAAGAGTGAATTTTGTAGTTTCCCTCCACCTGAACTTGAGCATTATAATTACCCCCTGAGCAAAGAAACGAGCTACACTTTGTTCCCCTTGAGCAAGCGAGTTGTACTCCTTTCCCCCTGAGCAAAGAAACGAGTTACACTTTGTTCCCCTTGAGCAAGCGAGTTGTACTCCTTTTCCGCGGGTTGAGCAGGATCGACAGTGGATTCCTTCCACGCCCTGTAGGGAGAATTCAGCTGAAAATCCACCTCAACGCAAAATAAATTCCGAGAAAAGCCTTAACGATCAGGTAGGATTAGATGAACCTTATAAGATGATGAATCGGAATTATAACAAGCACATTCACGGATGATGAATCGGGATCATAACAACTTTACTTCATTCCAGATGTGTAGATGAAAAGGAGCTTTAGTATCGGGACGGTTTGTACTAGCTCCTACAACGAATAATCAAGCTAATGATGGTGTACAACGGACGTGGTGTAGTATGTAGTCTGCCGCAATGAGGTAAGAGAACCCATCTGCCGGGATAACCACAGACAAAGAAGCTAAAAATCATGTAAGAAGCACTCTCAGCCATATTAGTTATCCTCTGGATAGGAGCTGCTTCTTTCGACGTGGTCCTGACGACCCGCGCCAGGGTTCGCATAGGCCGTCTTTTGATCTTGATCACCTAGAGTCCCAGATGAAGAAGATGAAGAACTTTGCTGTTCTGGCTGTTGTTGACCACCCGCTTGCCCACGTCCTCCGCTAGCATAGGCATCGTCACGAACACAACCTGCTACGTCTACGACTTGTCCTCCGATTTATTGTTAGAGCAGCCCAAAAGGTTCGTCTGGCAGCAGCTTGCTCCGATGGAACGAAATGATCATTTGGATATATTTTTCACGCTATCATTTTCATTTTGAACGAAAGAAGCATAAGCAAATAGAAAGGTGCCTTCACAGGCGTGGGTGCGACCTAGAAAAAGCAAGGTGGAAGCGCCAGAAGTAGAGCCTCATGATGATTATCATCATACGTCGCTGATGACCATTCTCTACCACCGGTGAAACAAGATCCTAGTTGTTCCTAGCTAGTGTGGAAAGAATCGACCGTAAAAGTCATCTGCTTTCAGCTTTACCTTTACGATTCTTGCTTGGTAGTACTCGGCTGCGAGAGCATATATGAATGGCGTTTTTTCTCCCCTCTAGATGCAGACCATCGGGCCGCCCCCGCCCTTTTACCTATAATTATACACTTTGTTCACGCGGAAAAGTAGAGGCAGCCAAGAAAATTATGGTCTGTTACATCATCCATAGTATAGCGAAGAAGACGTCGCCACCTTGGATCGAAAGCGTTCCCAGAAAATTGTTCGTGCTCTTTGTTCTTCCTCGTGGTCCCATTCCAAAGCAATCGCTTACATGAAAAAAAACACTTCTGACGATGGACTCCACATTAGTAACCGCTTTTGAATGATATAAAAAAAGTAACACCAGAGGTACTCGTATTCTTGGTAGCAAACCCACTCTAGCAGTAGTTGTAAACCCAAGGAGTACCATCTACTTAGTAATGCTATCAGTGGTGGTCTAAACTCGCAGCATCTCAAAGATGCCATGTCATGTCATATGTGCCTCCCTAAATCTCAAAGAGCCTCCATTGACAACTTATCTTCACACGTTCTCGTCTAAGACCTCCAGGCACATCAGACTCCTTTTCATCTATGATGACCTTGGCCACATCGTACTGGAGGTATCGGCAAGAACAAAAGTGCTGGTATTTCTTGTACTACTGAGAATAAAGAACGAAAGATGAAATAAGAATCGGCGTGGAAGAAGATTGAGATTTTTCTCATTCTCTGTGATGAAGAACAACATAAAGTGTAGTAAAGGAGGAAAGGCAATATCGCCGCACCTACACCGTGTCCAATACCCACTGCTAATCGACGAAAAGTTAGAGAATGAAGTAGTTGATGTAGTGGTCCTCGTAGTAGTTGTAGTAGAAAACCCATTCATGAGAAACTACTTCCCACAGCTCATGAATTTTAGCCTTATACCTGGAAGTAAAAAAACAGCCACGACTAGGTTGAATGGTAGGTCGTGGAAAAAAATGATAAGGCACACACAATGCACCTCCAGTGAAATCAAAAAGATCGATCGCCGTCCGGTTAGATTAGGTTAGGGATCCTTCTTATCGACTGTTGTCTGCTAATACAACAGAGACTCTCCTGTATTATATGAATATGTAGTACATGCTCATAAAAACAGAAGGACTACGCTGAGAAACGAAAAGTGAGAGGATGAAGCAACAAGTAGAAGTAAAAAAACTACAGTCACTAGGTTCATAAAAACAGTCATGAGACTTTGTACTAGTAAATCCTCGTAAAAACATAATGAATAAGACTACTCTGAGTAACTTCAACTTCTATCATGTATAATCATGGATGAGGAGAAGAAAAAACCAGATCTCGATTTCCATCTAATCCTCTTAAAAACACAAGGAAAATTGCGAGGTTCACGGGAACGCCGCTTTGGATGATGATTGTCGCTTCCACAGCAAAACGTTGGGCCAGCAACCGAGTCGAAAAAAGAGATTTCATCCTGGTGCTCGTCCTTCTCCTTTTGGTGATGTTGCTACACTTAAGCTTAATAGACGTGGTAGTGGTGGCGTAGCTAGTCGCGCTGGTAGAAGTGGCGTTTGACAACGTGGTGGGTGGTGGCGTTAGACGTGGTTCTGGTGGTATCAGTGCTGTTGACGGTGGTATTATTGGTAGTGGTAACTCTCGTACCTACTGCGACTTCTAGCTGTTCCGAGAAGTGGAACGTTGTATAACAAGTCCTGATCTCTCTCTCCGGTTACCTTAGTAAGGCGAAGAATCTGGAAGCCACGCCGTCCCCGTCGGCGTCGCTAAGAGGCTGGCAACGGCAAACACACAAGACACCCATAGCCCCCCCAGCACACCCGCAAGACACTAATGGAAAGACGCGACGGAATCGCACTCGAAGCACACAGCTCGCAGCCTCTCGACAGACGAGACACGGGTCGCACTCCCTCACAAGACGCGGCTCCCACTCCCTCACCAGACGCGACATACTAAGGTAACCGGAGAGAGAGACCAGGACTTGTTATGATCTCTCTCTCCGGTTACCTTAGTAAGGCTAAGAATCTGCTTTTAGTAAATCTTATTCTTAGTCGGACCGACACCGACTACAACCTTGATTTTGATTTTTGACGCTTCTCCCACCAGTTAGAAAGTCCAATTCACTCGATTCGCGAGCACTAGACAGTCTATCCGTTACTCGAAGAACACGATTAACAAACAGTAGATGATGAAAGGAGATGCGGAGAAGATGTTGAAGGGAAGCCATGAGCAGCCAGCTCCTTCTACAACATCTTCTCAGTCGGGAAAGCGATTATTTTTCAAATGTTGTATTCGTTCAGTGTAGAAGATTTCCAGACGAATCCCCAGTTGCTGGTTTGAGCATGAAACTGCTTTACCACCTCAATACGTTATCTTCTATGACTCAGATGATTCATCTTCTTCCCTGCTTCGCTCCTTCATTAGAATGCTCCACCCAGGCAACCTCTGAGCCTATGGGCAGTACTATTCAAGAGCCACCATCTCTCCTGAGGCGATGAGATTCGAGGTTCAAGGGGAATCCTCAGAAAGAGAATGCTGATGCAGTGCACACAAGAATAGTTTTAATAAAAGATGTCTCCTGATGACTGATTCTGAAGATGCTGCCTTTCTAAATTTCATATATAAGATGATCAGATTCAGATATCTACTGGTAGCACTCAGCATCTAGATTTAGATTGTAGTCCTAGAAGTTTTGTCCTATCTTAAAAGTTCAAAGTCAGTGTAACGTTGACGGGCTGCAAACCCTCCTCCAACGCCTGCATGTTGACCTCCAACAACGACAACACGCTCTTCGTGTGCTGATAGTTAACTAGATGACTGTAGGAGCTAGCCTTTTGTTAGTCATCATCATCATGGCGTCTCGAGTAGACCTCCTAAGCTGGGATAGGAGTTGCTTCGCCGTCCACAGACGAAACAGATTTAGAAGCTCACTTCGATTCTGAGTCAAGTTTGATGCTCTTGGACCAACATGGATTTTCTGCTTCTCTTGTTCTAGCATCGATCTACAACTTACTCCATATTCATATACTCAGACTCAAACGAGAGCCAGTGAGCGAACGAAAATGAATAAGTAATGATGCTGTTGATCTACTTATAAGATTTTTTTGAGTCATTTTGTGCGAAGAACTACATCTTTGTCTGTACGTTTTTTGTTCTTGTTTCATTAAATTCAAGAATTCTAATTATGTATGACGAATGATTTTGCTCATTCTTGTTGTTGTTCCCAATTATTAGTATCCCAATTGTTTTTCATCACAGTAGTTTTCATACATATCATGTCGCATGTTTTTAGATTCTTGTCTTCGTTGCGTCAACAATCAACTTCGCTGTATTGAAGCTGCTTATCGACACTCGAAGGTCTCCAAACTTTTACAACATACGTTTATGCTGAATAAAAAAAAGACTTTTCGAGCAGTAATAAAAGAATGCAATTACAGATCCATTATAGTTCAAAGCTATGCGCCTCATTTTTTTGGTGAGATTCAAAGGCTTGAAACCGCTCCTTTATGCTGCCATGCCTGTACTCGAAACGTCTTATCTCCATCTATTTCCGAATAAGTGTGGGATTGAAGCACGATTGTCCTGGAGTTGTACCGACTGAGCCCCTGCTCAACCTCAACAGGGGCTCAGGTGGCTCAGGAATCACTACAAGAAGAGAACTTCATCTCATCGACCACGTCGTTTTCGTCCTCGGGCATAATTCAATAGCTCAAACCACGCACTAGAAAAGTGGAAGCCCTCCTCTTTTTAGCATACCTATTTCTTAGCTACTGGAGTAACATGCTCACGAATCGCCTTGGTCTGGAATAGACGCCAGCACAAACAGGCAGGATTGTCTTCAAATGTGGAATGGGTTCGACATGTCCCCAATATTCCCCTAGCAAGATGCGCGTCGCGTTCTTCTGTTTGTTGTCGTCGCTTAACTACAGAACAACTACCCCTCTTCTGTTAGTTGCCTTCCCTCGACTACAGACCTCTTCTGCAGCAACTAAAAAGGAGTCTGCTTTTGTTAGTTTTAGTTAACTTCCATAACTTCTAAACTCCCCTCCTAAAAGCAAACACTTCTTCTTCTAAGCTCTTTTGTTAGTTAGAACTTCCCTTAGCCACACTAAGTAATACTCGTGATCTTTCTCCTTAGGTTACTATTTGTATTAGTGCGGTCAGGGGACCTTTCGAAGCCTCTAGTACCTCGTCGGCCATGTCCATTTTCAAGGATGAGAAAAGCTGAAAACGAAAACAAAAACCGGCTGAAAACTAGTATTTACACAAGAAGAATAGTTGAGAACTTCCCTCCACATTGATCCATAAAAGTACACTTTTTTTCCTTCTGCAATAAAACACTTCTACACTGTCCAACATTCTACAGCAACAAGAGCAACAGCTTGTAGGGGATCGGGGTTTTCTCCTCGGCCGTATGAACTGAGGAGAATTGCCCGAGGCACTATTTACGGTTACGCAGTAGGGTTAAACAGTGTAGCAGCGTTTTTGGCTGTAGAAATTTCTACCCAAAAAAACAATTTTCTATCCGCATAAAAATAATAGAAATTTATGCTTCTTTATTCTTTATCACAATTTTTATCTACAAGTAAACGACAATCTACGGTCATTGCTTTTTCATATTACTCAGCGTTTTGACTTTTTCTATCTACAGAGGACCGCATCCTTCAGATTGATCCACATTATTGTTTGATATTGCAACGGCGGCTGCAGCGTCATGATGAAAATAATTACAGTTATTCTTATTGATATTGACAAGTGATCTTATTCACGATTCTACAACAGCTCCTTGACGATCCCATCTCTTGCCTTATTCTCAACAGAGAAGAGCGAGGCTCCATCTTCCTCTTGTTCTTAATCTTCGACTTCGTTCATCTCCTCCTTGTTATCTAGTAGTGATCTACGATCTGTTGCGCAGTTCTGTTCTTCCTCTAGATCTAGGTCTTGTTCATCCTATCTTAATATTCCTTATGCTCCAGCACTAATTTGAGAATATCAATAGTTGACTTTTGAAAATACCTGTGGAAAAAACAGACACGAGACCATAAAGAAGCAGACACCCACGGGACAAGAAAAAAGAAAGATTCTTCGAACAAGATTAGATGAGGGCGTTTCATCACTTCTACATTTTTTCCGACAACGACTTTATAAATTCTTTCGACGAACTACGCACGGCACATCATGTTGCGGCATCTACTTGACGACGCATCATGTTGTGACAATTACTTTCCGACACCTACTGGACGACATGCAGATGAGCAACCATCTACAACAACTTAACTGCACTTTCTTCATCGACATTACAAGCTATCTATTCAGGTAAAAGAGGACAATCATCTTCGTGGTAGCAGCTGCGATCCTGTGCCATGGTCTCCCTTTTTTTAGGCGCAATCCACGTTAGGTAGGGGAGAACAGGCTGCAGAGTTTTCTATTATTAAGATAGAGGTCCAGACTTGTTCAACTCCAAACTGTAATTGGACGAACTCCAGCCGACCCATATCTTCGAAGATGCATGACTCCAACCCTATAAATACTATCTTAATCTTTCAAAGAGGATACATCAAATTATAAATAAACGTCCTCAAGCTCAGCCACGGGAGAAAAAGCCTCAAGAAGCTAATGTCTGTCCGACTACGAAGGGGCGGAGGCTTCCTTTGGCTCCTTTTCCCTCCAACTGCCTATAAGCTTGAGGAAGATACAACTCTTCACGACTAGTACAACAGCCTGCAGCTCTTATTTCTATTTTCATTTCATACTATTTCACTTGTTGTTATAATAGGACAGCACTTTCTCTACTTCTAGCTTGTCCTGGTCAACACGAACAACTGGAAGTTCTCTCTCCAAAAATACCTGTGATATACAACTACAGTAGCAAGCTGTAGTACAGGATAGAAAGACAAATTCCACAACATCTAATATTAACAATTTGTCCCTGTCTCGTGATCTACTCGTAGAAGTCGTAGTCTAACAACTCCTGTGGGGATCTTCCATCTTCCTTCAAGAGTAAGCATAAAAGTAGTTGGATCCACCTTCAAGAGTACTATAGTTAAATGTAGACTTCTATCCTCGTTTGAGTGTAGTCGGACGTGGTATACCAATATTCATGGGGGAAGACATCTTCCCCCAGGAGAGATAGGTAATTACACTAGTGCAGCACTCACTCCAACGCGACACATTAGTCCAACATTTTCACGACAATCCATGAAAATCGCGGGAAAGATGGACAAACTTCTAAAAAAGAAAATCACGACAACTAGCCACGTCCCTATATTGCCGCACGACCATATAACGAATCCATCCATCCCTTCACCTAGAAAAGGCAGGCGATGACTGATTCATTCATTCATTCATTTACGTAGCACGGTGATGACTCCCTCGTCAATGATGAATCCAGTATTAACTCCAGCTTACTTTGTGGCTAATATCAAGCTTTGAAGCAGTAGAGAATACACATACGGTGCTTGAATGCTCCAAATAAATCAACACCAAGGCGAGGACTCTATATTAATTCTTCATCTCAACAAACATGGAAAATTTTATCAAACCTTACTACCCGTGGCCCCATGTTGATGCTGTGCTCCTCGTAAGTACAACTTGCATAGCTACGATGACGACCCACTTCGGATAGTGAAAGATAGGATACTAGCTACCGCTATTGAGGCAATCTTGTTGTATAAGAAGATCGCCTTGTTGAACAAGGAAGATCTACTTGTTGGTACTTCAAAATCATTGTTACTCTTATCTAGCATCTCCTTTGAATTATTTTCTTGATGTTGATGAGAATGGATTACACAATTTCTTTTATTAGCTGCACATATTATTATCATTATATCCATATCTATCTGTTCTCCCTGGAAAGAAAAAGAGTTATCCTCCCAACACATCAATGAATAGTACAACATAAGTGCTGTTGACCGACCAACTCAATATTTGACCACTCAACATATATTATAATATTTTTTCTCCCCCTACAACTTCTAAACAATGAGAAATTCTTCAGAAGTTTTCTTGTACATCCTGAAAAAAGTCTTAGATTGGAGAGAAGAATTCTTCTTTTCTAAGACGAACCGATCTTAAAATCTTCTTCTTGTTCACCATCCACCTCCATCCCATATTAGTAGTACTGTCAGTTCTTGTCGTAGCAGTAGTGGTTCTCGTAGCAGTATTGGCGCTTCTTCTTCTCCATTTCTGCTACTTATTCACTTCCAACTACTTCAAGATCCTCCACACTTAGAACTTACTACCGAAAATCCATCTTCCGGAGCATCTACTCCGTGCCACTTTTCCACTGAAAAACGGCACGAAGACGTTGGGAGGATGGATTTTTTCGTGCAGCCTTAGCAAGTACTACCTCCATTCTTCTATTCCTTACTTCTTCACTCTTCAGTCTCCAACAAGAGCTGCTCAGCTCCTCTGGGTCTTCACGCGGTGCAGCAGGTTAATGAAGGAGGACTTTACTAAGCGTCAGCACATGGATTACAAGAATGCATAAGGCTAAGAAAATTCAAATTCATCCTTATATGTGGATTTAGAAGTATCACGAGCACGACAACAATAGATTACAGTATCAAGATACAGCTCGGACTCCGGAGAAGTATCACTATCTATAGCGTATGAATAAGATAAGATACAATCTTGTATTCCAGAAGATAAGCTCTAGAGCTAGAGGATACGGTAGGATGCCTGAGAACGTATCCCTAGAGGATACGATACCATAGGATCACGGGGTGCCTACGCGTTGCTATATTTGCCCAGTTGTAACTTACTGGAAGACTCGGCAAACGACGCGAAGTGACAGTGAGATAATCTACTAGTATCGCTACATGATAATCATGATCTCTGCAACATTATAAAAACCTTCCTGATGTCCACCTTGTCAACCTTAGAATCTAAGACTCAAGTGAAAACCACTTCTAGTGGGAGAAGACCCTAAAGAATAATCTTGATCTGGACGATCTTCTCTTACAGGAAATACCCAATAAGCGCACAGTCAGCAATGACCTTGCATTCATGGTCACTTGGCTGTGCGCTTATTGAATTCGAGATATTCACTTCATGCGGCCCCCTCATAACCAGAAAGACAAACAGATACATCGTAGGAGCACCGCATCCATGTAGCTACATGAAAATAAGTAATCACGAGACACAAAGCACCGTATCTATGGGTAGACTTTGAACAGATGAAGTGAACACGAATGACCAGAGGAGAAAAAAGAACGAGTGTGAGCGGCTTGCTACTTCTTCTATTGCTATCCTATGCAAGTACTATAGTAGCGGTTCAGAGAGTCTTCTATCTTCTAGGACAAAAGTGGACTACACACGGCTGAAGAGCGTGAGCCTAAGTAGAAAATAAAGAATACAAGCATTATAATCAGCACGAGCACATCTATTTTTAGTATTGTTATATGTAACTGTTGTCGTGCAGTACCGAGCCAGGAAAAAACAGAGGTAATTTTAGGCTAAGTAGAACCATAAAGATCCCGAAGAAAATGCAGACGAGAAGCACTGCACCAAGAAAGCCTCCAAACTCCGTGAGTCGAGCGCTTGTATGACTCGGCGATGCCAGTGCAGCTGCTGTTGTAGGTGCTGCCTGATCTTGGTAAATGGAGGTCGACGATGTTGCAGTTGCTTCTTTTATTAGAGAGAATCCAACCATAAGAGTAAGAGAGCCTCGATTTTTAAAAGTAGATCTTTGACCCTTGAGAGAGCATCGATCCTTGAGTAGTAGTAATAGGGGTTGTGTACCCGTTCACGGGAGAGAGTTGACAGTCGAATTTATGCATCATCCTTGGTTATTTCATTTCGTTTTCCCAAGCACGTAGATGAAAAGAGCTGCCAAGAATCATGCTACTAATGCAGGAAGAACAAGCGTTTGCAGAAATAGCCGTAATTTCAGTTCTTCGTTCATGTTCATCTTCACATTTTCATGATCATGATCAGCGGAGTCTGCACTTTTTTTGATCGTCGAGGTAGACCCAGTTGTAGCGCCATCTGATCGATCTTTCACAAGAGGAGCTTCATCTGGTTGTTCTTCACCATGGCGTTTCCCGAGAAAATTGTTTGTGGCAGAAGAAGACAGCACTTCTGTAGGCTGAGGAGCATTCTCGATGAAAGCGCTTTTCGAGCCTCTACTAACGCTGTCCTGCGCTTTCGAGCCTCTACTAACGCTGTCCTGACCACCTTGTGCACGTCCTGCTTGTCCATCTCGGCGACTACGTCCGCCCGACGTGGACCCCGTGCCACGCTCCCTAGCACGACCCGGCTGAGTTGTTGATCCGCTTCCCTGCCCTGCGGCTGGTCCTGTTGGAGTTTGTGCTCTAGGAGGTGATGCAGTTTTCATGTCTTTTTGGGTGGCAGAGGCAGCACCAGATTCGGCGGCCAACGGTGACCCGTCTCTCAGCTCGGCGGCGAAATGTAGGGTATGGTCCATCTTTTGCATAACTTGCTGAGAATCCGTTTCCAATGTTGCCTGAGCCTTCGCTGTCTTTGCTAGCACCTCCCTTTCTTCTTCAGCGGCCAACTCGGCGACGCGCTGTTGTTCCGCCTGTCGTTCTTTTGCGGCCGCTGCCTCGGCGTCATGGTCTCGGCGCTCTTTTTCTTCCTCACTGGTTGCCTTTGCCGCAAGAAGCTCCGCCCCAATCGCGGTCACCTTAGCTTCTTGTCTTCCATGCTCCCTTTCTTGGCTCAGTTGAGCATCCACCACGGCACCGAGCGTGTCTGCTTTTGTAGCTGCTTCCAAGCTTTTCTGTAGTTGGTCAGACGCTTCGTGTGCCCCATCCTCTATCTCCTGCGCTGCTTCATGCTGGGCTTCCTGGGTCACCGCCACGGCCTTTCGTTTGGCATCTTCGCTTTCTCGTTCTGCTTGCTTTTCTGCAGCTTTTAGCTGCTCCTTGCTCGCATTCAGCGCCAGCGGATCCACCGGTGCGGCCGCTGCCTTCTTTAATATTAGAAGCCGAACCAAGTTGCAGAAGAACTGCAAGAAAACCACGCTGAACAACTCGCAGGTTTACTGAGTGCGGCAACAGATGTCTTCATATGGAATCTTCGCAAGGGAATGCAAGTCGTGCCAGTATGCAACAAAAAAAGAAATAAATACTGCTGCCAGCCACTGCCTCGGCAGAAAAAGCAGAAGACGCCCACAACGCCCCACCACATGGCTTCGACCTTGAGGTTGAGACCAACGGGATTCTGACATACTTAGATACGCCGTCTCCTCTTGTGGTCCAATGCGATCCGCTCACTGCGACCCTGGAACCTTATCCCCATGGAGATCCGAAGCTAGCGCCCCAATTAGCTGACCACATAAGTAAGCTACAGAAGAACGAAGCACGACCAAGACAGAACACGCAAAACACAAGACCGACGCAACACGAGCGGCGCGGTGTCCATTCTCTTTCCCCAGCTCATGCATGTTCGGTAGATGTTACCTCGCTCAGTGGCATCACGTGAGGCACACCGGAAGGGCCTCGGGTAGACACAATCTTGGGCCGGCTTAGTGTGGTCAATGAATTGCACCTCTTGACAAAAAAAGGCATGAGTCCCCGCAAGATAGAAACGAGGCTGCGCTCGCGAGTTTACAGTACGCGACAGGCCAAGGACGTGCCCCAAGCTAGGCAAGTCGGCCACCCGGACTGCAAGGGAGGCGCCGCTAACCGTAATCGGGGCTTAGGGATCCCTGGGGACGGAAAAGAAATACAGACTCGCGGCTGCCCCTCCAAACTCGGGGGCACGTGGCCAACGCTGACTCCCCCAGACGCGTAGCGCCCCTCCCTTGGGACATTCTTCTTCGCTTGACAGAGCTGACGCCTAACTTGCTTGGCATATTTGGGTTGCGCGCCCTCAATGAACATCGACCACAACAGACACCGACAAGACCCCCACCCACTCAGCCATACCCTTTTCAGCCAATGAAACACACTGCTTGCACAAAAAGGCAAAGGCAAGAGACTTAATGACCCGAACGAAGGCCTGTGAAAAATGAAAAGCTTCGGTCCCATTCGGGCGCATTTCAGGCCGAGCGTTCTAGCAAACTGAACTCAGCAAAGGGGCCAGTGCCACTGTAGGCACAAAGCTTCTACTTCGTTAGCACCTACCCCGAAGAAAGCGATAAGCCACCGCCCCCGTACAGAATGCAACCGCCACAATACCAGACAACCCCGCGGCGGCGGCCCCGCATTCAGTCACCCAAGCTAGCAAGCTTGCAGCGCGCGGCACAGCCATCCAGCTGGAACGAGAAAACGCACGGAGCCATTCAATCATGACGCAAAAAGGAGGCGGGGGGAGCTGAAGTCAGGTCCGGAGGGGCCCACCAAGCTAAGCTCTCGCAAGAGACATTTTGGCGAAAAATGCAAAGTGCACCTCTGTGGCATTCCAACTCGGAGAGAGGGCGCGCCCTCACTCCCAGTTGAAAACCGGGGAGGAAAGCGCTGCGCACGTAGCGCGCGGACGTCTTTCAACGCCAGCCTCGCCGGGATGAACAGTCTCAGGACTGCTCCAAGCAAAGCCGCTGCGTGCTGGGTCATTCACGGCAAAAATGGAAGGCAGCAGCAGTGCTGCAGCTTGGCCTATTGAAATCATACCAAACACAAAGCGAAAGACGCTGCCCCGATGTTCGAATCTCCAAAGGAAAATGAAAGACGCAAGGCGAGGCTTCGAAAAAGTTGGCGCCGTCATCCTAACGTGTGCGAACGCATGTTTCTTCTTTTGCAGACCATGATCACGCAAGCGCCAAAAGCCCGCGGCCTCAGTTACCGACCACACCATGCAGCAACAAAATTGGAACTAGACCAGGCAGACGTAAGGTAATATATGCAAGCCCAAGGCGAAGCCCCTTCAACCATCGAAACTACTTCTCCACAACAGTCAAAAAAGAGCTAAAACACCGAAAGCAGACTCAAGCCCTTGCACGGGCTGTAACCCTAGTCAACCCCAAACAAGCAGACCCAACGAACAACCCCGGAAGGGCCTCCGTCTAGAACGGAGGCCGCCAAATAGCCTTCTCAGAAGAAGCAGAAGCGCGGGTCGTGGGTCCACGTTCCCTTGCTCATAATTCTCATCGCCCTAAATTAAAGTAATTCGCAGGGGTGTCAGATCCAGGACGGGATGGGCCGGATGGGCTTCCCACCATTTCCAGCAAGGACGGAAGACTTAGGATGGCCCATCCGATCCATCCAAGCCCATCCTACGTTCGCTCATTAAAATATTCTAGTATATACATACGGTGAGCCTCAAACCAATGCACATCTAGCATCACTCTTACTCTTCGTCCTCGACGCAGTCAACAACTCTGAGAGCTGAGTGACGAGAGAAAAGTTAAACGAAATCAAACAGCAAGCAAGGCAATTCAGCCTCTGTTGAAGTCGTCGAGGACAGCTGCAACGATCGCGAAAGTTCTGTAAGAGCGAGTTGCGAAGCCTTCTAATCTCGCGTGGGGCGGCTTGTATGCTGATTTTCTTTATTGACCTTCGTATTTATTCGTAAGTTCAAGGGTCCATGCGCCGTGCCGAGCGCAATCTGTACGCTAGCGGGGTGGCCACCATTAGCTCCGACCGCCAAAAAAGTGTAAGCCCCTTGGCCTTCATTCTTATTACCAGAATTCCCATCCGCGCCGCTAAATCCCTCACCTTGAAAAGGCCCTTCTCCCTCTTCTCCCTTGTGCATGAGTCTTAGATAGAGATGAGAAGCTGGCTTTCGTCAATAAATGCACACAACAATAGTGGTAGCAATTATCCCACTCGAGGTTTGCAGCTCCTTCTTGAGGAAACGCGACGCAAATGTCCCCACGAGAGCCAAACTTGGAATCACTTCTGTATTATTTGTATTTCGGGAGAGCCCTAAAACCTACAGGAGAGCAGACCAGAAAAATTAAACAAGTACTTACCTACATTCAACACACGGAAGGCGTCTAGAATGATTGCTCTAGGTCTACTAGTCAATCACTTATATTCCCGTGTTTGGAGTGCCTTCATAACTTGGACCCGGGGGCGCCTGCCATCGTCTCCGCCAAGGAGGAAGTACCTAGTGTACACATTTTGAGTTTTTTCAATTCTGGCCTTCATTCTATTTTCGAGGCGTCTTAGCAAGGGCCTTCTTCGATCGTCATGCAATGCCTTTACGTATTAGCCTGAGGCACTTGGAGGAGTAGAAGGAGAAGGGGGAGTGAGCTGCAAACTAGGAGTTAAGAGAAAATACTCAACATCAACACATAAAATACCACTCGTTATGATTCGTGGAAATAGAGAAACATATCAAGAACTCCACAAATATAAAAGCGGTGATGTGATTATACCAGGTGAGCATACTCGCTATGAATCTGCAGAGTGGAACGCAAGAAGCCCATCTAAAACCAAAACCCAGAAACAACAAGAATCATTTCTCAGTCGAACCGGGTAACTCGAGAAAAAGCATTATCATGCTGGCGCTTCTTCTATGCAGAAGGCAGGCAGTTGCTTACTTGCCAAAGCAACTAGTTAGTCTGTGCTAATAAGCCGAAAGTCCCAATTTAGCGCAAGACCAAGCTCCCTGCAGTAGCTTCCTCTGTAGTCAAGCAGATTGTCGCTGGCTTAGCTAAGTACTCTGGGAGCAGGGGCTTAAGCTGGCTCAGCGGGACGTCCATTGGGAAAAAGACCACCGACAGCGGCAGACAAGAAAAATGGGCATGACTGGGAATTGAAAAATTGCTGCGGAGACCCGCGATATCACTCGCACGCCCGCGCAAAAGCAGAGCCACAAGTCAGCAGCAAAACACACAGACAAACCGAAACCCGTACGAGAAATGACTGGCCTGGCACGATTTGCATCGAGCTCTTCGGACTGCAAGACAAACTCTGAACGGACAAAGAATAGAAAAACGACATAACGGCGAACCGCCTTAAAAAAATCCTCACCTCCCTTTCATCAGGAGAAGCACCCTCCTGTGAAGCTTCTTGTAGAAAACGTCGATCTGTAAGCCCAAGAACCGCTAATGCGTCAAGCGGATAAGTGCAAATGCGGCCCCTCTACAAATTCATAGATACTTGCTCCTAACCCTTACCGATACAGAATCAACAATTTCAGAAGGGGGCTACCATTCCATTATGCGGACTCACTCCCAATAAAGAGGAAGGGGAGGGCAAATGGCAGACAGATTTTCGAGAGGGAAATTTGCTACCGAAAAAGCCTCGCGGACCAAGGAGAAGGCCAAAACCCGAATGCCCAAAAAACGGGTCTGCGAGAGATTTTTTGAAGTTGCAAAAGGCAGAGCCTATTGGGGGCATGGGGGTAGAGACACTACGCCAACTGGACACTGAAATGCTCTCCGGGAGTCTGAACTATGTCATCCGACGGGGCCTCGGGGGCCTGAACTAGACATGCAAGGGTGGGTCGGCACTATTTCGGCCGCGCGTCTTTTTGCTTTGCAAGTGTTTGATGGGTGTGGGTGGCGTGCCCGACTTTCGCGAGCAAGCCCCGTGCAGCTTAAGTTAATGAAGGCCAGGCTCGTGGAACTTCAAGCAGGCATGCGCTGCCGCTTAGATAGACACAAACACCGGGCACAATTGGCCAGGCCGGCGCGGGACCCTATCAAAAGCGACAAGGCGACCAACATGCGGCGCCGTGGGTGGCTGGGGGTGCATCGTTGATGCGCTGTGGGATACACTAGCGGGCGTGGCAACGCCAAAGCCCCTCAGACAACGCCTATCAGAACTAGAACGCCCGCCGGCTACTCTACTTTTCCGGCGATCCATCTGCCGCCGCTGGTTATGGTGGAACGCGCTGTGGACCGACCCCTGGCGACCACCCTCTCAGACTACCTAACAGCCGCCGAGCAATCACGCGATGTCGCTACAAGTGACGCGGGAACGAAACACTGGAAACGCAAGACCGCAGGGACGGCCTTCAAGCACTCTCTGTCCCCGCCGTTTTTTGCCTCCCTCTCAGGCGGGCCTCCCTTCCTTCTAAACTCTAGAGTGATCCAGAGCAAGACTAATTCGTAATTATCTTATACCCCCTACAACATTGAGAACTACAACAAGGTGTATGATTACGACAAACTGCAAACGCCAGGTACTAGCAACCTGTTGTAGCACCTCTCATGAGTGTTGAGACTCGCTAATCTTAACTTCAGTGGAGCCTTGGTTAGAAAACAAGAGAATAAAACTGAAAATCACTAATGATCTTAATAATGGGACGTTTCCTAACAACTACAACACCTCCAAGTAACTAGCTACGCCTAATACCTGCTCAAAAAAGTACATATTACTAGCCTGTTAGGAAAATGCCATCAAGAACCAAGAACGACAAATGACATTGATCTGTAATACCTGCAGCATCTGCCATAATCTCGCGAAGCGGATCATTTTCCAGGAAAGACGAGGATCCGTCTTTGCCGCCAAACGCATCAAGATCCGGAAAGTCGTTGTCTGCTGCGCAAAGGAAGATAGAAAATGGGTTGGGGATAAAAAAGTTGTATTTGGAATTGAGTGAATAACATCAAATATCGTGGAACCTCCTCCTGTTCCTATCTAAGATTTTCAATTAATAGTGAAACTAAAATAAAATGTAAGATCCAAGTATGAGCTACACTTTTCATTTCTCTGCACGCGATAACTACCGTTTCTGTTACCGGATAACAAGAATAAGCGTAAGACCCCCTGTCCCATTATTTTTCTCCATACCATCCACAAGAAGCACAGGTACCATAATAAAAAAATAATCTCTCCACAACTTCCTTCTAATCATCTCAAGAGATACATTGATTGGCGTCGAGCTCGAGTTTAAAGTTTTTGTTTCTGTCCGTGTGTATATAATCTTTTCTTTTGCAACATCCTCATCCTTATCGCGCTGCGATGCATCCAGCGTCTTGCAATCGTACGAGGGCGAGGGCCCTAACCCTAACCACCCTTCATATCCTAAACCATACACACACCCCAAAAGACGCAACCATGCCGAAGGGCGGCCTCAGTATCCCGCGACCAAACACTCTCACACTTACTTTTTTCAGCCTTTGAGGTTGGGCAGCGTCCATCCCGTTGGAGAAACCTACGGGAGTGAACACAGAACGGAATGAGAGGCCAACAAACGTCCAGCAGCCACGCCCCTCACTGTCTCCATGGTCGTGCGCCCTGCCATCGTTGGAGCACGACGGTGGACGGCGCTTCTCACCCCCGGCTGGACCGTGTCACGCATAACTACTCCTCTGCCACGTCATGAACCCGCGTGAGTGCGGGCTTCTCTAACGATAGCATGAGATGCATGTTGGCATAAGCGGATGAGACGGACCCCACGCCTGCTTTCAATACACAGACACCTAGCCAGTACTTAACTCTTCGAGAGTGCACGGATGCTTATGCCTACTTCTACGTGATGCAGATCACCAGGCGATACCTACTGCTATGAGTCGCTCTTTCTACTTGCTTCACATGGCGACTTGGGACACACGTGAGCTGTGTCCACTTCCATTTGGTACACTGCATCATCTAGAACTAGATCCATGTCTCCTATTTGATAAACGTACATGCCCAGTATCGCCATGGGTTTCACAAATAGACGTGCCGAAATGAATAACAAAACAAAGCACACCTGACCAAGCTACTAGTAAATCGATTTTACTGTCTATGTCACCTCAAATTGCTTGGTCGATGATTATTGTGGTAAACCAAAACGCTATGTAAAAGCTCTATCATAATCTCCTCTTGGAAATTCTTTTTCATTGTTTCTCGATGGGTTGCTTTTATTCTCTGGCTCTGTCCAGGACGGTTGACTCTATGAGACCACGACGTACAAGCGGGCTATCAACGTTATTGAATTATATGATCATGTATATGTAGACAATATTTCTGATTTTAAACTTAAAGAGCCAAGCCTGAAAGTCGAAAGGTAAATCGTTGTACCATATTTCGCCGCAATGTCGCAGTTTCCATTTTCGCATCATTAGAGCAGTCGAATTACCAAAGAATCTGCATACATACAGGACTGCGACTGTATCAAAATACTATTTGCTTCTTCCTACTCCTAGGCAATTCCTTTGTCGCGACAGTAGTAGTAGTCGCGTTGAATGAATGAATGAATGTACCCACTCCAGGGGTTTAGAAGACACTACTACTGGCTAGTTCTTTTTGCATCGACCACAACAAGTTCATGATATTAATATTTTTGAAGTGTAACATAATGTTGCACTTCCAGTTGGCGGCTGCAATACGAGTTAAGACTATGTAAATGTAAACCAACCGCTAGGGCAATCAGTGCAATCATCTCAAGAAGGGAACCTTATATTACCTTGCTCAAAAGCTTGTGGTGGTTCTCAGAGTCATAATCTCTAACTCAAAAATATTCCATAAAAGCAAAGTGTTTCTCTGTTTTCTGCTAAGCGTACACACAGTTCTTTATCCACATTCTACATCTACATGTGCGAGTCCTAGAATGAAGAAAAACACTACAAGAAACTTACTCAATCATGCTCTAGCCTCTAAAAAGGAATCATGCGTATATTTTGACAAAAAAGAAACAGATAATCGCATCATAACAGGAGTCTGCTCCATCAGCCTGAGTCTGCCAAGTCGCGACATCCTGCTTAGTGTCGGTGCTCACCTCAATGGAGGGGGTAGACGTGTTTTCCAATTGTCTCATTTTTTATGATTTGGGTAGACCACGTGTGCCGCGATGTGTAGTGATCGTGTTGTAGATATTGTCCTTCTTGTGCAAGCTGTCGTTGTAGTTTTTTTATTGCGTGTCGCAGATCCTCTAATTGATTGTCTTTGTGAAGATTGTGTTCACTGTTCGTTGTGTAATTAAGTATAAAAAAATAATGGTTTTTATTTTTTCAAGGATGATGTTGCCGATCCGAGGTCGTCGTCGTAGTCGTTTCGTGTAGTTTTTTGATCTTTGAACTATCAGAGGTAGAAGTTCGTCTTCAGAGTTTAAGCTCTTCTCTTTTCTTCAATTGTAGCAGTTGATTGAAATGTTTGAGTTGTCGTCGAAGCAAGTTGCTAGTTTGTTATTCTTATTTTTAAGTAGTAAGTAGTACAACGAGTGCACTCCCTTCCCTCTTACCACCTATTGTAATATTTGGTTTTTGGGAATAACGATGATCATGCTAATAAAAATCTTTCGCTTTGCTTGGTTTAACAGGATGAAGGTAATGGCGATGATTGTGATCATGCACATTACTGCTCGCAGTGAGTAAACCTAGGGTTATGAAAAATTTCCTAATGGCAAAGGAATACAAATATCGTCAGCATAGCCAGCTGGGATGGTGGGAAGACTTCATTGCAAAAGGGGCTCTCGTCGTACTCGTTTGACTCCTCCATCTCGTCTTTCTTTTCACGTGTAGCGCCCTTCCTTATGGTAAGTTTTGGAGTAGTCATCTCTCGTTGTACTCGTGATAAGTCTCAAGCTCGTCTCGCTCTTGCTCGTACGGCGCGTCCTTCCCTGGAGGGGATGATCAGAAGATAACGATATTAGAACACAACAGCAAGATGAAGATGGCGACAAATTGAGAGGATGCCACCATCGCGCTCGTCGTAAACGTCTCGTGAGAGTGGAACTGATGACAACAAAACACCCTCGTTTACTGAATGAGCACAGACAAAGTACTGCGACGCTTCTGAACCACATCCGAAAACTTTTCTTTTCTCACTCGTCGCTCATCGATGCCAGCAGGTCACTAAATCTAAAGCGAACATCAAAAAATTTATCATCTGATGAAGAAAGAAGAAGCTGAAATAGGAGGGAAAAGATGATGATAAGACCAGCCGACCTCCATAACAGAGACCCATCAAGAGGAGGGGCACTATGACAGACGAGGGCTAGGGCAAGGCAATAGCGAAAATATAACTAGCAATAAGTCACGTAGACAACACGAGGTAGAGTGTAAAATGGAGGTAAAGCTCTCCCAGTGTCGTTTCACAACATCAACAAGGAACCTCAAGTGCGTCTCTCTCTTCCTCAGAAAATTGCTTGTGAAACAGAAACTCGTCAGAGTTGGTATAGTATACAAGCCGATACCTTGTCGAAATTTCTCAACTGTCCTAGTCAAGACGAGGAAGACAGACGGGCGCGACGATGATGGTGGCCTTCGCTGCTTAAAATTACCTTTTTAGTGTTCACATTTATAGTATACATCGATACCAATATCTGTTGACGTAGGGTACCTTCACATTCACTCTTGATGACAACAAACACTACCAGCAACCTATGTCTGGATAATAACAGGTTTTGTTGAGCAGGAGGCAAAAAAATGGAAGCGGCATTTTTCTTTCAAAATGATGATGAGCAAAAAGATGCGGGTGGATGATGGGCTGATTCGAGCCCAGATTATTCGCCAGTTCTCGAAAAATGGTTTTTTATCGCCTCGCAATTCAATTTAAATTCTGGTGGACCACTTTCGATAGGTTGAAGTAGCCCTCACATAGTGAATGGTGACAACGACAGTTTATGTTATTTTTCTTGCGATGTAATGCATCAGCATCTCAACCAGCACTACATCTGCTACTACTAAAGTGATGAAGCAAAAGAAAGCCTCAACAGCATCAATGATAAACGATTATGCCTCCAAGCTAAGAAAAAAAGGTGACGGGTAAGACTTCTGCTCGTTCATTTCCAGCTCATTTAAGTGCCTGTAGTACTCATGCAGAGCGAGGGCTAGCGCGTAGCAGAGGCCAATGCACGATAATACTGGTCTACTTAGATTACCACCGAGGCTACCTCTGAGGCCTCTTACTCTTTCCTTGTAGAAAATAAATCTAATCCTCGTTTTCCAAACTTAGTGAGAAGTACAGTAGAAAAAGGCCACACTCATGCTTAGGGTTGATAAGTTCAAGTTGCTGTATTTAGTATTCGACAGCATAGTAACTATTAATGTAACTGTGATCAGCTTTTTCCCATATCACAAGACCTGCTTAGTCTTGCTCTTGGTATCCATTGATGAAGGTCATCTTCAGATTCCCATTCCCTCTTGATCCGCATAAGAACTACGAACTCTATCGTTCAATTTCAAGGCACGTTTTGTTGAGGATTCAAAAAGCTGTGAGCGATTCTATCTCTTTCAAAGGAGTAATGAGGATGAGGATCACATTTTCAGATCTCGAGCAAAAGTCTCTAATTCTCGAAAAAATGGCTTTTTATCGCCCAGCAGTTCAAACCAAATCCTGGCGGTCCACTCTCACACTCAGTAGATTACAAACGAAGTAGGCAACATGCAGTGTGAAATTCTGCAAAACCCTAAGCTTAAGCATGATGATCATCATAGATGAAGATGATGGGAGTGAGCACGAAACAGTTGACGAGAATGATCAAGTTGATGATAATCATGATGCTGATGACCAGATAAAGACGCCAAATCTCTATTCCTCGACTTCTGCGTTGTACACATCACAACGACAAAAACTGATTATTTTCTCATGAAATGAACGATGTGATCTTAATCTTCGTTATTTTTACCAGCATGATTTTGGGCACTAAGCACCTAATTCTCAAAACGGCAGATTGACCAATACTTCATAAAGTACCTGCACCTTTCTTGAGGTAAATTAAAGTTGATCACCTCCGATCAAAACGAGAACCAAATCATAAATTGCTGATATCCCTTGCCCGTCTGCCGATGTTCCACCTTCACTTCACTCTTTGAAGATCCACCTCCAGGCTGCAGCTCCGTCTGCTTCTATATTAGACAAGTCAGGAAAATGTCCTCAGAAGAAGTCTTCCTCGAACTCTAAAACATGAAAACTCGAATCTTGTTTGGTTTTGTCCCCGGTCATTGCCTCGTGTGCAGTATGTGAAGCACTACTATAATCGACACAGAACCATAGTGGCGTCATTTGCTTGATGTGGATACATTGACATCGCTGACTGTCATAACTGAAGTTCGCTCGCTGACGGAGGTGCCGGGGGTAGCATGTCTGCAAGTGTATTTCGCATTTCTTCCGCCTGCCCACGTGTCCACCCAGCTTGTTGTAGTACATATCCATCCCACTCTCGTTGAACCTCGCCCGCCAGGGCTTATTCTCCCCATCCTTGTTCTCCTTCTTGCGGCTGAAGGGCCACATCTTGTCTTTCATAATTTCAGTTGCTGAAGAACACCGTCTACCATCTAGACATAGACATACACATACAAAATCCTCGTAGTAGGAATACTACAAGTACAACATGAACATCCGCGTCAAACTTACCAATCAGTGGCAACCTCTCGTGCATAGCTACCGCAATCAAAAAAATGGCTTAAAAACCATGAGGCCACATTCCACACCAAAAGGTTTCTTCTCAGGAGGGAAATTACTATAACTTCGGACACAGTCCACAGCACGTCACTTATTTCTTCGTAACGCAGTAACTTCTTCAACCTCCTGAAGTCTGATTTTTTTCGTTCATCATCGATATCGTTGAGGGTTTTCGGAGTAGAAAATATGGGCCACGTATGTCAACGCCAAGACACCAGCGCTACTGCCTAATTAATTATTTATTCACTCACTTCTTTATTTCTTTCGCACGCTGTTCTTCGCTCGAAGTCGTTGCGTTGATCTCTCTTGTTACTTTCTTGTTGTTGGATCTTGCTGTCTTTCCGCAGACCTTCTAACTGTATACCTTCTACGTACATCTTCTTCTTGTCGAGACTAATGGTCCGCCATCATGGAATTTCTGAAAAGCACCTGGAGGGGGACGACGGTGATGTTTTTTCTTCGTACACGCCAGCACCTCATCGTGATCCTGATCATAGACGCTACATAAGAAGCCTCCACATGTGTTAATAGATTGCTAGATATACAAACTGGAGACTTAACCCCCGGGGATCCTAAATCTACTGGTGAGTTATACTTTTTAGTGCTGTGGCAGCACGGTAGGCTGGCTCGGCAGACCCAGGTCTTTGCCGGCGCCGGTCGTTGCACCTACGGCCCATAAGTTTGCCACGGAGCGTGGCGGGAGGCCTTTACCTCCCCAGAGAGAGTTGCACACCAACGTCCGGGTGTCGTAACCCCTCTCGCGGCTCGGCCGGTGTTCGTGCACCGTCGCCCTACGAGTCAATCAACCGGCACCCGCGAGGTTTCGGGTGCTCGCTCTTCGCGTCGGACGCTTTGGTCCGGGGCGCTTTGGCCCGGGTGCGCGGCTAATCCCTCGGCAGTAGCAGGCGTTGTCCCCCCGCTGGGGGACAAGGTCACTTTGAACCTCCAGCCCTTTGGGCCATCCTTTCTCGACGCCTCCTTGGTGCGCCTTCCATCCTTTTCCCGACGACTGGAGGTTCAGAACCGCCAGGTGCGTACGTTTTTTGTACCCGGTACTGCTTTGAGTGCCCCTGAGCCGCTGCTACTGGCGCTCTTTGGCGCTAGGGCCGTCACCTTTTTGGTAACGGTATTCTGTTGAATCCGCCCTTTCTTCTGTAGCTTCTGCTTGGGGGTGATCTTGATCGTCCGCTTGACCAAGGTGTCCTCTTGGACCGCCTTGGGCTGCACGAAGACGCGCGGGGGTGGACCCCCCCCCGAGGGCCACCGCCTGCGCAATCCGTGCAGCGGGATGAATTCCGAAGCCTCCCACGTTTTGTGGTCGGCTGTGTACTCGTCCCACATTTTGCTGGACTGTTCCCAGCCCATGTGGGTGAGGAATTCATCCTCCTTCACGGAGATTTTCCCTTGCTCCCACTCGCGTCGCGTTGCCAATGCGAGTCCTCTCCTGCAGCTGTGCAGCGTGCCGCTAATTCCCTTCGCCAAGCTACTTATCCTGGCCTTGCCTAATGGGAAATCAGATCTCATAACAGCGCCTTCGCCGTGCATCGGGCAAAAGCGACTTCGTGCACCAGCTGTTTTTGCGTTGGTGTCGCAATTGCAGTGGATTTCTATTATCCTACCGCGTTGTTTGCGGATTTTGTCTTCGGATATGTGGATGCGCCACACGTCTCCTTTTTTGGAGATGTCCGTGTCGTCCACCGCCGCGATGCTGTCGCCCCGCAATCCCGATAGCGCCCAAAGGAGGACCATTTTTTGGTCTTTTGCCTTTAGCGCCTCGAGCTTCGTACCCGGTAGGAAAGGCTTTGCTTTCCTCGGGTTGTGGTCTTGGATTGTTCGTTCAATTGCCTTTTCCACGTCCCCGATGTTTCGGAGAATGGCGGGGCTTTCGACTAGCCGCTGCGGGCCATCCGCGGGTGGCGGTTCTACCAGCCACATGATGATGCTGGATGTGTACTGCGCGACTGAGGTGTATTCATTGAACACTAGGAAGGCGGCGAATCTTTGCACCGCCTCCGGCCTCACGGGTAGCTTTTCACCCTTGGCCGCTAGCCAGTCGAGGAAGAAGGCGACTCGCGACTTTTTGTTTCTAGTCGTGGAGTCGGCTTCTCCCATGGCGCGCAGCTCGTCGTCGTTTAGATCGACAGCTTTGCGCAGTGCGTCCGCCCGCTTCGACATTTATTTAATGTTACTTTTTTATTTATCTCTCGCTGTTGTTCCCTCTAACGTTCTTTTTAGTTTTTATTTAGTTAGTTTGTTCTCTCGTCCTTACTTACTTTTTTGTCTAGGCTGGTTCGTGCGGCTGCTTAGGCGAACCTCCACCATGGATCTTGGCCTCCTGCCGTATCTCATGAAGTGGTCTCCCCAGCCTAGCTTCTTTACTTACTCGTAACTCCTTCCCACTCTGTTTTCCCTCTTTTTAGCTTGACGAGATGTAACACGTCACTCCCTCGAACACTGCGCCGCCGCCGCCGCGTTTTCCCTTTCGGCCACCAGTCGTCACTGGTGGTTTGATTTGTTTCCTCCCTCTCAACTAGAGTGTTTTTTACTCTGTCAAAAAGGACGAATTTATTGTTCCGCCACTAACTTAATAATGGTCCGGTGCCCCTGGTAATTTGACCAGAGGGCTTATGGCGAATGCTTTTGCATTCTGTTTTTCGAGGATTTGTTGTCCTCGAGGCCGGTAGCCTTTTTCTTCCAGCTAGTCGCGTTCTAGCTTGTGCGTGGCTCCTTCCACCACACCGCGAGGGAGCGTTTGCTCCCAACGTGCTCCTTCACGTCTCTCCCCAGGAGGATTTTTCCCTCCATCACTCTCGATTTATCGGCGTCGATCGCGTGAGCGGCTGTTTTTGCGCTCGTTCGATCGCTTCGATTTGTTGCGGCCACGATTGTCTTTTTCGCGACTGTCGTTGCGATGCCGTTGTCCCAGCGGAACCGCGTTTGCGTCGCTTCGCTGGGGTCCTTTCGGTTGGCGGCGTGTTCGGCCGTTTTTGGCCTTCATCGCCTTCATCGGCTGGACTTTCGGTTTTACGAAGTCTTTCGGGTGGCGGATTGCTTCCTTGTCCTTCGCTGCCGCTCGTTTTGCCGCTGTGCCGGTTGGCTGCTGGTTGATGTTTCGCCCTGCCAACCGGGCCGAGAAGAGGACTTCGGCCAGCTCTTTTTGCGAGCGGATCACTTCTGCCCACGTTCTCTTGGCGATAGTGATGTCTGGGGGAGGACGGTTGCGGTCGATGAGGTGGTGGTGTGTGCATTCCAGGTGTTGAGCGTCGTTGCGACAGCCTGACTGCACCGCATGCGCTTTGTGCGCGTGGAACCAGTGGCATACCGCCGGCGGAAGCATGAGTCCCATATTTTTCAGGGACTTCAATGCGGACGGCTCCACTAAGCCGGTTTGAGGGAAGTACACGTAGTATGTGGTGCGTGTTCCTCCCTTCGCGTTTCGGCGCTCGGCTAGCACCACGTCGACACGTTTGTCGAGGCGGCGGTTGTGGACTGGGTCCATGGCCGGGTTGAAATCTGTTTTTTCCAGATCCAAACTCTCCAACCAAGTGTCGCTCGGCATGGTTGTGCCCGTGTCGTCGTCCCCGCCGCTGTCGGCGTCGCTGCCGAACGGGTTTTGCGGGCCTTCGCTCGCCGATCGCTCTCGCGATTCGCTGCGGCGGCGGCTGTGGCTACGAGAGCGCAGTGTGACTGTCACACGTTCGCTTCTCGGCTTGCCTAAGCTCGCCTCGGCGTCTCGCATGGAGAACATTTCATTTTTGATTTCCTCCATGTTCTCCTTGAAGAACGCTTTTTGGACGGGCGGTTTGATTTTTCCCCCGTCTTCCTCGTCCGTGTAGCGCGCCTCGTCGATGAGGTGGAGACCGAAGTGGTTGTACCAGGCCAGCAGGTTGAACATGTATCTGTTCACCAGCCCGGTCTCCCAGCGCTTCATCTTCTGCTGGAGCGCGTCGAGGCTGCGGGAGCCTTCCTTCATGAATCCCAAGAACACCATCATTTTTTTGATGGCGATTTCTGGGAAGTTCTCGTTGAACTCGGTCATGAAGTCGAAGGGCTGCAGGTCGGTGGCGCCGTTGATGGCGCTTTCCACGCGGCGCAGCGTCTCCCAGCACTGGTCCAGGTTGCATCTGTCCCAGTAGTCAGCCGGGACGCTGGCGACGACCTGTTTCCGGACCAGGTTCTGGAACGCGCTGTTTGTGCGCTGCAGGTTGTCTCCGTTAAAGCCTGCGATGGCGCAGTTTGAGACCTTGGGTTGGTTTTTTCCCACCTGGGCTTCGCCCCAGATGCCTGCGGCCGCGTATGCTCCGAAGAGCAGCGCCAGCGCCTTTTGGTTGAGGCGTTGGCCTGCCGTCGTGTTCAGGACGCTGTTTTCGTCCACGTCGAAAACGGAGCGGAGGCCGTGCTTTTCCACGTGTTTTAATAACGCGGTGAGCACGTGGTTCGCCTGCTTAGAGGCTTTTTCTCCGTTCGTGAAGAAGCAGTTTTTATACTGCTCCTGTGCGTCTGCGACTTCCTCGCCCGGAGTTAAGACGGAAGGCCAGACGACTTTCACCTCTGTTTTCTTCTCGACGCCGTTTACGCGTCGGTAGACGAAGAATTTTTCTCCTTCGCTAGCCGGGCGCGTGTCGTCATAGGAGAGGATTTTGTCCTCTCCGCTGCTGTTCAAAGCCGTTGCGATGGCCTTTGCGGTCTTCTTCGCGAACGTTTTGAACAGAGCTGCCGTCTCCGGCGGCTCCTCGGAGGACTCTTCGCTTTTGTCGGCGAAGTCCACGGAGTCCTCCTCCTCTTTCTTTTTGGCTTCGAGCTCCGCCTTGCGCTGCTTCTCCTCTTCTTCGAGGAGCTTTCGGTCCTCCTCCTCGTGCGCCTTGCGGACCGACGTCCACGGCGTCTTGGCCGGCTTCGCGTCCCAGTCGTTGAGCACCTCTTTGTTGGTGCGCTCGATCAGGTAGCGGACTATCACCTCCTTTTTGGCGGTCTGCGCCGGGACTTCCGCCAGGTTCAGCTGCGGGTTTTCCTCCCGAAACTTTCGTTTTTCGGCGAGCTTCGCGCCGGCTTCAAAAGTCTCTTTTTTAATCAGAGACTTCGAGGCCCAGGGTTCGGCCGTTAGTTCCTCGTGGTATGCGCCCAACCACAAGTGGAACCACATCAAGGTGGTGCCCTGTTCGGTTAGGGTTCCACCTTCCCCCACGAAGCGCGGGTCCTCCAGGTCTTTTTTGACCGTGTCGATGAATTCCGTTTCCGGAAGTTCACCGACCATCTGTCGGAGTGCTGCAATCCAGTCCTGGATGTTTGCGCAGAAGATGAGTTTATCCTCATACTGCGTCTTCTCCTCCAGCTGCTTTTGCAGCGCCTCCATGGCCTCCGCCATGGAGGGGTGAAACAGTGATCCGTCGATCAGTTTCAGAAGGGCTTTGCCCTTCTCGTCGACGTCCTCGCTCCCCACAGGATTTTTGCCTGTGTGGATGACGAGGTCTCCGACGCTTTTCAGGGAGGTCATTTTGTTTTTTGTTTTGCTGAAAACCAGAGTGCGGGGGCACTACTAGTCACTAGTTTCTAGATTGCGATTATACGCGCACAGAAAGTCCCTGGATTTTTGGGAAAAAGAAAAGTTTTTTGACCTGCCCAAGCTAGCTTTCAGCTTGAGGTTACGAAAATGTGCTGCCACAAGCGCCAAACCCTCGCGGCGATTTTTGCCCCGCGAGGGGATGGCGCGCCGCGCGCGCGGCGGAACTCGATTTTTACGAGCTCCCCAGCACCCCCCACTGGGCGCCACGCGCCTGCCCACCGCACCGCCGGAGGGCGCGTTGGCCCTCCCGCGGCCTACGCACGAGCGCTTTGGCCCGTGCGCCGGCAGCCCGCTCCGCTCCGCTCCGCTCTGCTCCGCTCTGCATGTGAACTCCGCCCCGTGGGTGTAGCATTAACGCTCTCACCCGACCGCACCCGAGCCTCCGCGGAGGCGCGAACCGTGGTTCGCCTTCGCCGAGATGCGCCATTGCATCGACCGGCGGCGTCGCGCGTGAGTGCATTTTTTGCACCGCACACGACGGGGTTCGCGGGGCCCGTTGCCCCCAACCCTCTCCCTAGTTGGTCCCTCAGCCGACATTTTTTGTCGACTGTCGTCCAGGAACCTTCCAGAGAGCGTATCTTTTCTCTCACCTAAGTTAACTCACCAGTTAGTATAATCACTTCCCCCGCAAGCTCCTCCAGTGCATAAACATAAAGGAGCAAAGAAAATCTTCATAGTCATTCATCTTTGATTTTTGTTCACGTTATAGACGACATAGTCATAAATAACCGCTAGTAGGATTAAAACTCTACTACTAAAAGAACAACACAACATATTGGCACTTCATGAACTACGCGGCTAGAGCTACTATTTCCACACTCTCGCTTATGCAGTACGCTCAAGATTTAGTCTTAGATAAGCGTGGACCACCATGCGTGCGAACGGAATCCAGGTCTGCTTCTTTGTCTCTCGGCATCGACAAGAACTTGAACTGCCAACATTGCTTTTAAAATTTCTATTCTTCGAGCGACTACCTCTAAAATTTCGCTGCAGGTCTTGTCACCAGGATTGACGCGCGTGCCGACGGAAGCAAAATCCCTTTTCCTATCTCCTGCGACCTCTGATTCGGAGGCAGATTCTTCATAGCTGATGTCCGCGGTTTAGAAGCGTAATGATCAGGAGTGGCAATCCACGGGCATGGAAGTGTAATTTAAAGTTCTTGGAGGAGAACCACATTTGCGGAACGACGATCAGTATAATCCTTCTAGGTGTATTAGAATTAGTTAATGAATGCTCTGCCTTACTATCTCTAAGTAAGTTTAAACACGCAACACAAGATAAAGGTAAGCGCCAGTCTTTTTCTCGTGCAATGTATATAGGTACCAGGGAGGGAGGCCCCCCCCTGTGAGTGGAGCTTTGGGGGACCACGCCAGAGGGGTCCAGCCTTGCCACCTTTGCCCGGTCTGTAGGGTTGGGCACATGCAGAACGCCAAGGGGGTGGGTCCCGCCTTGCCTCCTCTGCCAGCTCTGTCGGGTACCTGCAACACGCCAGAGGGCTCCGGCATTGCCTCCTTTGCCAGGTCTGTAGGGCACACGCAACAAGCCAGCGGGGCCCTGCCTTGCCTCCTTTGCCAGGTCTGTAGGGTACACGCAACAAGCCAGCGGGGCCCTGCCTTGCCTCCTTTGCCACCTTCAGCGTCCTCCGGTTTGGTGGCGCTCTAGGGTACAGGCAAGAAGCGGGGAGGGGTCAGAAGTGGGCCAGAAGTGGGCGCTTTGAGGCCTTCCCGCCTGGCAGCCCCTCGAAAAGAGGGTCCGGGGCTGGGAGGCCCCCCCCCTTAAAAAGTTATATCGGGGGGGCCTTCAGCCCTGAGCCCTGGAACATATATAGCATTCCCAGCAAAAAAGAAACCAAAACCAAAGAAGCTGTCTTAGCAAACAACCCCTTCTGCCTGACTCCCCACTGACGGAACCCGTATACCACAGCCAATCTCTAGCACGCCGAATTTTTTCTTCCCTTTTATGCGCAACATCCTGCAGCTCCTCTATGCCTCGTACTCCATTTCCTGTTTGCGCTCGAGAAGGTTCAAAAACTTCATCCAGCGTAACACAGCAGGACGCAAAAATTCTCGCCGTACAAAGTCGGATGAAGGTATTCTGTGACGAAATCGCGAACCAGCAAAGCGACCCTCTTGTGATGAAAGACCCAAGAATCTGCCTGGTAGGGTAGGACCTGCGTCCTCGCAAATATTCTTTAGAGCTAGAACGAATAAGTCTGAATCTACTGTGGCAGTCTCAATCAACAGCAGAATCAGTTCTCCTTATTCAGTGAGTGTAATTCAAAGAAAAATCGTCGAGCTAATACCGGATAAAAGGTAAGATGCTCTATCAGAGGAATTTATAAGGTCTGCGCCAGTTCGCAGGGCATGGAGTGCATGGATCGCATGGAGCTGCATGGAGCTAAAGGGCGCGCTTCTTCCGTCCCTTAGAGATCTGCGCTCCATGCACTCCATGTTACTCCATGCGCCATGCGTGCTATAAACTGCTCTGCTATATGTTTTTCTTAAGTTTCCCTCCTCCTCACTTAGAGGACGTGGCGCAGCGTTATTCACAAAAACAGCAGAGTTATCATTCCGAAATCCCAACGGCGGTCAAAGAAATACCACTCCCCCAGAGAATCCAGCTGCAGACGGATTGACTACGACACTCCTCCCTCCAGATCTTTCATTTTCCTTGTCTCCCATCTTTTGCTTTCCACCTGATAGTCCTCCTCTGTCTATTTTCTCAAACCTCCAAAAGGGAACCCAGGGCCACGTCAGGGAGCCGTGAATCTCGAGAATATTCTTCCCGAGTTCTGGGAGCCGACTGGAGTGGCCATCAACATTGCCGGTGTACACGTAGCGTTGAGCTGCATCTTGATCCACCTGCGAATTCGGCACGACCGACAGGGTAGTCGTAGGTCATTGCAGCAAAAATTCCTATCATGCTTAGAAATAGTGATAGAGGTACTCAGAGAAACTATCTACCTCCACTAATTCTTGAAGATAAGGCTGTGTATCATATTAAGAGCTATTCGATGTATCTATATGATCATATGCACGGGCTACTGAAGAGAACCGAAGGAGGAGGAGGGCACACTTTGTTTTTGCCAGTGCTTAGATTATTTACTTCTGAAGCTGAACAACTACTGATATTGAAGAGAAACGAAAGGGGATCAGACGAGGACTGTCCCCATGGCTGCTTCGCTGACTCTTTTCCACTAGCAAGTAAACATCAATATCGCTGTCTAGTTACTGGATAACTGCTCAATGATATACCTTGCATATCTCTGAGCCTTTCTACAGAAGTAGCAATGCTACTTAGTCTCGATATCAACTGCAGGTCACCTTCAGCACGTTCACTTTTGATCCACATCCTCCTGCGAGTGCTATTCACTACCATCCCAAAAATTCCTGTGTCATTCAAAGCAAGGATCGAATCTGGTGAAGATGCAAACAACTGAGGACAACGCTGCGACCTTGGCGCTGACGATGCTGCTGCTGAAGGTGATGATGATTTCAACCTGAAATCGCCAATCCTCGAAAAAAATGACTTTTTAAGAACTGACACATGAATTCAAATCACTTTGAAAAGCTTTCGAAACTACATTTCTGTACTTTGACAAGCATCATGTTCATGATGATAACAGAACGCATATCGAAAATAGTGAAACAATGCAATCACGACGCTGAAAATAATGAGGATGATAACGATTCCAGGGCTGCTCATTGCTCAATCCTCGAAAAAGTGGCTTTTTATCTTCCAATGAGATAATTTAAATCATAACTGCACAGTTTCAATTGCTTTCAGCTTTCTTCGTTTTCGACAATGCAAAGGTATGAATAAGAGAGAGATGAATCTCTGCACAATGGAAGTGACGAGACACGACCTCATCCTCAAGGAAGCATATAAGCCAAACACGATAATCTTGAAAGTGAAGTACTTAGATGCGAGCGGTAGTCCGGATGATAAGATCTACAACTGTGATACCAGTCCTCCACTATCGTCCTCACGTCACAATTGGATGTGTGTAGTACCAGTAACGTAACTGCGTCACACTACTTGTTGGTGTCCCCAACTTCAAAGACAGCTGATGAGCCTGAGCAGCGGGGCGGAATGACGTGAGAAAGGCCTTAAGATGAGGCTCTGCGCTTTTGTAAAGATCGGCACTTTCCCACCACCACTGGTTAAACGCGTCGTAGTATTTTGGATCTGTCGCTCCAGGTGAGCATAACTCAATTTGAGAAAGGTTGGCGTACCACTACCAGGGCCGCATTTAAATATCACATTCTGCAAAAGTCGAAAGTCCACAGTCCTTGCCCATACTAGCGCCTGCAGTAATGAGAATGCACTCACACTCTGCTAAGAGCGCCGCAGCACGTTGCCAAACCAGGTCCCCAGTAATGACCTTCGCCGTTTTCATCTCTTCCTTCAACTTGAAATATTTAGAACAAGCGCCAACAGCGTCCACAATAAGAATCATGAAAAGTACTACGAACAATTTCTTGACACGCTCCCTTTGATCCTCTGCCAAAGGGTGGCCAGAAGCAGTGTGTGCCATATCATAGATATCGACTTGACACTACGAAAAACTAATCTATCATCAGCACCAAGCTTTCCTTTCTTGGCGGCCCCTGCACGATGAGACGATATGATCGATGTCCTTCCATGAATTAGGCTTGGTTAAAATGCTTATGTTGAATCCACTCCCACGCTCGTGTTGATTAAATAATCAAATGCACCACCCTGCTTCATTCAACATAAATGGACTATAGCCTGACACTGAGCCGAGGATCGCGCTACTGCAGCTGGCGTCTGACTCTACCGAGTTTGTAGAAGCGCTTTTTCCAGGTGTATCAGTCGCACACGCATCTCGGCCGTCTGCGCGAGCACAGACACAAGCCCGCGCCCATGCATTGTTTTTGTTGTTACGAATGCGAATAATTGTTGATATGTTGAACGTGAATATTTTTTAGACAAGAAGAGGAGATGGCATAGGTTTTGCTTGATAATGCTAAAGTCATTGTCGAGTTGAACAATTAGAAAAAAGTGTCAGAAGTAGTTTGCTCAAAATAACTATGACTATGTTCGGTGAAAGAAATGGGTCCGCTAGCTCATTCCATTTAGGATACGGTCCGTCTAAAAATTCTAATTTCCGACAGGTTCTCTAGGATAGGTATTTGGTGCGTCGGGTGTTGCTCTTGCTTGATGAAATAAACGTCAATGTTGACCGAAAATCGAGTATTCCGCAATGTCAAATTTCCAATCAGGCCTAGCGATTGGCTCGAACTGGTCGGGACTCCACTACCCAACGAGTCTGCCGTCTTCGTCTTTTACTTGATATGTCGTCTTTTCATATCGTCGTCATTCTTTTCAATATTAACGGAAAAACTCGAACTTTCCATTTAATCAAACACATGGATCCAACTACTTAAGAGCTTCGCGCAGGACTGCTCAAAAGTGAATATGTCAACCTTGAAATGGAGAGCAGTGTGTTCGGGATCATACCTTGAAACGGAGATCGTAAATCTGATCTTTCTGCAGACGACCGTTGCTTCTGCACGAGAATTCAGAATGTCTAGATGCTGTTAGCTGAATCAGACGTACCTTTAAGTTCAGAAAAAAGGAAGGAGATGACGATTGATAACCAGGAAAAGAATCGCTACAAATCTCCGTCAGAACAACACATTTGCTCATGCTTTCTTGTTCGAAGTACAATTTACAATCACTCACGAGACACGACTAAGACGGCATTCTCCAATCGATTTGCGCATGACTTAATAGGCAGTCAGGGGAATTCTACTACTTCTGTATGCTAGTAGGCTTCTACTTGTATAGAGGCAGAACTATGCACCATAGTTGTAGAGGCCAGCCGTAGTGTAGTTCTGCTGCGATGTGGACGCAAGGAGTCGCCCCTTTGCTTTGAACATCCTCGGTCGGAAACTGAGGGTGCTCACCGAGTACAAACAGTGAGATTGATGCTCGAAGACAAGGATTTCCAGCTGCTGCATCCGCGACTGTGCTATTCGCGCTTGGATACGCATCGTCCAACATTTCCAGAGGCTGACAACGAGCAATACCCAAGAAATTTTCATGTGAATTCTCAAAATGATCGTCAAGCTTGCAAGAGCAGGGTGAGGTTTAGAGGTGCTCTGACAAGATTGTTACCATGATCAATGTATTCAACATACACGAATAGGCCTCCCCTATATTATGAACATATGTGGGGACTAATCACTGATTATCAGCGTCAGAATAGTAAAAGTAATCGTGTTGATCATGATGTTGAGAGTTTGGCCATGTTTCAACTTGAAACTTTCCCAATCCTCGAAAAAATGGTTTTTTATCACTTAACAACTCAGTTTAAATCTTTGCTCTCCACTTTCACTTACTCCCAAGTTCAATTCCGTGAATCCAAGAATAACATTGACCTGGCAATCTAAGTCCAAACCAGCGAAAGAGCAAGTACATAATACTTCTAAACATATGCCCTATGATTATCATAGAACGTGTGAAACATGACATGGATGATGATAATCATGCTGATAATTTTATGTTTGAGGTTGTCAATCCTCGAAAAAGTGGTTTTTTATCGCCCAGCAATTCAATTTGAATGCTGGGGGGACAAATGTCAGCTGCTTCAACATTCGGCATTTTTCAGAGTCTAAAACAATCAGCACCAACGCAGTAGTGAAGTAGTTCTGCACTATGATAGTGACGAAGTAACACATCAGAGGTGGATATGATAAGTAGTAGTAGACAGCGCAATCATATAATGTTGGACTGAGGCTAAGTGATGAGAACGATAGCAAACTGATGTAGTTGAGGTGACTAGGTCGACGTGGATGATAGTCCAAAATTGTCAGTACTAGTTTCGTCGATGTCGAACTCAATCAGTATGAGTACTGTATAACGAGTGGCATTACTGTTCTGGTACCGGACCATAACCCCAAACAACAGAGGACAAAGCTTAGCTTCGAATGGATAACAAGAGCGAAGCCATAATTAACATCGCTGGATTCTGTGCGACTGCTAGTAAAAGTAAGAAACCCTGCACTGTTTCCCTACCACCTGCACCAGCACCGGCCAAACGTGGCCTTACATTCAAACACAGACACACGACACCCTGCAACCATAACTGTGAATGCGGATGGTTGTTCACCTGGAGGTCAAGTTGTTATTCTTGACAAGAATCGGTATGCCAACTGCGCATCCGCATCTGTGTCTTTCTTTGTATGAAAATCGGAATGCTGGAGATAGGGCTATCATTCTGTTTCAGTGATCAAGTACTAGGTATAACTTATAAGGCACTAATGATTTTTTAAGGTGCTTCTTCCTCGAAATCAACGCTCATTTGTCATTATCAGCTCCTCCTATGATGCACTGTCCTCATACTCTCATATTACACCTGACTCACTCCATGAAAATACTCTTCACCCCCCCCAACAGCCAACAGCGTCCATATCATCTTGATTTTGTTGATTCCTTCATCACGATCAGAGAGATGACGAAAAAACTGCAATCGCATTTCACCTTCACCCACACTCGGGTCCTGCAAGTGAATATCGTTATGATGAAGGTCTTCGGGCACATAGATGTTGGAATGGGGATCGTGACATTGGTTTTTTCGAGTTTCAATGTGCTGAAAAATGAAAATCAAAACGCTTCAAGATTAGATGAATGTTGCTGCAATTACACGATGATGATTGTTTCAAGCTGGATGATGTAGTCGAATCATGCAGAATAGGGGCATAAATAATGTTGATGTTGATCTTGATGAAAACCGCAGGTATATTAAGTTTGTTCATGACACGAAGTTTGATCAGTTTCCTGGAGCGAACCAAGAGAAGCCTCATGTTGTGATAAAAACGAAGATATGACGAGAACTACAAAGATACAACAAGAACAGTCAACATACCTCCAAAAAGCTAAGATGCTTAAGACATTACCCTTTACAAGATGAAGATTATGACTACTTGATAGGCCGTGAAAAAGATGAAATATTTCAGAGAGTCCTGTGCTTGCTGGTCTGTACATTGCTTTAGTTTTTTTAACTCGTACCTGTGGTTGTCCTTTTAAGTTTTACCTAATGCTAGAACACCTCTTCAGCTACAGCCGCTCGTCCAGTCTCTGTCGTATCTATGTCATTACTCCGAAGAAATGTTATTACATAATAGAACGGTGCTTATTAGGCGGGGTCATGGCTCGTCTTGCGCGTCTCATAATAAGGGTAGCACATCATCATCTGGTACGATTCTAGTAGACAGACGTCTGATCCTCAAGCACTACCCCTTACGCCTCTTTGAGGTGGAAGCACGGCACCTGAACCACAGCTCCCCTACCGCCACTTCGTAGACCTTTTCTCACTCAACACGCACGCTACCTGTCTACGTCTAGTCCTCTATGAAGGTTGGAGGCCGGTCTTTACAAGAACGTCTTTAGACTCTGAGTGCAGCACTAAAGGACGCGGCGCGTGGTTAGTCTTTCCAAGAATGCACTTTGGGCGCAAATGTACACTCCCGCAGAAAAGCTTCTTCCTCCAGTTTCTTTGCGTGTGCGTGATTCATCTCTCGCCTCTTTTTCGAGCGCTCTGCCTGAAAATCTTAGACTACAAAAAATAACAAAACGCATTCTACCTTATACGCGTACTACGCATACAACATCTACAACCCGAGATTTTCATCTAGATCGGACTTAGAGGTGGAATGCAACAGAAGCAGTACCAGTAGCCTAGAGACGCTAGTTTATAATCTCGATCTCAAAGCCGTTTTTCGATTTTTGAAGGACCAACCGAAAACGCTTCTGGCAATGGATTTTTGTGAACCATAAGAATGAAGCCGCGTCACTGCATCTCGCAATCGCTCCTCTTGACGTTGTCGCGTGATGGTTGACGACGAAGATGCGGGTTCTTGTGCAGCTGCAGATGGATTACCATTAGAAGAGCAAGTTGCCAAAGTATATCATGAAGGTCATTTTTGACGCGTTTTGCTCACTCTCAGGCTACCTCCTTCTAAAGAGACAGATCATCCCTTTGACGTGTGTACATTTTTATAGATTTTGAAAGGAGTCAAAGATTTCCTGCGTTGAAACCTCGTGCTCGTACTTCCTCCTCCTGACGAGCTTAGCCAACAACAAAATGAATTGAGCTAGGACAAGAACCTTAATTGATATGCGCGGCGTCGCTGACCTCGAAGGTCCTGTTCTCTTTGAGGAGCGTTTTAGTGGTCGATACGTCGAAGATGAGGCCCCTCTACCTACTTGCGCGACCACGACCTTGCTATTCGATGTTGAAGATGAAATTCTTGAACTAAACGATCGTACTGAAGCTTTTCCTTTTCTTGGTTCCCATGGTTTCACATCAGCGAGCCTCTTGGTTTTTACATCATCTGGTGCGTCTTTCGCCGAAGAAGTAGAAACACTACCAGCTCCCTGCTCGTTTTTGTGGACATGAACTTCCTCTTCTCCAGTATCTTCCCGTCCCACTTCTAGTACAGCTAGATGCTGCTCCTTTTCAAGAGCTGTTAGTACAACTAGTCCCGACTCTCTGTTAATGATACCACTGCTCTGCATCAACATCTTCTGATTGTTTTTCGCAGAAGCACGTGCAAGCTCTAGTTTCTCCGAACGCTTGCTGTAACTAATGTCTACTGGTGGTCTTTCAGCACCAACTTCCTCTTCTTCTTCCTCTGTGCTGCAAATGGTCAGCCGCCGACCACCGTTCGTAGATATCTTGCCGCCCTTGATTTTGATGCCTGCCACGTCGTCCAATTTGCTCTTCCTTCGGTTCTTGCTTCCCGTGTCCAGTTCTTCTTAGAGAGAAAAAAATCGATGAGCAGGTTGTTGTCACGATCGTCCTCGTAGCAGCTAAACTGATACGAAGACCTAGAACATACATTTGGAAAATATCTTCTGTTCGTGTACGTGCACAAATTCAATTACTGATTAATACAAGGGTTCCATTCTATCTACAAACACAAGCCTTCTTTACAGCTCCACTCTATCCAGAAATTTAGACCTTGAAGCGTCCTATGTCGTATTATACCTAATCATTGTTTTTGTTATTGATCACAAGAGGAAGACTCAATCAGTTCATAAGAGCTTAAGCACCCACGGCCTTCTTCAAGCATTTTCCGAGCAATTATCCGCGACCGTTCACTGATTAGAGTGCTGCGTCTATAATATTCATCATCACGACACCGCCAGCACCAGCTCCTGTAGTTTTCATTATATTTATAATTTAGGGACCCTTATATTTCCCTAGTGTGCCCTGTCTTGCATAGGAAATAAGTCGTCGGTGCCTTTAATATCATTTTCCTTGTACTATTGCTGCATGGGAAGAAATTGAGAATGCTGGCACACCCACGATATTACTAGTAGTCTGCTTGGTAATATGAGTAGAAGCTGGTGAAGACCATAAATTGATAATCGGTATATAGTCGGGCTCAGGAGGAGGCTCTCGCGTCCGCCGCTCCACGCCTAATGTATACAATTCATGCACCCGAGGTCGAGGTTTTAACTGATGTCCTCGTTCTGCTTTCAACTGATGTCCTCGGTCAGAAGGATCTGGTCGTATAATGCCTCCGCGTGGACTCTTGTTCTTATCTTCTGGCTCTCGCTGCACCTTTTCTTCGATTCGAACAGCATCAGTATACCATCTACCAGAAGTGCTTCGTGGCGTGAAGTACACGGGATTGTTGACGTCATAACCATTAGAGCTGTTCCACGATAGCTGAATGATCCACGATTTTCCTTATTATCATAGCCAGTTGATAATAAGGTCATTAGCGCTATCACAGAATTCGCTGCAACATCGACCACCTAGTCCCTCGCAGCAGCCTGGTGCATATTTGTAGACTTTATCATCTAGCACAGGCACTGCAAAAACAAACAATAAGGCACATATCCTGGGAGAGTGATTGATTATAGAAGAGGGTCATCGCCATATCTACATGATTGGCAGAAGACTCGAGAATGTGCTCACGTAGAACTTCATCCGCTTTGTCACCACGACCTGCAAGTCTACTTGTTGCACTGCCACTTCTACAATGTGTGGAGCGATTCGTTTCACCGCCTCCTCGTCCGCCCCTCAACATAAAGGAACAGATACTTGAGGCTGATGAGCTAGAACATGATAAACTAGTTGTTGCACCTCTTTTCACCCCGCCCGTGGACGTTGTTCTCAATACTGTGCTTTGTCGTAAAGATTGAAGTTGATCTTGAGTCGACATGTTAGACCACCTGCTACGTGTTTTATCATTAGAAGCAAGTAGGTGGGCTTTCGGCGTTTTATTTGTGGCGACCTTTTATTTTTGTTGACATTTCTCCACCTTGTTGAAATAGGAGTGATCTAAAAAAATTACGATTCCAACGACACCAATTATAACACCTAAGAGTAAAAAGACCTACCCGTAATATCATCTAAACTAGCTTCTCTGGAGGCTGCTCTGGCTCTTTCCTTGAGAGAAGGCGTCCCTTGACACCCTAAAGACGTTGCGGCACTCTTCCTTGCACTCGAGGGATCTTTGGATGGCGTGCTAATATGAGTTCTTGCACTAGAGGTTTCTCGGAAGCCTCCTGCTTTTGAATTTTTCTTGTCTTCGTATTTCTCCCAGTAGCGCCTCGAGTGTTCCTTGTCCTTGTGTGTCATTCTTGGCGATATGTAGTCTTGTTTTGCCAAGAACACCGCTTTTTCGTGGCCTTGAGCTTGATCCTTTTGGCGCAAGAATTGGAGCTTTTCTTCCTTCTTTACCAACCACGCTTGCTGCCATTCAGGGAAGGAAGCGAGATCGCCTGCGTCGTCGTGCTCTGAAAATGGAGACGTCCTCTTCTCCCGTTCGCCTTGCAACATCCGTCGTCGCACCACGGCAGCTAAAGAATTGCCTTCTGCTCCTGCTTGTTCATCGGTGTGAGGGACTACTAGAGTTCGTTTTTTACTCCTGATATCGTGCGATGGCACAGCAGTAGAAATGTTACTGGAATTGATCATCCTCGTTTCTAATAGAGTCATCTCATTGAATCCACCGTCTCGTTCTTGGCGAGTTTCTAACCCGTCTTCTAGAACATCAAGTACTAGTTGGTTCGTTTTATACTGCCCAGATGAAGTAGAACCTTCATCGTGATAGTGCGTCTTATTTTTGTCCACGGGTAGACGCCTTTCTTCCTCACCGCCACTTGCAGATGCACCCGACCTCCTCTCGGAACCTGACGCAATTACTCCTCCTCCCGATAAGGTCCTCCCGGAACCTGTACAAATTGAAGCCACACCGCGTGCTGCACGTCCTTCCCCAGCTGCACTGATTTCAATGTTAGAGCTCTCCGCAGCGCTTCACCTTTCAGCTGCGCCCTTGAAAAATATGGCAGAATATTTTCGCGCGATGCTCCTTCATAGATACGTTTCAAGGATGTTGCAGGCAAGGACGAATTAGCTACAGCCTTAACAA